TCATCTCGCACAGGTGTATGGATTTGCGTATACGTATGTGTACTTAGATCGTTATTTGAAAAATTTGCTTACAACTTTATTATTTCCAATTACTATTCTAATTCCTATTTATGTACGAAGAAAGAGAAAATACGTTAAGTAAGGTTAGAAGCAGGAAACTCGATTATCGATTGCGTGTCCTGTTAACTTCTCAAATGCGATTCTGTCCTATAGTTTTTTTTTAGAAGGAAAAAAAAAATCGATTAGCCTTCCAAGAATAGTAACCTCGAACAATGAAACAAGATAGATTGGTGCATTTTCAAGAAATTTCATACATTTTTAAAAACAAATATCGAATTTTAACATTTATCTCCAAAGGTGTACAAATTTCTAATCATAAAAATTCGTGTTCTCCATAAATAGGAAAAAAAAAATTGAAGTTTACAAAAAGAGAAATCTAATTAGATTTAGGATAGGATAATCGATTCGTAACATTGCATTTCTATGACATAAATAATGGTACCTATGGTAATAAAACCTATGGTAATAAAATGGAATATATTTGCTTGAAATATATGACAGAACACTTAAGCGAAACATAAAGGTATTTTGTTTGTAATTTGAAGCAAATTGTATAGCACTCTGGGGACAGATTGGCCAACGAAAATTTTCTCCCCTCCCGTGTCAAGAGAATAAAATCTGTCTTGTAATCGTGACTAAAAATATTTTATACTTGATAAGATCCTGTCCTCAAAATTGAAAGTACACATTACGTTGACTCGAATACTTTAGATACATATGTAGGTTAAGTATATATTCTGAAAATGTATAGGACTCGCGGGAGCTTAGCTAAATCCTTGAAATGAGTTACTTCCAGTTCACACCACAATCGGATAAAATGCTTCAATATATATTATATATGGATACACATCTTTCTCTCTCTTTCTCTCACACCAAAGAAAACTTTTATATAAATCGTTGAATCGTAAAGAAAATGAATTCTATTATATATTATTCGTAGCACACATCTCGTAATTGGAATTTATTTAACTTAAGAGAGAAAGAAAGAGAAAGAGAAAGAGAAAGAGAGACAGAGAGAATTTAATTATTATTATAATAAGAGTATACCATTATATCACGCTATATACCTTATTATAGTGTTGTAATATTAGGATAATGTGTATACATTATTACTATGAAGAGAAATAGAGAAAGAAAATTATTATATATTATATAGAGAATAAAATGAAATTATTATAGAGAAACGTTCTTATTTGAAAAAAAAAAAAAAAAAAAAAAAATAAAATAAATGGTACGCAAATATTATAGTTTCGCAGAGTACATTAACTAAAAATGCACAAGCTAGACTAAAATATTATTTTATCTTTTAGGGATCGCATATGTTGCTCGGATATGAAAAATGAATCATTAAACCACATTCGGTTGTGCATAGAATACTCAAATTTTAACCATTTGCAAACACCATGCAAAAAACTTGGATGTTTCCCTGATGCGTGTATTCAAAGAGAAGCGTTAACCTTTTTTAAACATCTCTCTCTTTTTCCCGTTAAGTGAATTATGTGACTTTGTAGTAAAGTACTTGCATGGTAATTACATGACATCATTTGACAAAGTTTTTACTATTCCGGAAAATTTAACTCGAAATTTAAAAAGACGTCGAATTTTGTTCCCATACAAAAATTCTCCTTTTACTTCTTTCGGTATTTTTCTGTTTTTTTTTTTTCTTCTTCTTTTTTGTATTTCGGTTACCTTCAAAATTTGTTTTAATTAAACTTTTAGTATAGAACTTTTTCCACGACATGAAAGATCGATTAGCCTATTTATTTCTTTTCCTCTTTAAATCGACGTAAGAACGTAAACGTTAGACGTTTTTCTTCTTCTACGTCTTTTCTTATCTTTTTTCTTTTTTTCTTCGTCATTTACCGTTGCCTCATCTTCTTTCTGCCCTTTTTTCTTCTTTTTATTTTTCTTTTTCTTTTTCTTTTTATCAAAAGTCTTGCTTCAGATAAAATTGATAGAATATACAGGGAGCCATCTGACATATTCGTCTCACTTCATAAAATCAAACTGTTAGTATACAGATCGCATTTTTCAATGCCAGTCATCTTATTTCGTTCTTTATCATCCTAATGGCTAAATGTTCCGGTTAAATTTGCCCCGCAGGATTAAATAAAATTAAAAAAAAAAAAAAAGAAAAGAAAACTGGCCCTCTCGTTTATTTATATTATCTTTTTTTTTTTTACCTCACCATCCCCCCGCTCCCGCACCCACGCGTAAATGCTCAAAAAAGTGAGACACGAAGTTTCGGACCTTAAATCGCAAAAAAATAAACGAGATATAATTTTGATATATGTACATATAAAAAGAGGTTGTTTCGCGGTCGGTCGTTCAGAAAAATAGTTTCGTAAGTTAACAAATGCACACACACACAGACACATACATATTTATGATTTACCACGTTGTAAATAACGATAAGAACATATAAACCCACACGGAGACATGTGCGGGGTCCTGCACGTACCTATAAGAAAATTTTTGTCAAGCTTGTAAAAAAAAAACAACCCTACAACGTGGCTTATCTCGAATGACTCTTTCTCGATGCAAAGGAAAAAAAAAAAAAAAGAAAATAAAAAAGAAGAAGAAGAAAAAAAAAAGAAGCGGTCGGTTCCAAGGGTGGCAATCACCCTTCCACATTCGTCTCACGTTATTTTCCCGTTCGAATATATTCTCAAAATAGACGTCGATCTGATAATATTGAATCCCCTTTCGATCGGGAACGTTTTATTCCTTCCATTTCTCTCTTTTTTTTCTGTTCTTCTTCTTCTTCTTCTTTTTCTTTCCCCCCATTTTTTTTCTTTTTTTTTTTTGCCTTTTTCGTGACTGACGTTTAAATCTTGACGGAAGTCTCCAAGGAAAGTAAGTAGCCGAGTATGTAAAGTCGACAAATACAAAAAAAAAACTTTATTCCACGAGCTATATACGAAAAATAAAGTGGTATAGCAAGTAGAGTAAAGAAAAGGTGGCCGACGAGCAAGACGGAGAACGCCAGCCCTTTTATACGGATCTCGCTTACGATGCATCATGGGTTTTACCTTTAAAAATCGATTTTCTTTCTTTATCGTCTTGGCAAATGCTCTCTCTCTCTCTCTCTCTCTCTCTCTCTCTCTCTCTCCTACCCTCTCTTCTTCTTTTTTTTCAACGAACGTTCCAAGTACTCGTTTATTTATTTACTTTGTGTGTTAAGTTTTTTCTTTTTCTTTTTTTTTTTTTTTTTCTTAAATCGACGCAGACAGAAATTATTTACATTTTTTTCGACAAGAGATCTAGTCTCACATAAGATCGAATAAATAACCCTTCGAATATATAATTTATCGATTTATGATTCAAAAATAATTTGACGCGCGAACGGTGTTGTTTTTAAGTTAAATTTAATCTTAAATTTATAAAAGTCGAGAAAGAAAAAAAAAAGAAAAAAAAGAAAAGAAAAGAGAAAAAAAATTCGATCTATCATAATATATAAATGTTAGAAGAAAAGAAGAAACATATAATATATTATCTGCTTTAATTCTCGTTCACGTTTTTTAAAATGATAGTAGTTTCAAAGGATGATCCAAAATTCCCTTTTTGATCGTAGATTTATCTGTCTGCAGTTGAATACCACGTCCGTTACAATATCACCACCCTCCCTCCCTCTCACGTCACTCTTCTTCGCGGCCTCTTTTTTTTTTTTTGGGATTTCTTCTGTAATTTTTTTCTTTCTTTTTTCTTTTTTTTATCGCCAACAGCACCACCGGCATCGCTATTATTTATCGTTGGACACGTCGTCATTTTTCACAAAGCCATATTAAAGAGTCGACGTTTCTTTTCTTTTCCCCATAGCGAGAAAAGCTGTTGGCATGTTCGACGAGACCCAGACTGTTGCTCCATTTTTTATTTCCCCTTTTCTCTTTGTATTTTTTTCTTTCTCTCAATAAATTATAATCCAAGATCTTATTGAAATATCTTTCAAACGGTTTGATCTTTTTCAGGTATTTTCAATTGAACGATATTAATCGCTAATAAATCAATTAAAATCACTTAAATAACATAATTACGATAATAAATTACTTATTAGAGGCTTCAAATTCCTGTTGAAATAAACGTGATATCGATTTGATAGTAGCCGTATCAAAGCTTACCCGCTTTATTTACTGGAAGAAAATTAATCGGCAGGTTGTACGTACAAGAGCAGAAACAGGCTAAAATTACAACGTTACTCTTAGAGAGTGACGGTTTAATAGAACCCTCGAGGGACTTGCGTATCACGACACCCTCGTAATTAATAAGTATCTACACTCTAATCGCGTACACTTTATCCACTTGAAAGCATTTTCGCGTGTTACCTTCTATTACATATATAACATTTAATGATAAGATAATAAAAATTAGTTTCGAATGAAAGTGTATAAATACGAATTTCGAAGGAACGTGTATATATATCTCAAATTTTGTCCTATATTTTGATAAAACTACAAATTCGCGCTAAAATATTTCAAATCTGTTTTATTTGTGGAAATAGAAAAATAATTTTAAAATTCATTAATAATTAGTCTGTGCTTTTTGAAATCGCGTATACATGAAATTTTCGAGCGAGTAACTTATTATTATTCCAAGTGTCGGAATAATGACAGATATCAAAGTTAGAGAGATGATAACAGGTATAATTGATAAAATTTTCAAAGTCGTATTCCGCAAATGATTAAAGAGTAATCTCTTATAAAAGAGATAAAATAAAGTAATAAAAGGTAAGACGCACAATTGTACGGGGTGGCCACGTTCTATGAGAATAAGGAGAAGAAGGAAAAACCGATTATGCGAGAAGGGTCGCGAAGCTTTCAAAGAAATAATCTTAAAAAGGACAATGCCGAGAGCGTAATAAGGTCGTCGGCAGAAGGGGAATGATGATGATTCGGACAAAAAGGGGGGAAGAAGGGATTCGCCTTGAGCAAGGATCGACTTACCTCCGAAAATCCCTGCTCCAGCAAGCGTATATAACTGGGTTCATGCCACTGTTGATCCAGCCAAGCCACGTGACGGCAGCAGAAACAATCTCCTCTTGCCAGATACACCTGGCGCAGAAACCCGACCATAGATTCACCACGAAGAAGGGTAACCAGCAAACGATAAAGACTCCCATGACAATGCCAAGAGTCTTAGCAGCTTTCTTTTCCTTAGCAAATTTCGCTAGTTTGCGCGACAACGAAAAGTTTTTCCCTAGATGTTGTTTATTGTTGATCCTAGTGGAAGGTATTCTGGTCAATCCATTGTTGTGAAGAGCGGTAAGAGGTTCCTCGAGATCTTGAAGATCTTCTGGGGTACTCGAGGCCGTACGAAATAGATGCCTTGGATCTACGTTCGTACTAGCTCCGCTAGTGCTAACACCTCCACCACCACTACCACCACCACCACCACCACCACGATGTATCCTAAGAGTAAGTTCGAGCTCGCCGGAGGCCATCATAACTTGTTTTGTTCCCAATTTGAGACTCCTCGTTTGTATAACCGCCGCTCGATAGATCCTATAATAGGTAAAGACCATAACGAATAGCGGTAAATAAAAGCTAATCGTCGATGAAAATATCAAATAGCCGAGATTTTCAGTGAACGGACACTTGTCTTCTGGTACTTCCTCCGTCCTGACGGCTCTCCACCAAGCAATAGCTGGAAATGATATCGCGCTAGAACAAATCCAAACGATCGCGATCAATATCGCGGCACGTTTTCTAGTCATCCTCATTGGATAGGTAAAGGGATCGGTGATGGCCCAATAACGATCCAAACTTATCACACAGAGGTTCAAGATCGAGGCCGTCGAGAAGAGTACGTCGAGGGAACGCCAGACATCGCACCAATCGGTCGTGAATAGCCATCGATTTTCTAATACCTCGTAAATCGCACTGAACGGCATGACGACCAGCCCGACCAGGCAATCTGCAAAGGCCAACGACGTTACGAAATAATTCGTCGCCGTGTGGAGATATCTTTCTCTGATGACCGCTAGGATTACCAAGCTGTTACCGAAAACTGTGGCCACGGAAAATAGAAAAAGTAAAACAGCGAGTCCGGCCCGATCGCTCGTTAATTCCCACAAATCTTCGTAACTGCGATTGCCGCGACTTGCGTTGTAAAAACTTCGATTTAATTCGCCGCTAGGTTCCCTTGCTTCTGCCTCATCTTCCCACTCGAGCAGATAACCCTCGCTCTCGTTCATCTTTCGTTCATCCGCAACTTCTTTCTTATTCCCCTCCGGAACCGTTAGCCTTCGTCCTGGTACGTCGTCAGGTTGGCTACGAGCGTCGTCAGGTTGTTGGAATCGCCGTCCATACTTTCTTCCCTCCCCTTAAAGATCTCGTCGCCCGTTTTCTCATCTTTAACGAGATATCTTTGAAATCCTTTTCGCTATCGTTTATCTTCCTTCTCCTTGGAAGATCAAGGATGGACAATGCTCGACACTATCCTGCCAGCTAACTTTTTGACACGGGATCAAAGAGATCGTTATTTGTTCTACTATACTATGTTCCATCGGTGACTTCCCTTTCTCACTCTCTCTCTCTCTCTCTCCCACACTCTCTCTCTCTCTTTCTCTTTATTTTTCTATCTCTCTTTCTATCTCTCTACCTCTCTCTCTCTCTCTCGGTCTGGAACAAGCGATAACACCGCTGTTAGTCTTGAAATCCGACAACAATCGACTACAATTATGTCTCGACGAACTCTCCTTACTTCATAAAGAAAAATCATGCGAAAACGATATTACTTAATTGAAAAATATATAAATAAATAGCTCGAGGAATATCTCGTAACATACTATACGTATCGATATGTTACCGTCAAAGCCGGAAATCAATCATTGCTAGTAATTCCTCGGCATTACTATGAATGCAAAAAGCCTTCAGAGTCATTAAAATCTATTCACTCTTAATATAAAAAATATTTACAGAAAAACTTTTCAAAGAAATAGCAAAGTTGTACAATTTACAGCATTGCAATCTCTTATATTTCTTTGAAAAGTTTTTCTGTAAATATTTTTTATATTAAGAGTGAATAGATTTTAATGACTCTGAAGGCTCTTTGCATTCATAGTAATGCCGAGGAATTACTAGCAATGACTGATTTCAGGCTTTGACGGTAACAGATATATTATATTTGAGTAAAGTTATAGAGTAGCAATTGGTCAAGGATAGGGGACGGCTAGTATGTATTCGGTAACAGAAGGTGTTTCATCGGAGGTTTGGAGGGTGTAAGGGATTTCATGAAGAGACGAGACGAAACAAACCGATTCATGCCGAAGCATGCCATGAGGATCGAACACTGAGCTGACCGTAGGGGCTCTCACCCGTGACCCAGGCGAATGTTTACCGGTACTTGATCAAAGCAGATTCGACCCCGAAGCTATATATCCTCGTGCAATCTGACGACACCGATGGTTAGGTGCTACCCAAGCAACCAGTATTATCTATATTCTCTTGTCTACCCTCACAAGCCATTTCTTTTTCTTAAATTATCATAAACGAAACGTGTCTAGGAAGTCATTTTGAACATCATTGACAGGAACACCATTTCCCATTCAAGAAAAATATTAGAGTCATCATATTTACTATAAATGTAACATAAATATATGTTTTATTTTATTTATCTTTATGTGTTGTATGTATTTATAATAAAAAAGTAGAGAGAGAGAGAGGAAAAAAGAAAAAGAAAGAAATAGAAAAATAGAGATAAAAAGAGAGAAAAGAAGGAAAGAGAGAAGAGAGCTGTGGGAAACGAATCAGTCGACCCGCATCTTTTCAACATCTGTGGACCATTCCCATCATCAATGCGTCGGATTTCTTTTACGAGGTCGGAGTCGTCATTCGTTAAACCAGAACAAATTCTTTTGACCCCTACTCATATTGTATCGAGAAAAAAAGGGGAATGGTTTAGTTGTTTCGTTGCTTCGTACCGACGAGCATGCTACTACGGATTTAAAACGAATACGTTTGAAAAATTCAACGTTACTATATCGAAAAAGTGTTAAATAACAATGTCGAGATTATTAATTTTCACGTGTATCAATTTATCTATCGTCTTCTTGACAAATTCGAGTCCGTACGAAAGAAACATTTTGGATAGCACAATTGCAACGACGTTAAACGTTTCGAAAGATAACGAAACGGAATCGTGTTGTCCGTGTACGAAAAATGCAACAACATCCTCGACAGAGATCAACAACAATCCTCCGGCCCACATTTATCCTCCGATAATTCACGGTACTACTTGGAAATGTAATTTCGTTGGGAATAAAATTATGCGAGACGATTATCATCATTCTCCTGGAATTGGTTCGCACAAATTACACACGAGAGCAAAGGTTTGGAACGAGGCGAGAAAAATTTGCATCGAAGAAGGTGGCCACTTGGCTATTATCAACTCTATCGCCGAAGCTAATGTTAGTATAATGAATTCATTTTATTTCTTGAGAAGTATCAAGGATTTATTTTGATTACCGTTTTTGCGCGAATTCAAGATCGTTCAATTAGGAAAAGAGTAATTATAAAGAATAAAAGATCTTTTAATCGTCCATCATTTATTCGTATTCTTTTTGATTGCAGCTACTTTTGGATTTATTTAATCGATCCGGTCCTATCAAGGGTGCAGCTTATAACAATCAATTCCTATTGGGAATTCATGATCTCTACACCGAAGGCGACTGGGTGACAATAGAAGGTGATTCCTTGGCAAAAAGTGGATACAATGCTTGGACCGACAAATGGGGAGGTCAACCTGACAATGGAGGCGGCATACAAAATTGCGGTGCAATGTTAGACGATGGCAAACTCGACGACGTCGCTTGCAACGTTCCCTTTGCTTTTTTCTGCGAAATACCTCACTTCTAATCGATATCATCAATTTTATTAATTAATAATCAAGTTAATTCGCGCGAGAACTTTCTTTCCTTCATCACGAATATTATATTTAAATTTGAAAAAACATACACACATAATTATGTATCCAATTGATCTATAATGGAGAAAATGTACAATAACTTTTATTTTTCATTGACATTTGAAAATATTATCAAAGAAATTGAATATTTATCCCCATATCATTTTGAAATTTTCCATAAATTTGTAAAACGTTAGAAAGGCTTTGTCTATATCTCGAGCTTTCGCAAGGTTCGATCGCGAAACGTATTGAAATTCGTATCAATTCCCCTCGGCTCCTGCGATTATTCGATTCCATTGTCGAAACGTTTCTTGGGTCGTTGCATATCGAAAAGAAATAGTGCACCTTAAGCGTTCTATTTGAAAAGAAGGGATTCTTATTTGTCTCCTAAGAGAGAGAGAAAAGCAATTGAAACGAGTTATTGGAAGAATTGTTACAAAAGAAGTGAACTTTTTCATAAATAGGAAGGTAAAGAATATTATTAAAACTTTTGTCTTATCTATCGATACACATCTACACATAAAACACGATTAAATAACTGTGCACGTAGACCCTAAACCCTTTGTCGAACTAATTACTATTGCCAATAAATGTCCTGAAAGGTATTTTAGCGGAGATTAAAGAATAATTCGTAATAACTACCGGTAACAACGGTGAATAGAAACGAGTTCCAAGATCTTTCACGAATTACAATTCGTGGCGATAGTTCGTTCGTTCGAAAATCATTTGGAAGTCAGCCAATTCTCTCTCTCTCTCTCTCTCTCTCTTTCTTTCTCTAGCAATTATTTCACCCTACTCCCGTGGTACGAACTTGGCCGTCGCATCATTCTTTCCGCCCTCTTACTATTGCCTGAATAATATTCTTCTTTCCATTTCCATTATTCGACTATTTCTTCAATACCCTTCAATATCACCTGCATGTGTATCTTTTAAGAAAGAAAATTCAAGACGCTCAAAACTATCTAACAAATATTCTAACAAGTATGTGTGTTTTAAGTGGCCAATGATCTCTCTCTCTCTCTCGTAGATTCAGTTAACAATTAAACGAAAGGAATAAGAGGGAGGAAAAAAAAAAGAATAAGAACAATATCGAGTTTTATCGTATATGGCGAAAAAGGCTGAGGATAAAAATAGTGTTGTTGAGTTAACGGTGTAATCGATACCTACTTTGTGTGCCACCACCACTACCACCACCACCACCACTTTTCTCGTCCTAGTCGTCAGGCACTTGGTCGAATGCAAAAAAATAAAATAACCTTTCGTAAGGGCGAAATATAGAGTGCAAATTTGTGGTTAAAAAAGGACGAATAATTGTCGATCGCAATAGAAGAAGGATTGGCAATCAAAAATGATTACCTTGAAAATAGAGAATGAAATAGAGAAATTCTGGTGGTGTGCAGTAGTATCGTGCTTTATTTGAAAAGCTATTATTCGAAACTGTAATTTCATTATAATGCCGCCGCGTTTTCTCTCCCTAACTTTATTCTCTTCCTCTTTTATTTATTCTCTACGACACGACAATTTGATCCCGTTTCGTGTTTTGTTATAACTATCGCGTGAAAACGCGAGCACCGTTTAAACTTTTGACTCTTACGACGAAAGGATGGCCTCGAACGCCCGAGAACACCGAGTTTTATTTATAGTCGTTATAACCAGTGGCTTTGGATGCAAGGACAAAGACAACAGTGTTATTTGCGAGATCTTTATTCTTCATTATCGGTATCGTCATAATAGTCATTGTCGGCGACCCTTCGACCCTTCTTCTTCTTCTTCTTCTTCTTCTTCTTTATCTCCTTATTCATAAGCGAGAGTAGCCCCTACGTTTGACCGACATGCCATCATTGAACTTTTATACGACGGTGACTCAAGATCGATAACAAAAATAGAAAGAACGATTACAAAAAATATAATTAGGATCTTTTAATATGTTAATTGCAGGCCACATTTTTGTTCCTTTTTCCATGGGAATGATAATATAACAACAACAAAAATGTTCGATTGGGTAACATTAAAACTTCCCGAAATGATCGTATTCGACCATTTCTCCTTACACCAACGTCGTATTCGAGTTGGAATAGTTTTTTAAAAACTGACAAAGAAAAAGAGTAAAATTGTAGTAATAAATAATATTGCGAATAAAAGAACGACGGAATCCAGTCTTTGAACTTTCGTTCCCATTTCTCTCACGAGACCATATCCTTGAAAGTTCGAAGAGAAGGAGCCAAACTCGTCAGAATACATCCTACCTAACCAAAATCGAACCCTTGAGATTTCAAAGAGTTTCGGACACGTCAAGGACAACCATGAATAGAGGCTTGCCTGCCAATTGACAACTTTTCTTATTCTGTTTCTTTCAATGGTTTTTTTTTCTTTCATTTCAGTCATGCAAACATGACATATGACACGAATTCAACAAAAATATGTATATAGGAGAATAAGCATATAAGACGCGTTTCACGAATAAACGATATGATAAATTCAAAAGGTTTTTTCTTCCTACGAGCAAAATCATATTTCGATCTTGGTGAAATTCGCGTGGCATATGTGCAACCCTTTAATTCTCTAGTATTCGCATAAATTATTATTTCCATTTACGCAAATTCTACCCCGTTCGAATTTCACCGTACTTTTGGAATCGTTCCATCCCCCTGTGTCGTTTTGACGTTAACGTTTGATATATTCTTTTTCTATTTCTTTCTCTCTATTTCGCTCTCTCTCTCTCTCTTTCGAACAAAAACGGAAAAGCTTTTGTGAAATTGTTTCTACGAACAATACTTTTCCTACTTTTCGAATAGCTTTTTGTACCAGGCTAGATAGAGACGACGATTACGCGTTATCGGATACTTTCTCATTTTAGCATAATTTTAACGTTTCAAATAGACGACTAGGATCATAACGACGACGGTACTTTTATTACCGCTCGATCGTCGTTTTACTACAAGTCGAAGAAGAAAGGTACTAGCGAAAGCTAGGAAAATAAAAATAAGCCAATAAAAACCATTTACAATCAAAGAACTAACTAAAAGACAATTTTCCTATTACAAAAAAGTATTATAATTTGAGAGGACGCGTGGCTGTTTAGAAATATGAAGAACAAAAATAATGCGTGTTATCTAAAATCAGGAACAAATTCAATCGATAAAAAAATCTCTTGCACGTTGCTGCACATGAAATGTACTGTCAATATTTGCCAAACTTGCAAGCTTGCACAAACGCGAACAAATCGTACGTTTGCACACGTTTTCCTTTTAATAAAAGGAAAAATTTATAAGAGACAAGTTCGTACGAATTAGCATTAAACTTGATGCATTAATCGGAAAATTTACGTTAATTAAAAAATTCAAAGTTTCCCAACTTCATTATATATCTTTTTGGAAAAATGCAACGTATTTGAAATTATTTTCTTTTTTTTCTTTTTTCATCGGTATACGGTGAACAAAATTTCGATATTATCAGCATATGAAATAATTAAGAAGTAACCTGAATTCATAAAAATTGTAACGAAGTTCGTTGAACACTCGTTCTTATAACAAGAACGTAAATTTAAATGAGGCAAAAATAAGAGAAAAAAATATAAAGAAAACAAATGAAAATATTACAATTTACAAAAGACATTTTATTAAATAAAATGAGGAAAATTGTCTCATGCGTGTACGCTCGTGTGATACGAATAAAAGATAATATAAATATTATATTTAACTATCTCATCTCCGAGACATTTATTTCCTAATTTTCATAATAAATCTTTTAACATTTTTTTTATACAAACGTCAATGCATACACACAGCAGCTTATATTTATATAATCTAAACGACTCGTGTAACACGAAACGCGTATACTATTTAATGTAAGCGAATGTCTATGTTAAATTCAACCAAAAAGAACCATCCCGTAATATACGACCTTCTTGTATGAGAATTATTAGTAATTTTGTTTCATTCCTTTTTTTTTTTATATCATTCATCGCAACATAAAAATTACATGATGAAAATGACGTGCATTTGATATACTTACAAAAAAATCTTTCTACTTAAAGATACAACGTACTTATATCGAGTAAATAGCGAAATATTATAGTGACATACTAACGCGTATGATAATACTTTTTTAAAATTTTCTTCATTTTAAACATATATCGTATGAATAATTTTCAATGAAAAATCTGGTAAACGTAAAGGCTTAGGATTTTAAGGGTCACTCGTTGTAAGTAATAATACCGCAAAGTAGAACATCCTTTTCTCTTTCTTTACCTTTTTTTTTTTTTTCTTTTTTGGAGGAATAAACAAATGCGAACGAGGTTATGCGTTATCAGTCGGTAGAAAAGTATTCTTCGTGGAGGACAGATCCCCTTGAAGATCGCGTAATCCGCTTATCGCGTCCCTCGGCGACTACCCTTTTCGGATATGACAGTGGATGGCAACGTTTGGATTATGCCGAGACTTAGAGACGACGCTACTAACTAGGACGAAAAAGGAAAGAGAATAGTAGAAAAGCATCACAGCAAAAGGCCCGAGAAAGCGTTGAAAAGTGAAACAAACCGTATAAAGTTCTTACTCTCTAAAACGTATAATGACTTTCCTGACGGATGCTTTGGAATGCCGCTTTTCGAGCTTTCGTGTCTTCCTTTCAATAAAATTAATTTAACTCGCTGCTAGGCGCGCTTGCTTTTCTCTCTCATTCAATCTACGAAAGATTACAAACAAATAAATGCATAAATCCGCGTATAAGCTTGTCGTGATTTTCTTCTATTCGATAAAATATAATACACGCGTCTTCGTCTATTTATAAACTTGAAATTGTCTACGCAATTAATTATATAAAAGCGAACATTAATTATTACTTTGATAAATGTTTCCTTAACGTATTTTAAGCTACAAATAATAATCAAACGTACGACTTTTCAAATGAAAATAAAAAAAAAGAAAAAGAAACGTATTATTTTTTAATGATATAAAACATTTTTCAACAATTTTTTTTTTTCATTTTTCGCAAAAAAAAAAAAGCGCAATTACTTAAATAAGAATTATTTTCTTTTTTAACGCGATGGCCGAGATCCGAATGTAATATATGTATATTTGAATATGTATATTTGAAATGTATTCACCCTCTATTCCTATTCTTGACGAAACAAGTTAGATGAGATTATAGATTGGTAGATGTATACAAAATTAATAAGAGCAATTTTAAAAGGGAAACTCGTTAGAACAGTAAGAAAAATATTTGATACCTCTCTACGAATCCGATAACTTTTGCTTAATATTGAGCAAATCATTTTCTTTCTCGAGTAATAGAAACGTGTCAATTAATTTCACTTATCTTTGCAGATATTACTCGTAAACACGAGATTCTCCTTTAAAATATCTTAGAATGATGAATAGAATCTGACAGATCGAACAATAAATCACTGAGTTTTAGGAGTGGAATGAAAAATAGTTTTCAAATCTTGATTAAACTATTCTATCTTTTCATCCACAAATGGAAAATACGAAAACGAATAAAATAAAAAGAAAATATAAAAAAAAAAAAGAGAAAGAGAAAAAATATACTGAATTTGACGAGAACATAACCGTTATATATCGATCGTGAAACTGTTCGTAGCCTGGACCTCGTACACCGAGGAGGTCGATTACCGAATGGACAAATTGAAAGATTGAACCTGATTGGTGTCGAGCAAACGGCGGAAGTCGTCGCACGTTTAACATCTAACCGTTTTGTAGTTCATCGAGACTATCGTAAAAAATGGTTTTTATTTTACGAACGAAAAAAGGGTAAGTTTTAGTTAGATCATCCGTATTCTTCGTTAGATTGATCGACAAATCTTTTTTTAAACGCGTGAAAGAAATGTACAAAAAAAAAAATATATATATATATGTATATATGATAGAGAAATAATATCATATATGAACAGGGTACATACTTATGCATGAAAGAATTGATAAAGTTATAAAAGCGTGATTTGTATTTTTCTAAGGAAAACGACTCTGCTGACTGGCTGGCTGGCTGGCTGGCCTTGTTCGTGCCTCCTGCAACTACGATTTGATCTAACTACGAAGAAATAGAACTTAAATAAAAATAAAAAGAAAGGGACTGCAAAGTGATTAGGCGTGATGGATATTTAACCGGGTTACTACTCAACCAACTGGTATTTTATTTGCAAGAATCTATGAAAGATTTGCTTGAAACTCCGGCAATACTAACGCACACGCCAACCAACCAACCAACTAACCAAGTGTTCGAACGTTGACCTTTCTTCATCTACATAGTTTTAAACTCGATTCTCATATCAGATATACGATTTCTTATGGAATTACAGTTTTATTACCATCTCGATTAAAAAGTCGAGAAATTTAATATAATTTCAGAATACTTACTAAGTAGCTCGATACTTGGCTTTCAGATATAAAACAAAAAAAAAAGTACAAAGTAGAAAGGTACAAAAGAACAAAGCCAAAGGTAAAGGAAACGAAAGAAAGAAAGAAGGGGAAAAGGAAAGAGGGAGAGGGAGAGTCAATTTCACAGTCAAAGGGATTTTCCAAACCGTTCGATTTTATCGATATAATTATTTCATAGATAACAGAGGAGAAGTCGATACGATACGTTATTCCAGATGCTATTCTTCTTAATATTTGCAAAAAAATATATATATATGTCAAGAATTGACGTTCAATTTTCGAGAAATAAATACTAGTTTCAAACACGTCGTTCTCATCCTCCTCCTCCCATAATCCATTTATATGCTTTTATTCAACATTTACGAGTTCTTTTTAAAAGTATTTTCTTTTACAATCGAAAAACAGGATCAATGAGAGAAACGTTTCGTTTGTCCAACGATCGATTTATAGTAATAAACGTTAATTATGAGATCGAATACCGAATACGAATGAATGATTATGCTTGATTTTTTTTGAGTCATATCATTTCTTTCAATCGACAGAGAAAAATGTTTTCTTATCTTTCTACTAACGATCAAAATTGGATATAGTTTTTAATAACTGTCATTGCACCATGTCGCATGTTATTTGTCATCATCGAAAAGTTTATATCCGTAGTTTGTGCTATATTAGAAGGACTAGGCGTGTTGTAAAAAAAGCTTTACGGTAGACGCGTGGTACCTGTTCGCCATAACTCTAACACGTAATACGTGCCCCTATATTTTACTCGTTTTATGGACGTTAATAAGTAAGGAAGGAAAGTTCGAACTTTTGATTTCAAAGTAACCAAGGATTTCGGTCAATGGTTTTAGCAAGTACCACCATATAAGAAAATATATGTATAGTACACTAATCGTTCTTTTGATAGAAATCTATGAATAATTAGCCACGTACCTTGAAGATTTTTCAACGAGCAATTACGCATTCAGGACTGAACGTCATTTAAAGATGAAATATATTATATGAATAAAAGAAAAAAAGATAATAAAAATTAAAATGATCGATATAGTTCGAGCATAAGTAAACGCGGAATGAGGCGGCATTTCAAATACGAAGAAACGTCGATCTTGGAAGAAATGAAGTGAGGTAAATGGGATAGGGAGGTAAAGCTGGAAGACGTTTCTCGTGCTTACGTTCGTGCCACGAAGAAGGATTTAAATCATCCCTGCCACTCGACTTTTTCTTTCAAACCAAGTTCCTAGCGTGATTCCCTTTAAAATCGATCTCCATCGCCTTCCAATTCTGTTCGCAACGCGGGAAATCGCTTTCTTCGTTCATTTAGATTGAAATTTCGGTAGATCATCGTGAAAACACCCTTTCCTTACAATTTCCTCGTATATTTTCAAGTCACGGAAAATTTAAAAAGAAAACTTTTGCCAAATGTTTATCAATCAGTTGAATGATATTAACGCGAGATACATTATTTAAAATAATTTATTAATCGAATATATGAACAAATAATAAATACGATAAATAAGAAATATTTTAATTAGAAGAATTTGAACTATTCTCATTACATATTTCTTTCCCTCTATTTCTCGATCAAAATTGAAAACCTCAATCGACGACTCTATTTCGAACTTTTGAAATCGGATTCTTATCACGAAAAATATCCTCTTGCTTTCTATACAAAATTTATTTTTCATAGAAATCGATTTGTACGAACGTAAAATGTTCGTGAGTTTTAATAACGCTCTGACTCGTCGAGTATACTACGTAGATTTTATTGATTTTTAAATAGCGAAGAATCTCTCTCTCTCTAAAAACGTACTCGTCAATCTCTCAAACGTGTTTCGTTTTTCGAGCTTTTCTCTCGACCCTTTTGTTAAATATTAATATAATAATGAGATAGATATTATAATGATCCTGTATAAAAAAAAAAAAAAAAAAAAAATATAAAATATCGAAAGAAATCAAAATTAAATGGCAAATCGAATATTCATAAAGTCAAACTTTGACAAAGAATAACATTTGACAGTTTTCCAAAAGGTATTCCTTTTGTTCATTATTTTGGAGCATTAAATCGATCGGTCTGATCAATTCTCTTCCTCTCGTTAGATCTTAAAAAGAAAGGGGAGAGGATTTACTTAAGAAAAGACGAATTAACTTGCTTCGATTGAATAGAATATGACCGAGGAAGCTTATCGTACCGTTCACCGAGACCAAAAGCCCACCCATTCCCCCTTGTTCGTTGGAGTCCTTTCGATCATCCCCATAATCCGAGTCTTGGTAATCCCCGGTCAGCAGTGCTCTCGCTTACCCAGGCTCATCGATGCTACCCATCCCTTTTCATCGTCATAAACAGACTTTCTAGCTTTCACATATACATCAGATTGTATGTACCGAAAATGAAGAAAAATGGAGGAATTTGACCTAAGCTTTAATGTGAATTATTCGGCGTGACTAAAACTAACATAAGTTATCCGATGTAAGTAGCAGAAGAAGTGTCTCTACGTTTAACATCAGAGTCATACGGTCAAATTTTAGATAAAACTAAAAAGAAAAGAAAAGAAAAGTAAGAAAAACGACACCTACTCTTAACGCTCTCTTTTATCCTGATTGGCGCGAGTCCCACGATATCTCTCACTGATCTTTTCTCTAATGGAACCACGAAAATACACTTGGTTTTATACCCCTCCACCAATACTACTTGCTCGAACGATCCTGCAGCGAGAAATCTGGAACATTCTGGGGGTTTCAAGGATATTCCAAAATATCAATCTTCGAAGAATATTTGAAACCTTTGCACTATGAAATCATCGCTGGCATGACAACGCTATTTTCCTCTTCTAACACTTCGTAATTACTTTTTCACGCGAACAATTTATTTGTTTAAGCTAATTCAATTAATTATCGCAAAATAACTTTCATAGTATTAACTGGCATAAGTCAATAAGTAATAACGGAATTTGTAAATATTTTATATCCAAATAATCAATACTGCTGCGCGTTCAATAAAAAATACTAAAAATTCGATGAAGAATTCCGATATTATTTATATCTAAATTGCGTATAGTTTTTTTTTTTTTATTTTCTCAATATTTCTTTACAAATAAATTCAATGGTTTAAAGGATGACAATCGATATAAAAGTATATTTGAAAAGGAACCTATTTATCTGACGAATCGATAAGACAATATATTTCTAATTTTATAAATAAATTGTAAATGAATTGCAAGTTTTAAAGCGTTAGTGGGTCAAAGTCATCGATGAAGCAGCTTATATTATAGCAACCTTCCTATAGATACTATATGCATACATATGTGTGTATATGGCAAACGATATCGGAAGAAAAGGGTATACGGGGGTGGGAGGGAGGGAGGGAGGGGAAGGGGGTAAGAGAAGATGCGAGCGACTTTAAAACAAACACTCTATTAAAAAATTATTTTCATAGAAACCTATTCGTTCAAATGGCTTTTACTTCTAACTAAATTATAATAGGACGAATCAAATGCGAAGCATTTTTTTATTTCTGCATATCAAAGAAGAACGAAATACGATCCAAACATAACTACTATAGATATGTTATGGGTAGACAAATTATTTCTAGAAGATATCTCTCTCTATACGAAATATCAAAAAATGTTTCTTCGATATCTTGTAAATGTCAATAATTTTATTTTCATTAACGCGTCGTGTCTTCGTTGATTCGTTTTAATTAACACGAATCGTAATAAATTAAACGAAAGGAGAGATCGCGAGTATAGAAAAAAAAAAAAAAAAAAAAAAGAAAACAACGAGCGATATGAAAAAGTATAACGATAAAAAAAAAAAAAGAAAGAAATTAAAAGAAAAGAACAAACTCACCGAAATTAGTCGAAATCGTTGCGTCGAAGGCCAAAAAATGTTGTCGAGGATGACGATATTAGAAGATCGATTGACAAATTTTCGGAATTTCTAGCAAACGTATTTTCCCTTTTCAACGAGTATATGCGGTACATGTTTGTATGCGTGTATATGTGGATATTGGGTGTATGCGTGCTTAAATGCTTAATTAGAGATGCACGATTAAACGAGAAGATAATACCGTACGATTTAATTGTTCCGCACCGAATAAATTTCGGATTAAGAAGAGTAACAGATATTTTTTCTCCTTAGGAATGGACGCAAGCGCATTTTCCTATCTTGAATTATCTTAATTAACACGTAGATCTACTTCTGTGTGAGCGTATTTTCCCCTCGTGATAACGATTACATTCTAAAGAAATATATATGATCCGTAATAAAAATAAAATGAAAGAAGAAAAAAAAAAACCGAGATAAACGTTAAATTCAATTTTGGATATCCCTCTTTGTATGCGAGAAATCTCGATGCAAATTTGATATAATTTATATAAATAGATTACGAACACAATACATCTACATATTTTATAGTTATATTATATGTATACATATATATGTTTTCATAGAAATACGTGAGTGAAATCTCAAGTATTTTGAAATTCTTCTAGACAACAAAATTGCAATGCGAACCGAATAAAAATCGATCGAATTCCTAATTTCTGTTCGCGTTTTCTAATCTATTTTTCTTCACTTCCTATTCCTCCTCCTCCACCTCCTCTTCCTCCTCCTCCTCCTCCTCCGCCACCTCCACCTCCCCCTTCTCCTTCGCCGCTTCTTCTTTTTCTTCTTCCTCGTTTTTTTTTTTCACCCTTTTTATTCCTCCTTACACTTGCCCGATGTAAAGTCGGATCCTCTCCCTGAACAACACAGAGAAGCACGATGCACCGTTAAGTCGGACACGAAAAATCCTTTCTTCCTTTCGTTCTTGAAATTTGTTCAAAAATTTGATAATATGTTTCATCTGTAGAGGAACGAATGTATCCGTATATATATTTGGAAGTTTAAGAAAAATCGAATTAAAGTTTCTTTTCAAAAGAAAATACGATCTATTTTTGTTTTTTGGAAGAAAAAAAAAAAAAAAAAAAAAGGGTTCTTTTTGATCGATATTATTATATAAATATATTATAATATTCATATACGCGTATATATAATAATATACTATGCATGTGATTTAACTAGATAGGAAGAGAAAAGGGTACGCAAGTAAAGAACGAGGAATATATTTAAAGGGTGAACTCAAAGTTGGAATCGTGATGTGCCATTCGGCCATTTTATTATAATTAATGAAAGAACCGACGGTAAATGAGAGTCGTTTGAAAAGAAAAGAAACCAAAAACGTTATGACAGTTGTATATTACAAGGATGGGAAAAGAAAAAAAAGAAAAGAAAAAAGAAAAAAAAAGAAAAGAAAGAAAAATTTCAAAATAATTTTCGTCGTATACTTGGATCATTCGATGCACGTTCACGCCATGACTATAAAAATAATCTCTAACCGCGCTTTACGAGCGATAAACTGACAGACCCCCTTATTTCCGACTTGTAAAGAGGACGTCCGGACTTTTAACTTTCCGCGAAAATATCAAGCAACTTTCATTTTCCATTAACTGGATCCAATTGATTGTTCTTTTTCTTTTATTTGTTCTTTTGTCGATGATCAAATCGTTACCGAAAATTATCCGCATAACCAAACAAAAAGAAAAAAAAAACGCAAATCAGTAAAGAAATTTGACAATTTCGTTTTCGACAACTTGCATCCCTTCCTTTAAAATCTCTCTCTCTCTCTCTCTCTCTCTCTTGTTTACTTTCCGTATAAACTATTCCACGTGTTTCTACCTATATCTATCTATCATCTATCTAACTATCAACGCTTCGCACAAATCATATTACACGCGAGTTCGCGTTAACAATTATTGCAATGTCATCATATTCAATGATCCGAGGAGAGCAAACACGATGATGCTCTAACGTAATGACGAAAATACGCGAAAACCATTTCTCGTTAACAGGATTATTTCGATCGGGATAAGTTGATCGTAACATCGCGTAGAAAATTGGTGCTCTTTTCAATTCGTTCAACAACAAGAACAAAATTAAACACTTGGAAAGATATTATTCTTATCAATAATTCGCGTAACACGTGTGTCCTTAGTTAAATATTCATCAAATACACGTAACGTCACACGTTAACATGATTATAAGAAAAAAAGATAAAGATAAAGAAAAAGAAAAGAACAAAAAGGGGGTAATTGGTATAGAAATTTGTTGGAAAAGTTATAAAAGAAGCAAAAAAAAAAGGAAAGCAAGAAAAAAATTTATAAAATATGCAGAAAACCGATCGCGAAACACGTAAACGAGACGACCCGAAAACGCGAATTGACCCACCCCAGGATATTTCTTCCTCGAGGGAGCCGGAATGTATTTCGCGGTTTGAGAGGACCGACTGCAGCCGCCGCGTGACTCCAAAGCTTCGTGTTTGCGTCTGATTTGCGCTTGCGTCCTCTTTCCACTTTCCTTCCCATCTATGTAAACGCGCCCGCGCGCACCCGCGCACACCCCCACGCGTCCGCGCCAATCCCTTTGTCCTCTTCTAAGCTTCCTCTTCCTTCCTACCTTTCTTCCTATCTTTCTTATTCTTATATTGATAGATACTACCTATTCGAAAAAGACTTTAAAAAGGATTTATGCCAACGTCGTTTCGATAAACGAACCCCCGTAAGATTTTATCAGAACTTATCGAGCAAGTATTATTTTCTATTTCAACGAGTAAACATAGAAAGCTCTCTCTCTCTCTCTCTCTCTCTCTTTCTTTCTTTTCATACTAGAGATTAAATTTAAAAAATATATATTTTTTATTATTTTTACATTTATTTTAACAAGGCATAATCTATGTTCAATACTGTATACTATGATTCGATAATATTAAACTTATATACGAGTCGCCCAATGCATAATAACATTTTCATCTATGATAAGAACGAAATGATTACTCAAGACAGCAAGAAAAGTAAACTAATTGTAAGTTGCATATTGAACGAACACTCGCTATATGTCATTTATGGTTACAGAAGTACGTGGTTCAAATTTAAAGTACCTACTCTGGCTGCAGGAAAAAGCATCTTCATTCCTGTCAATTGCATACACCTTCACGACGTTGAAGTTCGCTTATCACGCTTGTAGTTTATATTTTATCCATATCTGTCGCTAAAGTCATAAAAAAAAAAAGAGAAAATCAAGAAACATTACTAATTCGTTTGTTTCCATCGACGCGACCGAGTCGTATCTCATTCATTTATCATTCCTCATCTTTCGGCAGACCCATCAAAATTATTTTTCTCATCAATTTTTTTCTACATCGAAGCATCGAAGAAAAATTCATCGTAAAAAGAAGACGAAACTATTTTCTCAAGATTTTCTCGATAACAAATAATACGTTCATCTAAAAGTAAATAGCGTCAATATGTGCGACCATTGCGCGTGAGTATAATGCGAATTTGTGAAAATCCCCTGAACGTTCACGTACAAACAGATCTATTTCAACGTTATCACGTATTTCTCTTATATCGTGCAGAAAAGTAACCAGTCAGAAAGGATACGCCGGCCAAGTGACGTGCAAATGTGAACAGTAAGTTCTTATTTATATTTCTCGTACGGTTAAATTATTTACCGCCCTATACCCCCCATTAAAAAATTATAAAATAATTTATTGCGAAATGTCAAAAAATATATCATTTGAAGCAAACAAGCATGACAACATTTGTTGTTTCGTAGTGCCGAGAAGAAGGAGGAGACCAAAAAGGAAGAACTTGGTGGTTGCTGTAGCCGAAAGTACGAACTCCATCAATTTCCTTTTCCGATTCGAGAACCGACTTATGTTAGGGAGATAAATTGAGAAAGAAAAAAAGAGAGAAAGGGGGAGTTTTTTTTTTTCTTCGTAGTAAATTCAACTATTACCATTAGCAGCAACATCCTTCTTTTCTCGACTATTTGATTCGTTTATTTTTTTTGTTTTTATTTGTGTTGTGATTTTCTTTATCCCCAATATGGCCGCCGTCGTCTTTGTCGTTGGTATTTTCAACATATCGATTCAAACTACGCTTTGATTCTGTGTTTCTTTCATTTTTTTTGGTTGCTATCTGACCATTGAACGAGAAAATGCGATCAGTTAGATAAATCGATCGAATGTATGCGCAGAGAACGAAAGACGGAAAGTGGATGCTGCGGTGCCAAATGTTGCGCCGGTACGAAGGAACGTAGTGGTTGCTGCTGACATTCCTTGCTCGGAGGGACCAGAAATTCCAATTTAATTCTTTCACTTTTCGAGATCGACCGTGTTCTCTAAAAGAACTGACACCCACGAGAGAAGAATCTAGAATATAATGGTAATGCGTGGTGTGCGGTCATATGGGGTTTTTTATATTGTTTTGTTTTGTTTTATCTCCATTTATTTTCCCCCCCCCATTAAAATTAATTGTCAATATATATGTATATATGTATATAGTATTTTCAAAAGCATTTCCTTTCACATATATTTTGCATCGTTGATTTATTATTTTCTTTAGAGCAAGAGAAGCTGCCGGTGGTTGCTGTATGTCAGGCTGTTGCAAAGAGAAAAACGATAAGCCTAACAAAACTCGGAAAGAAGGTCCTAGTTGCTGCGGCCATAATAATTAATCACGTTGAAATACCATACCCTTTTTTTAAGTCAAATACTATAATTCTGTAATGCTGATTATAAAATAAATATAAACGATGCTTTGGTGAAATTGGATCAATTCGATTATTTAATTAATAGATTCGTGTTTGATTATTTTATTTATGAACGTTAATAAACCAAATTTAATAACTATTACAAAATTTATCGATCAGCATTTAAGATTAAGATCTTTTGTTTTTCCTTTGATCTCAATTTTATTTCATCTTTCTTTCGAGATATCGAATCGAAATGTAATAAGAAAACAAGTATAACCTTTTAACATCTATTAACAAATTATTCTTTCGACTTAAATCAATTGACAAATTTTCTATTTGGCATAATGTGTAATTATTGCAACTAAGATTAGAAAGAAGCAAAACGATTTTTCTATTTCTATGTTTGTTTAAAAATTTTTAATATTGTACGATGAAACCGACGCAAGAATTATCGCCTCGAGGAATCGATGATGCGAGGTAAAAAAAAAATAAAGGAAATAAAAATATTTAGATTATTGATAAAAGTAAAAAAAAAAAAAACATCAGATTAAACAGAAATAATTAAAATCTAAAAATATATAAATGTAGATATAGAAAAAAGAAATATCTTATTGTTAAAGGGTTGCATAGTCATAATAATCTTTTACGTATCCTTGGAAAATCGGTTTTTGCAGAAAGATCAGCAGCTGTGATAGCCCTTCTTCTTCTCCAAAGGGATGCTGCTCTTGGAGGCAAAGTTGCTGCGGTGGCGGTTGTTGCGAACCAATGCCGAACTCCTGTTCTACTAGAAAGCAGGATAACGTTAACCGTTACCAAAAAGCAACGTCTGATTTTACCTATGGTTATACTCCTTTAGAAATGGCGATGAACATGCTACATGAAACGATTCAGAGTAAGCCCCTTAGATTTCAACAAACTACCGGTAACATTGTTTCCAATTACCAATGCTTTTTAAAAGAGAACTTCTTTGTGTATGAAAATATAATCTTTAAATAGCCAAGAAGAAAGTCTTATGCTCGAACATGTCGGAAGTAGAAACGTGCTATGGTGGTGAATGCGGTGAAACTCTGAATAAAGATTCGAATATAAAGAACATTAGGGAAGAACACGAAGAAAAAGAAAACGGTTTGGTTGAATCGACTATACGACTATCGGAACGATAGAAATACAAAATAAAAAAAAGACAAAAAGTAATAATATCCAATATAAAAATATGAAAAGTATAAAAAAAAAAAAAAAAAAAAGTGTGGATTTGGTATATGTTCGAGAAGACAAAAGTTTAAGAAAATCTAAGCAACTGAATCGTTTAAACACAGCATGGAAACTATTATTTCCCAAATCTATGTCGAATAATAGAATCCTTAGCCACGTTAGCCTTCTCTTCCAAGTAACTTAATCCTAAATAAAAGATACAAACGGTGAACCTTAATGTTCCACTGTTCTCTACTCTGAAATCAGAGTTGGAAGTCTGAAACGTTCGGAGTAATCCCTTTCTCTTCTATCTATTATTAACTAGGATCTTGGAAAGAAAAGGGCAAAGTTGAGCTTCTTCTTCTTCTTCTTCTTCTTCTTCCCCTCCTCATAGTATTCAGTTCGAAATACTTTTCGATACGAGTTCAACTCACATTATAGTTACGATGAGAACCAACGCCTGTATTTTACGATGTCACAGGTGACATCGAGAAATATCCGATAAATATTTCATCTATTCAGAAAATGAACAAATCAATCTTGACACCCATATAAAATTTATTACTACCTGTATTTTTTCGTGAATATCTATATAACATACAAAGTATATGTACAAATGTATGTATGTATATGTATGTTATATAGATATTCACGAAAAAATACAGGTAGTAATAAATTTTTACCTAATAACGTTTAGTACCTGTTATTCTATTTCATGATCGCAAAAGACAGCAATTGCTTTGTTTCCTATTCGCATGATTGCTTCGTATCTGTTTTCATGAAAATTAATGGAATCGGTAGGATTACAAAAGACTAAAGCAATCACTAGCGATAGCTATATTCACCCGGAAATTGGAGAATCACTCTGTGCGATACAAAACGGAACGAGACCAACAATATTGTCAATAGTTTCTATACGTTTCATTTATATATCTTTATATACCTACGCGTAAATTTTATAAAAATTTATAATTCAATGGATATTAGTATTCATTAACGTGTTTAAAAATATTTAGCAAAAGAAAAATTCATATTACGAAAAAAAGAGATTGGCATGGATTCTTTTCTCTTTTGTCGTGACATTTTAATTTCTTTTTATATCTTGTTCACAATCGTTAACAGTAGCGATAAAGAATCGTAGAAAATCAGAAAAGACATGGCTTTGGTCGCGTGCCGATGAAAATCGCAATTAGTTTCGAGTTGGTTGGGTTGGGTATGTCGAATCGCTCGGATGTTTCGTCGAATGCAAATCGATCAGTAATTGAATCGCGCTCTCCAACGTACGATTCGCGATAGAGATTTATGCGAAACGGTACTTTATCAAATATTCAAATATTCGTGAGGCAAAGCTTTTTTATTCGCCAAGCGACTAGTGCAAAAAATAGAGCGCCACAGCAGCTTGTCGAGATTGTAAAGTCGGCTTTGTGATCAATTATCGATTAACCGAAATATTTAACGAATAATAACAAGTCTAATATGTTCGAGCTAGATTTGTAAATATATAACATAGAATACACACGCATTTTTTCAAAATTCGATGAGCTTTCATAGGAGTTATCTAAAATCGATCAATCTTTTAACGAAATGAATATAAATTGTTAATATTAATTAAATTTTAAATAAAAAGTTTGTATACACAAGCGAACCTTTTTCTTTTACTTAATGTTTTCATTATTTAACAATCAACATCGACAGATCGTCCATGCAAAAGCAACGTATGAACGACTGACCCACATACGAATCCTAACGAAAGGATTAAAACACTACAAATAGACTAGGAAATATAGATATCTTCATTTCTATATATCAATCATGAGAGAAATTCTAAACTTTTTTTTCACTCTACACAAAAATACTCTCTTCTTATCAGCGAATAATATAAATAAGTTTGTTCTTGTTACAAAGTACACGAATAGTTTTACATAAGAAAACTCAATAAATCGTATACGTTGCAGCGCTTGAAGATGTAATTTATTCGCTACTCGTTTATAGGTCGATTCGATATCATAGAGAAGAAGATATATAACAGATAGAACGAAATATGAAACGTGATGCTTAGCCAGTTGTCTGAATATCAGTATATATGTATATGTGTAGTACTATATTTATACCTATGCGTAGTCGTAACTGATTTTTTGAAAAATATCTACATTTGTATATTGTTCCAGAAATAGAAAATATTTAAAGCTAAAGAAAAGAAAAAAAAAACATTTAACTGTATAAAGTATTGTTGCATTTATAGAGAAAACGAATGTAAATTTTTTTGTTCACTTCATTTTTCGACATAAATTAAAATAATTTGATATTATTAAAAGATAAACATTTTTAAAATACTATACATAATAAAACATTACTTTAGCGAGGTGCAGTAAGCTTCGCCATCAATCTCTGTCCGAAAAACTAAATTCCAGTCGAACGTGGAATTTGTTAAATCCAAAATTCCTATGCCATCCTAAACAATTATATCACATATACATATATCTGTGTAAGCGTTGTATTAATTTTACGTATCGATTTTAAAAACAATTCTTTTTCTTTAAATAAAATATCCTGAGTAAATTAAACATAAACACAATACAATAAAGAACTTTCATGAGTAACTCTTAGAAAGGAATTACTCATGTGCTCGTCAATAATTTATTTAATTAATTACAACCAGTAACTCGTGCCGATTAGAACCATTCATCCTCGATTTGATTAAGCACCAGAGGGACTCTACATTTAAACTCCCGACCTAATAAGTTCTACGATAGCTCCAAAAGACTCCTACTTCGTAGCAAGTATAGCAATCTTACGATCGGAAAGTAGTTCAGTTTGCTATTGAAAAAGATCTATCGAAGATCAATCGAAGAATAGATTTATTTATTGTAATATTTACTAACAAGTCATAATAAAAAATTTTTTAGTTGCTGATGAAGTCCCCAGTAAGGGACGAAACGTACAACTAGTTCAAATTAATTGTTCATAAGATTTATTAACCGTCTATAACTCCCTTTTGAGACTTATATATTAATAACATATTTGTGGACGAGAAAATTGATAATTAAATAAATACTAACATTGCATTCCAATGGGATGATTCTTAATGGCACTATGGTGGTGCATCTCGCGTGAATCTAATAACGCGTTATTAACGATATTAAGAAACTAAAGATGAATTTCTTATAGCGAAACCGAAATTTAATTATACGGCGAACAACACTGATTCAAAAATTATTTCAAAGATTATTCTATTTCCGATAGATATTTTGATAGAATTTTCAAAAATTATATTTTATATGTTGTGTTTCTATATATGCCTTCAGAAATATTTTTATTACAAGTGATCGTCGTTGGATTTAACTTTAATCCTCTTCAATTTTCTTGCATTAGAGTACCTTAAATGGTTATTATTGAAAATACATATATACATGCATTTCTGAATTGAAGTTGTCAGGCGTTATGCAAAATTGAAAACCACAATTAGACTAAAGAAATAAAATTTAAAATCTGTAAATAAAAAAGAACAGTAAATAACATGCTTTAAAATTGTTCATATTAATTCGCGAAAATACTTACAGATGGTTGCAATTTGACATAACATTTGGCAACTTGAAACGCCTTGTCACAGAAATCATCTCCAGCTGAAACAACAATTTCTCATCAACCTTGAAACTTAAAAAATTTTCATTGATCTTAAAGGATCGAATTGATCAACAACAAAAATTGGAAAAATGGAAACGAAAAGAAAAATACTTACGAAGGGACTTGCATCTTCGGAATATCTCCCACGAGGATTGTTGTATAAATCTTGGTAATTGTTGAAGCACTTTACTCAAGTCCATCCAATGATCGTTGTTATCGAGAATACCATTTTTCATCATAAAGCATCTTAGATAACACTTCAATCGTGGATCAGCATCTTGATCGAAATTACCGGCTTTTAATTTTTTCAGTGACGCTAAGAAAGATCAACATCAAATTTTGTTCATTTATCTTTTTTCATTCGCAAAATAATATCTTAAATATTATTGAATAAACCAGTATAGGACAATGACAACAAAGTTTTTTCCAAAATGATTTTCAAGTTAACAGCAAGTTATCCTCTTTAAAAGGATAATCGATCAATCTGGCGTAGCATCAATCATTATATGGTTTATCTTTTAAGAACCCTTACCCCATGAAACCATTGACTGTTTGCGGCATTCTCTCTTGATGTCCGCTTCCGTTCGAATCTACAAAATGTATTACGATTGGTGACTTCTTTTTCTGTACGATACATGCATAGTATCATGCATGCATGGTTATATACAAACTTCACCATGAAAAGCCACGATAGCAAGAAAACTAACATTTCTATCACGTGTCACCTAGATTTGTCAATGTATTTAGCATGTATGCATGGATGCAAAAATGTACAACGCGAGAAAGTGTGAGAAAAAGTATCATGTAAAATCTCATTTTCAGGACTTTTTATTTCAAGAGGATAGAATACGGCGAACGAACAATTTCATGGTTCTCGAGGACAATAGGGACTCTCTTGTCCACTCTCGAAAACGAGAGCGGTGCAAGGTATTGTACGTGTACGCGATGCAATATAATGGCCGTAACATTCGTTGGGCGTAACAAATTTCGAGAAAGAGAACCTACCAACCAAATTAAATCACATCTAGATACATACATACGATAAATAAGTAACTCTTTGCCATTAAAACATTATGGTAATTTTTTCTTAATTGACTATACAGAACTTTCATTCGTGCTCTATTTTATCTCATGATACTTTATTTTCGGGAAAAATAATATATTTAAATTAATAAATTATATATATAATTTTCTCTTCATCGTGGTGTGCTTTAAAGATCAACGTTTCGCAATAGATTGTTACAAAATTTGCTGAAGCATAAATTATCGATGAAAAACTTACCAAAAGAGCCAAAATAGTTGTGCAAACGACGAACAATCGAGCATTTATCTTCATGCTTGAACCAGACAGCCAAATTTTCTTCAAATTTATCCCAAAAATATCTTTTATCCCACACAAACCTTATTTCCTTTTTTCCTGTTATTTTCTTCGCTCGTTTTACCAACCACTAATATTTAACTACGAACTTGTACGATTCAATTCGATCGAATAGTTTGAAATTTATCGGCATGCTTTAATTGCACCATTCTTATGTATATAGGCTATAAAAAATGCACATAAAAAGTTTACAAAACTTTAGCATACGTGATATCGGTCGGAGTAAGTATTATACATATATACATAATATACTCGTAAATGTTAATCGATTGACCGCAAAGTATGTTGGATCGATCGGTTAAAAGGATTCTTTTCAACTTACGAATAATCATTACACACATGCACTGCATTATTATTTATTTTATGATATGTTAATTAAACATAATATCCTTCGAGTAAAATGCTTATATTATTAAGGGGATTAGTTTATCTGATAAGGCTTATCGAATATTTAAATTATCAAACAATGAAAAAGTTTGAAAATACAAATGTTCTTATACAAGGGAATAGGATGCAAATGTAAAAAACCATGATATACATTTACTTTTGAATCATTACCGGTGAAATATGTTCTTAAAGCATGTTATAAGCATATATGCAAGGCTATCTTATTCCTTTTGCTGAAAACGCGATACATATCTGTATTTTTCACACATAAATATTAATTAAATAAATACGTTTTGAATTGACTTACTTTCAAAGACTATAAAATTAGCTTGAAAAATTCTCAGCCACCTTTTTTTACTTACTTTTATCGTCGCATTTTTATAAATTGAACCTAGATGGTTCCCGTAATTCTGGAGCAATTGCGTTCAATGCCTCTTGCGAATTAAAGTTTCCAGAATTGTCCATTTATTCTAGAAAATTCTTCATTAAATATTTCAAACGTTGAAAGGTAAAAAAACAATCGCGTTCCGTAAAAAGAGTCGAATAATAAATTTCAGCAAAAAAGAAACATTACTAACAGCGTTGTTTCTTTTAAAAAAGCAAAAGATATAACATTTTTTATGTTCCGGACGTTCGTTGTTACTTTTTATTTGTTCTAAAATTAACAATCAAATTATTTATCTCAAGTTTTTCTCTTTGACAAAATATCTAATAGAGAAACTTTCTTTTTTTACCTAAAGTCAAGTTTGATTTCTAGTATATTTTTATTTCACTTCTTTGTCATCCTTTTGCAATCTGATTGGTAGATAAAAAAAAAAAAAAGAAAGAGAGAAAGAAAAAAATTAATATGAATTACCCAGCACACATAAAATCAGTGATTTCTAATCCTTCGACGATCAATCGGTATCGTACAATTCGTTCGGCAAATTACTTGAACGTGACATTAATCGCGTATCTGTCACGAACCAACGCACGTATATCAACGATAATCGAGTTGTTTGGAATGTTTAATCGGACTGAATTGTGGTTAAAAAGATTTTCTAAGATTCGACTTAAATTCGAGAAATAGTTCTTCGTTCGAAATACACTCCAGCTTTCCCGCGATCGATTTTATTCTACATGGAATAATATTTATTCGAGTAGGATCAAATATATTTTTTATATTTCATTAACAATGATCTTTCTGTTTAAATGCAAAATGTTTGCTATAAAAATAGAAAAAACTTGCAAGTTACTTACAGCTGCGATCGCAACAAATATTAGCAAAATGATTGTCAAAAAATGCAACATCATTCACTCTATATTTACTTGGAATATAAATAATTATATGCGACAGTAGCAATCAATGTCTTCCAATTTACTTCCCTCAAAGTTCTTTTTCGAGAAATGAACGATAGATTGGCCTCGTAAATTCGATTCCTGTCTAAAGAAGAAATCCGGTCTCTTCTTATTTCGGGGAAACGAAGAAAAAGATTAATTTCCTTTCGGAATCTGTGTTTGTAAATAGACGGAAGCCCAGGTGGTTATTCGCTAATAATAAAAGAAAAAAAGATTGGTAATCGGATGTGAAAATATCAAGAAAATATCAAGAAAATATTAAGAATGTGTTCTACAGACGCGGTATATACTAAACTCATATATAGTTATATACTTACACGATGTTTCATGATTGCTTCTGCTAACCGAGAATATAATAATTTTATTAAGTTTACCAACAAATTTCGTCTCTACTCGAAGGAAAATTATTTTCAAGTAAAATACTATTTGAGAAATGTACGTGAAATCTTAGGGAAATAAAAATAAGCGTTCATCAGTTAAATTCATTGTCAGCAATGATAATCTTTGCTCAATCAACTTTGTGAAAGATACTTTAAATGAATATTAAAATATTCCACGGTTATCTTTATTTTCTGTTTCGTTAAATGATGGAAAATGTTATTCATATACCTTAGGAAATCAGTGGGACTATTACAAAGATCAAACGGAGTTCAATTCTAATTAACGAGCAACAAACTAATATGTGAACAGCAATCCCTCTCAGAATCGATCGATTGAAAACGATTGCAATCGCCCGTGAATTATTGACACGGTTAAATGGTAATTTCCTAAAATTCTCTTTCATCTATTAATGACTTTAAAGAGATCCTCAAAAACGAAGCTGGTGAATCACCAATCAACCGTTTCAAACGAACAGACTGATCAATCGTGATGAATTTGACAATTTATCGTCATTTTATTGAGACCTACTCGACGAAATAACAAATAAAAGCGAGAATTGTACTAATTTTTTACCATTAAATTATTAAAAAATACGATATATGTACGATATAGAAGTTTATTAATTTATTAAATATAAGTATGTGTTTTAAAAATATTACATCAACGTGATTGGATACACACTCGTGAAAACATAACGATATCTTTTAAAAACTCTCATAAATTAACGAAGAAAATGAGAACCGAAAAAAGCCATTGAAATATTTTCTTTTCATTTTTCATATCATTAGTTTTGTTCCTCCCATCATATAAGTAGTAGTATTATATTGTCAATCCCCATAAGTAAAAGATGAAGTTAGATAAAGAAACTTACTCTATTCGTTGTGTGCAAGGTATTATGCGCGAGCGGTAAAATATGAAATTAAAAAACTACCAAAGAGTTTTCCCTGCTTCTTACACGTCTTGCGTTAGAATTATTTTTAGATTAAAGATAAATTATGGTCAGATATTAAAGCGAACAATGCTATTTGATAGATCTAATAATGCGTATGCACATATACAGGATGAGATAAAATTCTTTTTGACCAGTTTATTCACAGAAACCACAAGAAATTTGGATAAAAACTTGTATATGCACGCAGGTGCATATACAAACTACATAAAAAATAGAAGATAACTCTAGATAGGTCGGTAAATAGGTAAGCAGGAAGAAAGGAGGATTACGTAGAAGTAAAATCTAGATAAGGGGCCATGACTAGGAAGGTGGGGATCTAGTGCGAAACGGTGGAGGGGAAGTTGGCATATTGGTGAGGGAAGGGTTTGACGAAAGGGGAGGCTCGCGTTCAAATCGACTCGGCTCGGCTCGACTCGATTCCCTTGTGCGGGATGCGCATTGCGCTATACGAGGAACGCGCAAGCGCATTAAAAGAACAAATGGATGGGAGGAGAAAGAAAGCGCGCAGGTAAAAGCGATGTGCGCGACGCGTGACACGCGAAATGATATGATAGAGTATCCCGTCGTTCGTTCGATTACCCCGTGAATAATATTCATTGATTATTTTTGACGAGAAGCAACCAATACTCGCTAACTCGCTGTTATTTTGTTTGTCACGAATCGCGGTTCGATCATTGAGGTTAGGTAGTTAGTGCTAGATTGTCGTTAAACGAAATAGGGATAGGGAGAACGAGTACGAGGTGTGTGTGTTGTGTGCGTGCGTGCGTGCTGCATGCGCGCGTGTGTGTATGGTTTCTGAGTGTATGAGAGAGCGAGAGAAGGGAAAAGGTCGTCGGTGGCGCTGCGGAGCTCGGATGCACGAGAATAATTAAAATCAATGTGACGTCGGTGCAGTGTTTGTCGGGTTGCGTCCTGCGTGCGTCGGTTTTTTTCATTTAAAAGTTTCATTTAAAGGAGCGACGTTGAGAGAGGGATGTCGAACGGATTGATGCTGCCAAATGACAATCACGATACGTGCCAGACGAGTAAGGACACACAGAATAACGTTCCTCGTCTACGTATCAGTCTACGATATTTCTGTCCGTCTTTTCTCATGATGCGATCCTATGCAGCTAGCACCACCTCGATGGTCGCCGCTAATGCCGCTGCATCCGTGGAGGGGTTGCAGGGGGAACACTCTACTGGGGTGAGTTTCAACCAATTAGAGTTATTTTTAGAGAATAATTTTTTTTTCTTTACCTCTCAGCACATATTTTTCTCTCATTATACCCTTTGCAGATGGACCAGCAGATCGTTACTAGGCCTAGATTGAAGAGACCTGCTGAGTCTGATCTGGAAGGTCAGTTACAGATTGTTCCTGTGCTTAATAACGTAGAGTACGAGTCCTTCTCCTTTTGTATTTTACTTTGATAAACTCTTATCTTATATGTTTTCATATAGTATTATACAATATCTTTGAACGAATTAGTTTCTCTTTCATTCCTTCATCAGGTGTATCTATACCAAAGAAGCGTCACAAAAATCCACAACCAAAGAATGCGGTATGCGCTTTAAACGAATTGAAAACTGGAGCAGTATACAAGGTGGTTGGTCAAACTGGACCTACCCATGCTCCTATATTTACCATCGCAGTACAGATAGATGGACAAACTTATGAGGGCAAAGGACGTACCAAGAAGATGGCTAAACATGCTGCCGCTGAACTTGCTTTAAGAAATATAGTGCAGTTCCGTAATACACCAGAAGTACACCAAGCTATTAATACGTGCCAGCCTGTTGTTCCCCTGGAACCTGATTTTACCAGCGATGTCACAGAGAGAGATAATCATCTTGTAAATGCGTTCAAGACATTGACTCAAGAGCCAAAAAATACCAACAAATTTTTAGACAAAGGTCCCGTTGCACTCATCAACGAGCTATATCCTGGAGTTGTATACAAATGTATATCGGACAATGGAGAAAGTTATGCAAAATTTACAATATCTGTAACGATAGATGGAGAAACTTTTGAAGGCACTGGCCCGAGTAAAAAGTTGGCCAAAGCTGCAGCTAGCAAAGCAGCTTTGGCAAAATTAAGGAATGTCCACAGTTCTTCTTTTTGCATTCAGCTCCCCGTTCGTGTATTACCTAACTATTCAAATTCTGGCCACTGGCAAGAACAAATGACTCTACCACAAATCTTGGCAGATAAAATAGGAAAAATGGTAAATCAAAAATTCACTGAACTTATACAGAGTAAGCCACAACATGCTCGACGCAAAGTATTAGCTGGCATAGTGCAAACAAACGGATCGGATGCCGAATTAATATGCGTCACTACTGGTAAAGCGTAGATCTCTGTTAAATCTCTCTTGAACGTAATAACATCTTCATCATTCTTATTTATTTAAGGTACGAAATGTGTATCCGGGGATCATTTAAGTGTAAGCGGTAGGGCTTTAAATGACTGCCACGCAGAAGTGGTAGCTCGACGTTGTCTCTGCGAATATTTGTACAAACAGTTGGAGTTGCATACCGAAAACCGATCAGCCGAGTCTGTCTTGGAACGCATAAAGAAGGGATTTAGGTTGAAACAAGGAATTCAGTTTCATTTATACATAAATACGGCTCCGTGCGGAGATGCTAGAATATTTTCTCCTCACGAAGAAAACGAATCCGTGGACAAACATCCTAACAGAAGGGCCAGAGGTCAATTAAGAACTAAGATAGAATCGGGAGAAGGTACGATACCTGTAAAGAGTAGCGAAGGAATTCAAACTTGGGATGGTGTTCTTATGGTAAATACAACTATACGATTTAAAATTGAAGTAACGTGTCTATAATTTAATTTTATTCCTTAGTAACTTGACTTATTATTTATTTATTTATTTTAATTCGCAGGGACAAAGACTGCTGACGATGTCGTGTTCAGACAAAATAGCTCGATGGAACGTACTTGGTGTGCAAGGTGCACTTCTAAGCCACTTCATCGAGCCAATTTACTTCCACAGCATCGTTCTCGGCAGTCTGTTGAACCCTAGTCACATGTATCGAGCTGTTTGCGGCCGTATTGAAAATACTATTCAAGGTCTACCACCACCTTACAGGCTCAACAAACCATTGATGAGTCTAATAACTTCGTCCGAAGTTAGGCAACCAGGCAAGGCACCGAATTACAGCGTTAATTGGACTATCGGTACGTACGCTTAGTCCGTCTTAAGAAATCTTTTTCCAATCCTCTAAAAGGTATATTTCTTTTTAATAATTTATGTAGGTCAAAGCGAAGCAGAAGTAATTAACTGTACCACAGGAAAGGACGAATTGGGTAAACCCTCTAGAATTTCAAAGCAGGGGCTCTTTAGGAAATTCTTCAGCCTATTAGGTAAATTGGAGACAATTGACGATGCCGATCAAAATCAATGTCGTCATTATCTCGATGCGAAATCGTCGGTTCAAGATTACTCTGTAAGTTATTGATATATAATATTTATTATATAATAACAAATTTTATCATCGTATATATTTATAAATATTTATACATGTATACACATGCAGAGAAAGTAGAAAAAGTAGATGTTTTATACTGTTTTTTGTTACGACAGCTTGCCAAACGTCAATTGAAGGACGCGTTTGTACGCGCTCAACTTGGCAGTTGGGTTAAAAAACCACTTGAACAAGATATGTTTGAGGTGGATATCTGACTAAATCGGTGTATCGATGCAAACCTAAGGAATAGGGTAAATTCTCAGTTAGCGGAGTATGTAGTTCCTAGTGTAAAATAGATCACTCGTTCGGCGTGTCATGCTATGGCAGAATTTGGCATCAGTAAAGCATAAATCGTAGGATGTTGAAAGCAAGATAATATTTTGACTTTGTCACTGCACGATCCAACGAGTAGTAATAAACGTGTTCGCGTTAAAAGTGTACAATGAAAATCGATTGTTTTCGATTGAGATTAAAAACAGCATAGTCAAATCTCGATACTCTTCGAATTTTTTGATCTTTAATACTAGTCACACGTCAATTTTTGACAGTTTCTATAGACTGGTAGATAGATAAGAGCGAAATGTTTCGTTTCGTAAACGTTAATAGAGTTAATCGACCGAAAGGATGCAAAAGTATTTTAAAAAGGTTTTAATTTTATGTTACAACGGCATGTCGTAAGAGAGAAATTTGTGGATATTTCACGATGAAACGAGTCAGCACATATCCATTATTCTTCGAGGTCCTATTGTTAAACTTTGTTATCGTTCTCTTATAATTAACTTAAATTTTTTTAGATGAAAGAGAAATTCGACGGAAGACCCTTTACCTCCTCCCTTCTCTTTCCTCCCTTGTTAATTCCCAACATTTGCTACCTGTCCATTTTTATCGAGGTCTACCTTTATGCTTCGTGGTTGGTAATCTTTCGATCGACGAAACTTTTCACCTTGAATATTTCATTTTCTATTTTTCAATATTAAAAGAAAATAAAAGAAGTTATCAAGGTAACGTGAATAATTCTTTTTAACATAAACCACGAAGGCGTAATTTGAAATTTCAATAGCACGAGTAATGTACGTGACACCGCAAATGCTAATTTTACGAATCTATTGTGCCGACTATGTATGTGTATCCGGGTCACGTGTTCCAAGAAGCTACGTTATATCTGCATTCATATGCATTCTATGTACACGCCTGTAGTAGACAAAGAGAAAAAAGGAGAACATTTTTAAATGGTTTTCTTTTTTCTTTCTCTTTAACTTATATTTTAAACTCTTGTCCCTGCTTTCTCCAATGATAATTGAGCGATATTTCAAACGACTTTTAGCAATGTCATCGCTTTTCTCAACTAGTCCTACTTGCTCGTTTAACGTGTAATGATTTTTTGAATTTTTTTTTGAAAAAAACAAAAAACCATATAAAATAGAAACGTTGGGAGTATTCGCAACAAGCTATACCACTGGCAAAACGAGAACCTCGTCCCTCTTTCTCCCTCTACCTCTTTTAAAAAATCCAAGCAATCGTTAGAATTAATATTTAGACTCCGCGGTAATTTTACCTCGGGTCTCTCGCGAAAAAAAAGGAAAATATCAATGTCCAATACCGTATAGCGAGAGATCTAGCCGCGTTGTTACGGTATTGTTATTTTTTTGTCCTTGTAAGGTTCCAATATTTATCTTAGCGGCTTGGTCTCAAAAGCTGCCGTACATTGCATCCCTGTGAAAGGCTGTGACCAGATCCAGATTTTAACGAAGGATTTTTTCAAGACGTTTAATCGTTCATATTTTATCGTAAAGATAGATAAACGGAAAATACAAGTTGAGAAGAATCAGAGGACTTTTTTTTTTTAACGTGACGAAATACGAGAGGAGAAGAAGAAAAAAAAACTTTGTGATAAAGAGAAAATACGACGTATACCTTTTTTTCCTTGAATTTTTCGTTTATCGTCTTCGCGAATCCTTCGATGAGACAAAAAGAAGAAGAGCGTCCTTGAACAGTTCGATGTCGTTACTATTAATTTTGATAGCAAGTACGTATGCGAGAATAAAATAATGCGTGTGGTGAATGTATATGTAACTCGTGCGCGTGAGAAGGATAAAATGATGTTTGCGTGAATGGTTTTGCGTTTGCCAAAGAGAAAATGAAAAAGTGAAACAAATACGTGGAGAGCAATGCTACTTACAAAGTAAAGTATTAGTAGAAAAATAAGTTATAAGTATTAATAAGTATATTATAGCGGATATGATTATTTAGAAAGTCCTAAGATCGTTGCCTCACTGTGCCAGTATTAAAACAATTATAATGCAATTCTGCCGTAGTGACACACTGCCCGAAGCCGATCTAGTTTTGCGTCAGAGAACTTGACTCCGCCACCCTCCGTCTTGTTGCTTCTTTCGATTTACCCTGCTCGGATTATCACAAGTAGAAATGAAGCTTTTAGATAATTTTTTCTATATTCAGTTTCACCTCCTTGTCTCGTTCATTCCGAAACCCAATATTATAATGTACTCGTATAATATTTTTCTTTTCTTTTTATATATTTTGTTTTAACTTATATCCAGAAGAAAGAGAGAATAAGAATGTTAGAGAGGGGAGTGGGGAGTATTGGAACTAAATGTAGTTGTCGAACGTAGCTTTATTACAAATATATGTGAAGAATTGAATGATGTTATTTTTTCTGCAGTCAACAAAATATATTTAACTAAATCATTAGTTTACATTTGTTTTGTTATATTTTTTATAATATATAAAATTATGAAATAATAAATAATAGTCGATTCTTTTTTAATATTATTCTTTCTTTGTAATTTAATTTTACATGCAGAAAAAATAATAATTTTATTATAGTTAAAGAGCAAATTTATTATTTATTTATTCCGTATTTATTATTGCATAATACTATTATTTAAATTATTTTGTTATTTAGAAAAAGAACAACGTTTTAATCAAAACTAATATCAGAAATGGATTCCAAAAATTATTTATTTTATTTTTAATTGTTTGTTTTTTTATTCTTTTTAAATACATTTTTTCCATATAATATTATTTTATATCTATATTTAATAGAGAAGTGTTATTTTCTTTGACAGAAAAAGCTTAATATTAAATCGATATACAAAATTTTTTCATATTATAACGTACGTAATTAATTATAATCATATTCATAATTAATTTTTAACTACTAACATTTAAATTCATTTGAATATTATTAGGTAATGAAAAACAAAAAAAGAAAGAAAAGAAATGGTATTATATAGAATTAAAATGCACGATGAGAGAGTCAAAAATTTTCTTTCTCATATTATTATTATTATTATTATTATTATTATTGCCAGTTAATGCAGCTTCTTCTGCAGTAGTCGAGAAGACTCATCATTTGTTGGTTCTATAGACCTCCGGGGCTTAGTTTAAAAGAAAAGAAAAGAAAGAAAAAAAATACGAAATAAAAGGAGGCTACGATGTTAAAAAACGACGAGAACAACGACGACAAGTCATCATTCGTAGGACGAAAGCTCAAGGGCGTATACATACCTCCATTCTTTTTTTCTCTTTCATCATTGTACTTCTTATGCAAGTAGTAACAGGGACGACAGCATCAATTCTATAACATATTATACATATATGTATGATGAGTGTGTGTGCGCGCGCGCGTGCGTGTGTGTATCTATGCATGTATGCACATATATATATGTATACGTAAAGAAAAAACGTAAAAGAAAAGAATACACGCGACATGTAGTATGTACTTCTACGTATGTACTTTACAAATTAACACATTTTTAGAGAAAAAAAAAAAAAAAGAAAAGATAATATACTACTTACGATTAGTGGTCGACAAGTGATCAATATAAATTTCCAGAGTGAGAATTTAGTTAATAATTATTAACTTGGTAGTTTCAGTCTAATTAATGAGAAAAAAAAAAACAAAAAAAAAAAACAAAAAAAAACAAAAAAAGAAGAATACTTCGATTTGCAATTTTTCTCCTGTCATAACGACGACGTTATATATTTACAAGCAGACATGATATACGTATGTGTATATATGTATGTATATATATATATATATATGTATATCTTGAGCGAATCATCTTAATTTACATGTATAAATATCTCGGTTGCTTTTAACAATTGAAATAACGCATTTCTGTAGGAAGAATACGTTTGATTTGAATAGGTTGTTAATATATTAGTAAAAGTAAAAAACTTTTTACTCGAAGGCCATATTGGTTTTTTAAATGTAGGTCAAGGCTCAAGATTCTTTTTGTTTTTTTTTTTTTTTTTCTTTTTTCTATGAAAAAAGATAAACTTTTATCGTAATAACCGTATACGGAAATATTCTCATATTAGTCTGTACTTTTCAATTTTACAAAGTATTCTCGCAGAAGAGATGGAATAAAATGAGAAAAAAAACGTGTACTTAAATTTTCTTCGGACAGTATTATTAATAATAATGTTATGATGGAGGCATACATAACCTTATTATTATAATATTTTGTTTTTATTTATTAAAAGCTTATTAAAATTGCAGTACACGTTTAAATACCAATTGATATTATTATTAAGATACAATATACGAATATTGTAAATATATTTGTTATATTTTTTATTAGAGAATCATATAATCGATGTGAACTTTTTTTTTAATTCTTACCATAAGAATTTCTTCGAATAAAGAAGAAGAAGAAAAAAAAAAGTATCCTCTTCCAAAATGGTTACCTATCATTAAAAGTAATCGAGATATTAATTCGCTTGGTATGTACATATAAACATACGTATATATATATCTCGAGCTCGTTTTCGAGTTATCGAAATAACATCGATTGTCAAGCAGGAAAAACTTTCTTGTAGTCGGCTAGATTATAAGCTTGACTAGTGCCTCTAGATGTAATTTCTCCGAATAAGTAAGAAAATCGATCTAGTTGAAATTACAAATAATAAAAAATATCTTTATTTATTAACAGCGAAAATAAAGACGGAAAACGAAAAAAGAAAAAGAAGAAATAAATAACGAGCAAAGAAAGATAAGGCAGAGAGAGAGAGAGAGAGAGAGAGAGAGAGAGAAAGAGACCGACTCCTCTGTTTTTTCTTTTTCATTTCACTTTACTTTTTATTTAAAAAGAAAAAAGTGTCATTTATTTTGCGTTCTGCTAAAAAAAAGAAAATGTTATTAAAAAGCAATTATTTTGAAAGAAGTTAAACGAGGAAGACAAAAATAATCTCTAATCACGAATTTCTTCTCTACGATCTTAACATTTGTAATAGTTTAGCTTAATGATAATGAAAGATAACATTTGCTTTTGTGCGTATCGTAAATAAGCGTACGCGAGATATATTGTAGCCGCTAGTTTTTTACACGCTCAACAACCAACCATACAATATGTATCTTTGCGTTTTTTATCATTTTCTTCGTTATTTTAAATATGACACGAAATAGAGGATAATGAGAGCGAGAATTCGTGTTTTTTAAATAAAACAAATCCGTTGCAAAATTTTGATGACAGCGATTATTTATTTTTACCCAACCTTTCGAATCGAAAGTTATTATTTTACGTTTTATCTTTAAAAGAAAGAAAATTAGCAATCTCTTTTTGGATTTCTTTTCAAGCCAACGATTCGAAAAAAAAAGAAAAAAAAAAGAAAAGAAAAAAACATTTCAAGGTAGAAATTCAAATGTAAGAATCATTTTTTTCCATATTTTTTTTTTTTTTCTTCAAACTTTATAGATATTACATTTTCATCGCGTGTACATGGGCATTTAATCATTTTCCAATAACGATCTATGACAATTAGCATATCGTACAATCGTCGTAGTATTTCGTACTTGATTTCTCATCGAATATATATGTATACATATATATATTATTATTAGATTCTAATTCATTGCCGAGGTCAGATTTCAAGTTTTAACGAAAAGAATATATGAAGAAAGAATTAGAGAAATTTTGAAAAGAAATAAATTATAAATCATCAGGTACGAAGTACGATCGAATTTCGGCGCGATATTATTATACATATACATATTGCAGCTTAAAATATACGTGATATGTATCTCTCTTTTTTTTTTTCTTCTCTTTTTTTTTCTTCTAATTATTCAATATACATGTATATATGTATATATATATATATATATATATATATATTTTTTTTTTACCGCGGCTTTGAATTTCGATATTACAAAAAAGAAGTAAAGATGAATGATATTGCATAACGACGGGTCAATTAAGCGCTTAAAATTTAAAACAATCGATAAATGACATATACATATGTATATACAAGGTCGTCTTTAGTCTAACTCGCGCGACTACCTAAAATAATCTCCTTTATTTCGTACGTTAGACAAAAAATGTCAGAGGAAAAAAATATTCTGTTCGATGGTGCCCGATATAATAGTGATGGGCCGAATGTTTTTTTTTTCCTTTGACATTTTTTTCTAACGTACGAAATAAACGAGATTATTTTAGGTGATCGAGTTAAGTGAAAAAAAAACCCTACTATATACATATATATCTTACGTCAATCGAGATCAGCAAAAACAACAGCAGTTTTGGCGAGTGAAAATTTCTGTTTTTTCTTTTTTTTTATCTTCCATTAATCGCGAAAAGCTTTAAATTAACGCACACATTTTTACTTTTAAAGTCTTTTTCTTCTATTGCGTTTTAGCGCTATATAAAATATAAACCTACCTTTAAAATTTCAAAGAGCATCATCGATGACAAATCGTAAGCTTCAAGATCAAAGATCGTTAATCAACTTGGCGTATTTCTTTTTCTCTCTCTCTCTCTCTCTCTCTCTCTTCGTGTATTAATTCGTTTAAAAAAAAAAACGAATTTAATAGAGAAGAAAATTAACGAATTGTGACAGATATCGTGAGTAAACTTTCGAAAGACAATTTTTGTTTATTTTCAAACACACCATTCCCCACCAAGGCAAAACGCTCGAATTCTTTACGTCATCATTAAGATATTATTTTGTTTGGGAGAAGATACTGTTTTTTTTTTCTCTCTCTCTTTTTTAAGCGATCAGGAAATGAATGATCGCATAAACAACAACGATGATAATCGAGACACAATCGAGAAGCTTTTAATATTGAAATTTGCTTACGTAGAGTTTATGATACGATGACATATTTTGTTCGTTTGACATTTTTTTTTTTTTTTTTTCGTTTATTTTAGAATGTTAATACGCAACTTATTTTTCGATATCGATTAATGAAAGTGTATAAGTAAGGCGCCCCAGTTACGCGCGTTCTCCTCTCATATTAAAAATAATTTATGAAATAATTGGAGTCCCATTGTTTCGTAAGTCCATTTGAAATGTTACAACAACGTTATAAACTACAACTATGCGACACTGAAATCACCGTTAGTTTAATTATTTTTTTAATTATTCCTTTTTTTTTTTATTTAAAGTTAAATCAATGGAAAATTTGAACGGCTGACTATAGTCGTCCATTGGTAAGAAAAATATATAACGTAAATTACATATCGTCGAACCAATCAAGTTTTTACAATACAAAGTTCGATAAGTTCTGTTAATTACTATCTATAATTGGTACTTACGATATGATGCTACGAAATATGATAGAATTCGTTTCTTCGAAAAGAATCTATAATGATCGAAGTCGAAAGATAACGACGACGATAGCCTTTTTTTTTTTATCTTTTTATCTAGAAGAATCTTAACGTAAAGTATGTCGTTAGAACAAGAAAGGTTTTTTTTTTTAAACGTTCGCTAATTTTCACGTAAAAATTACGATACAATATCTACAAGCTGTTAGAGCATAGAGATCACTATGAATCGTTCAATGATCGACATGTGCATATGATTTGCGAACATTGCCGATTTAACGCATTATTTATTGTTGCAAATCAATTCCAAATTACTTTTTTTTTCTTTTTTACATGGCCGCCATTTTGCGAAAAAAGTTTTTTCTTGCAAATCGCTCACGTCAAACGAAAACTACATTCCTACTCTTTAATAAATAACCAAGATTTTTGTTTTCAGATCATCAAGGAGGGTGGAATCGTATCAACCAGGGGGCAGCTTTTTTTTTTTGAGTCTCCACTTTGCGGGCCTGTACTTTTTTTTTTTATTAAATTTTTTTGTGCTCTTTAAACGTAAGTAAACAACCGATAAAAAAAACCCGATGATATAAATCTTTATCGTTTTTTATTTACAGCGTTTTAAGAAGAACCTAAAATTTGGCCCTCTAGACTAGAATCCTCCCTTAAATACATATTGTAACTCGTTGTGATTAAAACGTAAAATTCTAAATATTAGGTTAAATTGTAATAAATATAAGTTCTATTACAATATCAACGAGTTTATTACAATGGAAATAACATTTAATTGATAATAATTAATAAACTCGATATTATTTCATTTCGCGATGGAAAATATAAATGCTATTTAAAAATATATATATATATATATTGCAATAAAACGACAATTATATTTGTGAAAACAATTCTAATACGATCTCGATCTATTCTTTTAAAACGTATAATACTTAAAACACGTTATTTCTCAACGTCAAATTTAATCTCAACGAGTATCTCGATCGCGAATATTTTAAATTGATGGAAAAAAGAAAAAGATAAACTTTAGAATTTGGAATAAATAGCGACATCGATAAGGCAATGACCGCGGTGTTAACTCGTTGGTACTTCCTATCAAGGAAGAACAATTCAATTATAAAGAACGGACGCAATACGAGTCGAGGAATTTTTAGATAGAAGCCATCGGTTTCATTATTTTCTACAAAAATAGCTTTTATATCGAAATGGGATAGGAGTTCGCGTTTTTCATTCGGTTGATTTGAAATTGTTTATTCCAAAAAAAACCTCCACTCGTTCTTTCCTTTTAACACTTCACGGATCAGACATTTTATTGCTAATGCATTTGAACAATGAATGAACGATAAAATAAGATAAAAAACGAATGGGTCAATAATAATTAATTGTAAAATAGTTTAAAATCCATTATGGACACATACAAAATGCAAAACGTTCTCGTCTTTTATCCGTAATGTGTTAAATATTCGATTGATCTCATTCGAGATATCGATAATATCATCTCGATCGTCGTAACGCGTTCGTTCTTTAACAAACACGGCAACTGCTCTCGCTTTTTTTTTCTTCCTCCTTCCATAGTTTATATACGCGTGTATGTGTTTATTTTATATATATATAACTTGCATGTATATATATATATATCTACATGTATACTGCTAGTTTAAATTTTAGGATTAATTTCGACGAGTCGAATAGGTACAACGTTAACTCTAGCTTCTTCTTCTTTTTTTCTTTTTCCTCTTCCTTCTCCCTTTTTCTATTCTTTTTTTTTTCTTGTTCCACGAATAAGAATCGGCGAGATAAAATATTCATCCTTCCCGCGCGCATAGCATAGCTGCACTCGCAATTCAGTTTTTTAATTGCGGTCTCTTATTATTATTTGTTTTTTCTTTTTATTCCTTTTTTTTTGTCTTTTTTTGTTTTTTTTTTGTCTTTTTATTAGTTTCTTTTTCTTTTATTTCAACAGTGTTATACACGTATAACGACGAAATATATTGGTATTATGTATAATAATGATATCGTACCACAGGAACTACTCGATAGAATGTATTAGGATTAATTTTACACGAGTTTATCTTTTTGACAAAATCAATGAATAGCATTTGGCAATAGGAACAGAAGAGAATTTTCAAACGATAGATAAAGAGAGAGAGAGAGTGAGTGAGTGAGTGAGTGAAATAGCTCGGCATTTAAGAGAACAATATTTACAAGGAATAATATTAGTATCTTCTCTGTCCCCTTAGACGTTCCTTTCTAATTCTTTTCTAATAATCGAAAATAAAAAGTCGTTGCTAAATTTGCGTTTTCTAAATTTGTATTATGAATTTACGTTATATTCGTTGAACGAAAGTGGACGTTTAAGAGCGCGTGTATATATCGTTTGAAATATTAATTAATTAATCTCGAATGGAATACGATCCGCGTAAATGATCTCTCGTGGAAGTGTTTGTTATAAGCGTGAAAATGGCGCACAAACGGCGCTTATTTATAATTCAGACTTGTCAAGTAAGAAAAAGAAAGGAGCGTGTGAAATCCTTTTTTTTTTTTTTCTTTTAAATCCTCGACTATCACACCGGTAAATCGATTATAATTGTCAAATCGATTAATATTCGTCGTATTATCTTTCTTTCGTTTTTGTTTTTTTTTTTTTCTTTTTTTTTTAAGCGCGCAGATCCCCCTCGCGCGCATCCTATTCTTTTTTTTTTTTTTTTTTTTTACATTTTTTTTTTTTTTTTTTTTTTTTTTTTTTTTTTTTTTTTTTTTCTTCTTTTCTTTTTTGTTCTTTTGGTCTCTCGGAGAAGAAACTCGTAGGTTCTTTTGCGATATACATAAAAGCAATTCTCTTCTTCGATATTAAACAAGTTCAGACGGTCAGCAACGAGAACTCTAATCGGTTCTTGTATGTTAAATATGCACGAGACCTTGTTCGATTAATCCAACTGGTGGATACCAACGAGATGTGTGTTGTTCAAGGATTGATTACACTTGTCTCGTTACCAGTCGTAGTATTGCTGATGAAACGGATTGGTGCATGGTTGTTGGGCGTGCAGGTGGGTCTCTATTGGAGGTGGCTTTATCAAGTCGAACTCGTTACCGATCACCTCATTATAAGCCTAAAACAAGAATAAGTTAATCGTTAGTAATTATTTAGTCACCTATGCACGACTAACGCACGCGCATTGTGAAAGATTGATTTAGATATACGAGATTGGGATTAAATTTGATAGCGTTCAGAGAGTATAGCCTTCTGTAGAAGTCGCTCGTTTCATATTCCTTCCTCGTCAAAAAATTTTTATTAGCTTTTGGTTTTATTAATTTCCTTTGTTTTGTTCTGTTGTTTTTTTTTTCTTTTTTTTTTTTTTTTTAATTGGTATGATTTTACTAAACCTTGAAGCTCCTACGGATATACTCGTCCTCTCCTTTGCCGGTCATACCGTAATTATATCCACCGCCGCCTCCGCCTCCGCCCCCACCGCCATTCAGAAATGGATTCGTTGGGTTGACCGCACCTATTGGTCAAACAAATTTTGATTAGATATTTTCTACGTTGCTTCGCGATTAACAATTAAGCAAGCTCTTTTACCTCCGTTAGCTCCAGGCACGTCCAAGTTACCACCAGTAGTTTGATAGGTTGCACCATATCCGGAATCTTGATTAGCCAGTTCATGGAGACGAGTTGAACTGAGTGCTCTTGGAATAGCGTTGCTCGGCACTCCGTGAGGCGCTAAATGCGTCACCTCGGCTACTTGATGAGGATCCTCGGTTTGCGGTAAATCGGAAACGAAGCCGGTATCTTTTCTGTAAAAGTTGATGAAAACGAAGGCCGCTAAAACGACAAGGCAGGTGAGGCCGTAAATTCGGAAAGTCGTCGTGGTACCTGAATAATATAAATTATATTTAATGATTTTCTTCTTTTTTCTTTTCTTTTCTTATTTCACACAAAAAGTAGCATTGTTCGGTCCCTACCATAAGCAGTGACAAACATGCCACCAATCACCGCACCGCATCCTCTTCCGAGACCATGATGTAACCCTTGTAGTACACCTTGAGCACTCGAACGCAAATGTTGCGGCGTGTTATGGGCTATGTAACTGCAACAGGCTGCCCAAACCGCGGCATGAGTAATTCCTTGAATAAATTCGAAAGGTAGAACCCACCAGGGATTAATGAGCCAAGATATATAGAGGAAACGTATCACGTTTCCAGCTAAACCAAGGCACAACACCTGCGAAAGTGTATGACTTTGTTAATATAATATATTATAATATACTAAGTTCTAACGATTGAAATCGTTATTTCGTGTATGTGTGTGTGTGTATACGTGTACCTTAACGTGGCCGATTTGTCGAATCAATTTGAAACTGAAGAAATAGGCAAAGATTTCGGAAATGTGATTTATCACCGATGCAACACCGAAAAGCGTAGGCGAACCACCGTAATCTTGAAGGTGCCAGAATAGAAAAGTAAAGATGAGTCCGATACCGAAACCCATCCACCAAGCGACGAACAGGAAAGAACTACATTTGAGATCTTTAAATTGCTTCAAAACTGTCACCCATTCTGGAATTTCTCGCATCGTTTGGGCAAACATTTTCGTCTGGGAAAAAAATATAAAAAGAAACGATAGATTTGTTTTTTGATTCCGTTTTAAAATCAATATCAATTATCAATAATATAAACTTGTACGAACTTTGCCTTCCGGCGGTAATGGTTTTGGATTAATAGCAGCCGAGGAATCTTGCAAACCAGGCAAATTTAACTGCTGCGACAACTGACTCTGAAGTTGTTCTTCCCTCGTTGGTTCAGCCGGTACTTTCGCCACTTCCTATTGCAAAAAAATTCTTTGAACCCCTTTGCTCTTCGTCAATTTCTATATTGTCATGTTATTTGTTCAACTTACCGGCTCAGAAGCAACAACGTCGTACTTGAAATTAATCTGCAATGCTGTTATTAGAGCAGCCCCCATAAGAACGCAAAATATAGCGAAACAAATCGTGTAATTTTTCTCTCTAGCGTCAGGATTGCAAGGATGATCTGGGAAAGCTGTGCTGTGATCTAGGGCGATACCGACAAAAAACATGGCCAATCCCCATCCCAAACTTCCGAACATACGTTGATGTCCGTATCTATGCAAAATTTATAATAAAATATAACAATAATAACTTAATGTATTTTGTTTGATCAATCGTAAATACGTTTTACCTGTCAGCATCTTCGCCGAGTAAGGTGATCACAGCAGAATCTGCGAGTGTTATAGCGGGAGCTGAGAAAAACTCACCGACTATGACCAACAATAGTAAAAGGAAGAAAGTTTTGTGTATATCCTGGAAACAAAGAATAATAACACGAGTTATTATTGATAGTTCGATAGAAAATGGTGGTTAGCTTTTTTTTTCTTTCAAAATCTCAATTGGTACCGGTAATCTATATACGATGGAACTGAAAAGCGGCTTGACCCAACCCTTGTTCTCCTTCTCGTCATAATTAGCAGCGTATGTGACTGCCAAAGGACTTTGTCCGGCCGAGGTTCGTACATTCCGTTTGTTTCTCGTTAAAGGTGTGTCCACAGACATCTCCTCGATTTTGTCCTCTTCTCTTTCCTCAAATTCACGTTCCTCCATGGACAATAATTTTCGTAGATTCTTTAAACTTGAGAATACCTTGCTGTTGTCTAAATTATCACGAATTATTTCCTTATCCTGACGAATCTCGCGACGAACCATCATCTTTTCTTTCGGTTGCTTAACTTTTTCCTTAATTCTACCTTGATACGCCTTCTTAGGTACTCTACCTTCTTCGAGAGGCTCGTTCTATCAGAAATAATCATAAGAAAATATCGTTATAAGTGAATCGAAACGAATTGACAAAATTTGCGAAAGATTTGACGTACTTTGAGAAAACGTTTATATTCGAGCACATCGGCGGGTCGATTTTTTCGTTGCAGTGCCTCGAAATCGATAATTTTAGCATCAGGATCATTAACTTCGTCCTCGAATACCAATTGTTCGTATCTCAGGTCTCCGGATGAAGTATTTTCTTCGTTAGAAGCAGCTCGTCTTTTTCTAACTCGGTTTGTTTCAAGATCATAGACTATAGGTGTTTCTTTGCCGTTATTATCGTCGAGCTTCTTAACCTCGTTTTGTTCGACGTTATATGACGCGATTGGATCGGATTTAGCTTGGTCGTCTGAATGAATTTCTTTACGATCGTATATCTCGTTGTCCTCGGCGTCTCGTCTTAATCTTTCGAAAACGACGTTTGCTGCAACTTCCAAGTACTCGTCATCGGAAGGGGCATGATAACATTCGTCCAAATCAATCGATCTCTTAACGATCCTTTGTTCCGGTTTGAATAGTTTCAAAATATTAGTATGATTATCTCTGACCATGCAACTCGTTGCAGGGGGTTGGATGAAACCGAGGGGTAGCGTAAAGATGATCCAACAGGAAAGAGAACCTAGCAGAATCAGCTTACCTTTTTGCCACCTATTCGATTCGATTCGAATGGAATCGATAGAAAAAAGCACAAAAATAGCAATTGAAGATTTTCGTACGAGCAAAGAGAGGGGGAGAAAGAGAGAGAGAGAAAAGAATATTATAAAAGATCGAAGACTTACCTGTCAGCCAAAGAACCCCAGAAAGGAGCACTGAGAAATTCGATGAGAGGTCTGATACCAATAAGTAAACCACACTGAGCAGCGTTCATCCCCATTTGCTTGAAATAAACTCCCATAAGGGGAAATAGGGAACCGAAGGCCGAGTAAAAGAAGAAGTAAAAGGTCTTGACCGTGAGAAGTTCTTGATCGACGGAACCAAAGAGGTATTCTAAGAAATCGCTCTTACCCCTGATCTTGTGCGTGGCTTCCTTGGGCTCGGGATATAAATTAGGATCGACCTCACCTTGAGCTTCAGGATCGACCATGGGTCTGGCTTCTAAAACCCGAGGAACATTCCCACCTGGTGGCATATGTTGTTCATTCTGTCCAATTGTTCCTTCCTGTGCATAATCGTAATCCATGTCGTGGCCATATTTCTGCATGATTTTAATTCACCGGCCGCTGGATTTTCTCTCTCGCCCTCTTCTTTTTTTTTTCTCTTTCCTCCTTTCCCTTTGCTTTCCCTTCCGTTATTTTCCAAAGAAAAAAGTGACAATCCTCCTGCTGCTGCTGTTGCTGTTCCTGCTGCTACTGCTGTTAGTGGTGGTCTCCCGTTCGGACAATTATTTCCAAGTTTATTCTGTTAAATCCTGGACGGGTGGTTCTTTCTCCTCGTACAAGCACGTCTCTCTCTCTTTCTCTCTCAATCCCTTTAAAAGGTAACCCAGTCGAATCGATGTCCCGAGCGTGCGCCACCTACTTCATTCGCCAAATCGATAGTTCATTTAGTGCGCCAGCGCCGACTCCTTTTTAACACCCGCCAAATCTCACCCGCCAAAAGCTTCTGGTTGTTTTTTTTGTTCCCTCTTCGTCTCGACTTATTTCTAGAAATATATAGTATATACCAACAAAACAACCCTTCCAATCTTTAATACTAATCAATTAAGCTAATATATCTCGAACAATTTTCTTTACGTCAATTATTATAAAGTTTGTGCCTGCCTTCGGTTAATACGCGAGATAAATATAATATGTTTATCATTGATACGTTGCATATTGACAAACAAATTTTTCATACGATAATTGTAAAACGTAAATCATTCAAATTACGTAAATTCAAACATTGGGTTTGGGAAACATTTAAGATCGTATATAATTGATCTTTAGCAGTGACGCGGAATAATATATCGGTATTGACGTTGATCGTATTTAGTCTCGTTGTTTTTTTTTTCTTTTTTTTTTCGCAACAAAACTCCAATCATGCGCATTTAAACGTATAACGCATAAATGTACACACAAATGCAATCGATTGATTATTAACCCCTTTGCACTCCGAACGATTTTGGACGTTGGCTAGCAGCTACTCAGCGCCACTTAAGTTCTCGGCCCGTCGGGAGCACGCCTCTTACGTTTTCGTCTGACACAAAACCCGCTGACATTTCTTGTATATATCTTAGTAATTTTACGATATTTTGATTTGATTTATTGTCCTATTTCAAGAAAAAACATCAGGGAAACATGCATGTCTCAAAAAGTTGCGCTGAAATAACTTAATTCCCCGAAATTTATAATAAACTTAAATGTCCCCTGAGAGGGGACATCCGAGTGATATGCTAGAATTACGATGTCTCCTGAGAGGGGACAGCGGAGTGCTAAGGGTTAATGTAGTCAATTTGTTATCAATTTGGGGTCAAAATTGTATTCGCGATAGCCTTTTAATAATAACAAACGGTGGCGGGGGCGAGGACGGGGGGTACATGCGCGGAAAGAAAACTTGCAAACTGGAAAACGTCACATTGTTCGTTGCAACGCGCGGACGCGTGGACGTCTCTGACCTCATTTCTCATTGATGACATAATTCGACTTTATATTTTTCTTTATCCGCTTTCGTCGATAGTCATAAGTACGTAATTACATACGTATTGAATTAGGAATGTTAATTGTTCTTGTCGTGGTCGTTGTCGTCATTTTCCATGCATTAGTATTGCAATAAATAACAAATAAATAATACGTTAGGAAAAGAAAAAAAAAAAAAAACACACGAAATAACAAACAAAATCAGACTCCAATTGCAACGAACCATTTCGTAAGCTATTATTATCTACGACGAACACACAACAAATAATATAAATCAGAATTATTTATCTTGTTCGAAATAAAGAGAGGGAATGATTGATTAAATATTCACATAAATCGTATTTAAAATTTTATTGCAAGACTCGTGCCGTTAGATTTGTTCATTTTGAAAATGAATAACATTCGTAGACTTGGGAAATAAAATTCATTCGTACGTACGCACGATCAAGGTACAACTTTCAAGCCCTGTTTAGTCAGTTGTTCGTACTGACAATGAGACCTTTCCGTGGATGATCAGTCGTACATAGGTCGTTGTTAGTAACGAAAGGATTAAACTACTCTAAATAAAATCACCGTCCTAAAATAAAGGTATCCTCATTCCATAATCGTTATTTCGTAAAATGGTTTTCATTTTTTATTTTTTATTTTTTTTTTTTGAATAATTTCATTTTCTTTTTTTGAGTCACCTTTTCAGCTGGCATTCGTTGAAGGTTCACTGGAATAATTCGAATTTACGGACGAAGGAATCGAGTCGTGAGCCCTTCGCTTCAATTAAAAACGAGCAGAATAAGAGAGAGAGAGAGAGAGAGAGAGAAAGAGAAAGAGAGAAGGGATCGATACGTCAGGACTGAAAAGTTGTACGTGAACGGCACGTGCCCGGAAAACTCGTGGAATCTAAAAAAATGCATCTATCTGTCGTCTAATCTTTTACCTCTAATCACCGACGATAACAATTCGATTGTTCGATTAATCGATCACCTCACGATCTATCTTTAAATTAATCGTTACGATAAATAGTATACATATCACGTTTATTTTTGTTCAAACCAATCAACATGGTAGCCGAATTGTGATATCGCGATATTTATTTAATGATTAATTTATATTTAAGAAGAGAATTTTTGTCCTATCATCTTTTAAAGAATATTAAATTTTCAAATGTGATACGATCAATTATAGATAATTAAATATACTTTCATGAGATTGATTAACGTTCGAATCAATCCGGCCCTAGTAAAATTTTACAATTATTTTCATATATATATAAAAAAGAAGAAGAATGAATATAACGTATTACTTAATAATGTTAAATTAATATTCGACGGAGTCTTTTAGCAAGCAGAAAATAATAATCGTTTTGAAGAAAAATAAACGTTAAATGAATATACGATAGATTACAACATATTGTTAATTAATCTTAGATAAGATAGGTGGGAACGGAAGATTGTTGAAAAAATATAGTAAAGTATAAGAGTACTATTATGGAAGCTGTGTTGATTATGGCATGAACGATGCATGGACAATGGATGGACGAGGCATGAAAGACGCATGAAAAACGCATGTACGACGTAGTCTAATGCATGGATGACGTATAAATGACGTATGACGTAGATGACGATTCAAAGTCGCACCGGTGACACGAAAGAAAGGGGAACAAGTTCCAAGGTCCGTCCTCGCTTTGTCGACACTTCGAGTCTTTTTAAAGCATTCTTCATTCCTTTCGTATTTTCAAAAAAAATATATATCCAAATATCGAAGTGGGTAAATTATGACACAAATGTTTAATATATAAATAAATAATTTATTTATTCAATTGTCACATGTGCTACCATTTCATTATATTCGTTAAGTATTGTACAATAACGCGAGTTTGGATTAAATTAAGTTAGTTAAATATTACATGTATAAAGAAATTATGTACAAGTTGCTCGTTCGATTAATTTAATTTTGCGAGTTGAAAATAACTCGCGGAATCAGATCCATACGAGAGCGGTCAGGGATTGTCGCAGAAGTCGAAGATGGTGCTGGTTTAGGTGGTCCTTGGAACATGCAAGTTTTAGCAGTTTTTAATAGACGACCGTTGTTTGCGGTTCGCCAATAAACCGTACGGACCGCCTGCTTTCCAGCTACGTAACTAACTGCACCGCCAATCAGCATCTGTAAAAAATCATCATTTTTTTATTCCTATAATTATAAAAATAAATAATAATAGAAATATTTGTAATATTGAAGTAATTTTCATTTTTTTCATATTCTCTTTCTCTCTTTAAAATATAAGATGATAAAACACTTGCGAATATTTTCGAGAAGCAAATTGACACATAAATTAATAAATATTTCTAATTGATCACTGAACTATCCCAATTAATATTCATTTCAAAAACGATTATATATATAAGGAAATAAAGAAAAATGAAACGTACCTTTGCTATTATGTAGGCTTATACTGGTTTGAATGACTAGATTGTAGAAATATAACTGTCTTCCCAGTTATATTAGAATATCTTTCGAAATGCCAAAGTAAGGCCTCGATGTTTAGTTTCCTTTTCTCTACCTCATTCGTGGTTCGTTGGAAGTATGATAGACGACTGTGATGAGAGTACGCTCACTCTCGGATAATTTATACGATAAATGAAGTGTCACGCGTCATCGAGATAAGAATGCTAGCGTCATTCACGGGGTACAATTCGTACCGATTACTCGGAAAATCTCTCCCCGATTGGTTCTGGGATAAAGACGTTAAAACATTTTTTTTCTTCTGGTATATTTATTTATCTTAGTTTTTTCTTTGCTCTCTCTCTCTCTCTCTCTCTCTCTCTCCTCTCTCTTCCGAACAAACGAAACTAGTCTCGCAAAGTTTCCTTTCCTTCGACGATTGCAATGACTCGAGTAGTGTTTGATTTTCATATTTTTATATTTGTAAAACAATAACTTTCCGTTCATCGATAAAAAACATCTCGTCCACCTACGGAGATAGTAGTAGTAATAGTGTAGTAATAGTAGTAGTAGTAGTAGTAGTAGTAGTAGTAATGCTTGAGAAAGTTTCGATCAAGATGAGTTGATGGAAAATTTATGACGATTGAAAAAAGTTCACTCAGGGTCGCGATGCAATTAAATTATTTAATACGTATTAAAACAGTGGCTTGTTCTTAAATCATTCCCGGATAAAACGCAGTATGAGTTTGCGAATTATATCGATAAACAAAACGACGTTAGAACGTTGTTCATTCGATAATAACGTGAATAATCGTCGAATCATTTTTTCAACGTGTTTCCTTTTTCCTAATTTTTCTTTTCTTTTAAATATTTGCCCCTTTTTTTTTATTACGCATTTATCCATTCTTTATATATATATACACATATATATATACATTATATATATTTTATTATATATACATATTATATATATATAAAAATGGAAACCCGTTGAAATCGTCTAATTCAAGACGTACAATGTCCAACAATCGTTATTACCTCGTGTAATAGGTGATATCTAATTGAGTTGAAAAGAAAAGTAAAAAAGATTAGGTGTACCGGTGCCAATGAGTCTAGAGCGGTAACAACTCGTTTCCTTATCTCTTAAAGAGCACGCTTCTTTCTTATCGCTAAAGTACTTTATTCTCTTTTCATTCGGCTTTGTCATTTTTTTTTCTTTTTATTTTTTCTTGTTTTATCATTTGCACGAGCATATCATATTTTTAAGACATGATACAAGATAAGATATTGAGAAGATGTATTTTTAAACAATTTTAATCCGTCGCACGTACAAAGTCAATTTTATAAACATTAATAGTCTTTCGTATAATACATATCTACAAGTATTGCGTCTAAAAGAACATCTACTCTATATTTTAATAATTGTTCGATCTTTTTAACAACACTTAAACGTTTCTTTATGATATTCTTATTATATTATAGATTCGCGTGTTGAGAGAGAACGAATAAAAATATGTGTAGAAAAATGAATGTGGAACAAATAAATAAACCAAAGTATTCATAATATGTTGTTTCACTTACATCAGATTAAATTTAAACACCGAGTCTCCTGAATAATATTTATTTACAAATAAATCTACTGGTAATTACATATAAATGAGAGAGTTTTTTAAAATATTCAAATAATATAAAATCAAAAATAGTATATTTTTTTAAAACTAAAAACATTTATTGAAAATCGAAAAAAAGATATCGTATAAATAAAATTTTTATCTTTTGAGTAAGACCCACATCATTAAAATTGAACAGAAAAGTTTATGCCGTAAATCCAATAACATATTTATTTATTTATTTATTTAATAATATTTTATTGACCCTAGAGCCTAGGCTTCCTAAAGGCCATTAATTATAGTGTAGTACAATATAATATATAACAAAACGGAAATTAAAATTATGTAATTATTATTAAACTTATCATTATAATAATAGTAACGCACACAAAAAGTAGATAAAAGTAAAAAGAAAATAGTACATAAAAGTATACTGGTTTTTAATAGTAGTATAGTAGTCTTGGCTCAAAACAAAAAACATATGATTAAAAACAAAGAAAAAATTTTTTAAATTAAATCATAAGTCACGTCTCTATCAATAAATTAAGTGTTAAATCATCTTCAAAATGATGGCTTAATTTATTAATCTAAATTAATCTAATAACATATATATTAACAATTAATTAATTAATTAATCTAAATTAATCTAATATAACATATATATATTATATATATTAACAATATTATTAGAATTAGAATTAAGATGAATCATCATTACTGTTATATCCATTAAAAGTATAGCGAAAATATTCAGCAGGAGAATAAAATATTTCATTTCTAAAATTATTGCTTGTGGCTTTGCAATATTTTATACATGCTTTTTGATAATGTTCCGATGATGATAAAATTATAATATCTTCAATATCTAAAACTTCAAATTGATACTCAGTTAATTTTTCTCTCAATGCTACACTTGTTAAAGTCTTAAATGGACAACCATAACATCCTATTGTTTTTACATCTGAATTCATAATTTTATCACACGAATGGCAGCTGTACTGTTTTTGTGTGTTATTTTCGCCATATAAATATTTTAATCGGTATCCATATTCTTTTTCAAACTTTTTTATACTAATTTTTTTTGTAAATTCTTCTTTCCATAGATGCATAGCATCTTTGAGAGAAACACCAATATCTTTTAAAAATAGTATGTATTGTAAACGTGCTTCATGTTTCAGATGATGATCTTTTCTAAAATTTTCATGGATTAATCTCATGCACAATGGATAAACCGATGATAATAAAGAGTCTAATTGATTTCCAGATGGACCATGGTGAACTTGCATAGCATGTTTCCTTCGCATATCAAGATAATTATTTATGGTGTCAGAGATGTCGTGTAATTGTAAATTCATAATTTCTGGATCATCTACAATTTTTATAACTTCTGCATCTTCTGTAACTTCTACAACTTCTACAACTTCTGCATCTTTTGCATCTGGAATTATGGTTTTGTATCCAGCTAATAAATTTTCTTTAAAATAACAAAAACATAATCCGGCTAATTCTTTTTCCGGTACAAAAGCCATACCACTTCTAATAAAAACTTTGCGGTGTGCAACTAAATCTATAACTGCCTGAAATGGGACTTTATAAAATCTTATATTTTTATTTAAATTACTAATTTCAATAAATTCTTGTAAATCTATTTTATCTTGTTCAGAAATACTATAAGTTTTGATATTGTTAATTATAAAAAATGTCTTTATCTCTTCGTCAGTCAAAGTCAATAATCTCCAAAGAAAAAGTCTTGTTTCTTGAACAATAAACCATCTTCTATGTTTTATAGAACAAATTATTTTTAAAACAAAATGAGAAACATTATCTTGTATTCTTAAAGAGGTTATTTTTTCATTTATTTTTAATTTACTAGGACCATTTATAATGTTAAAAAATGAATCATAATTGATTTTGTCCAATTCACTTAATAATATTGCTTTACACTGACGAGCTTTTCTTTTAGGGCCAGTTTCCCTACATATCTTCTCTACAAGCAATAAAACGTCTATTCGTTGTAAGCACATTAATTTGATTTCACTCAGGTGATAATTTCCAATAGGGTAAGATTTGTACAATTGCAAATCGTGTAAATTATATCCTCTGTCGGATTCGCAAACATACTCGTTGCCAGTAGCCATTATTTTGAAGATGATACTTAAAAAGATATAACACAGAATCACAGCAAGCTACCTAATTTAACTATTTTGATTAATTGACGATTATTATACAGAAAAATATGATATGGTTTATAACTAATTAAAAATATTTTGTATTTGTTTATTATACTGCGTATAACCTATAATATTGGCTCGGAGTCATTTTACAATTAAGAAGTGAAGATAAGTTTCAAAAATTTTAAATCTACGTGACGTCACCTCCGCCAGAGCCCCATTGGTTGTTTATTCCGCGGTAATATTTAAAAGTTGATAATTGTAATTAATTTATTTTTCAACAACTAGATAGTTTTTATTAACTTTTATGGATTTATATTATTCCTAAAAGTTTATAGAATATGTCGAGCATCAAGAAGTTTACAATTTATGTGTCTGGAAGTTTAATAAATGAATTATTTAATAACTGATAAGTAATTTCTATTGTAAATTGAAAAAATGTCAAAATTTTAATTCAAAAGCGGCATTTAAATGTCTTACCCGATAGATATAGATTTTTTAAATAAATCATAAGTACTGGTAATTTAAATAGTTTATTATTTAACAATTAGACAATTTTTTATTAACTTTTGTGAAGGAAGAGTTAGAAATATATGTAGGGACAGGCAAGATCAGAAGAGTTTGCAATACTGAACGCAAGTACAAAAGAAAATATTTCACATTAATAAATTATTTAACTGGATGAAAATTGAATATATGTCAGCTATTTATCTATTAATTATGAGCTATTATGACTCGACTTCTTTGTAGTCCTCGATAAGCGCAGCAGTATCATCTATAGCGTCTTGAAAGACTTTTTCTTCCATACCTTCACCAACGTAGTGATGGACAAAAGCTCTTTTCCGATACATCAAATCAAATTTCCGTCCAATTTTCGTCCAAGCGTGTCGAATTGCAGTGTTATTACATAACATTGCCACAGTTCTTTTCGAGTAAGCTAGATCACCGCCAGGAACCGTCGTGGACGGTTGATAATTGATTCCTACCTAAAATAATAGAGACGATTAATTGAAATTCTATCGCAATGTAATATGAACGAAAATGAATCTTGATTTTACCTTAAATCCTGTTGGGTTCCAACTAACAAACTGTATGAATCTTTTACCCTTTAAACTAGCAATGGTCTTATTAACATCACTTGGACTTATGTCGCCGCGGTAAAGCAAACAGCAACTCATATAAGCACCCGTACGAGGATCGCATTTTACCATCTAAAAAATGATCCGAGCAAAAGAGAAAGTTATATCATTTATATACCTTCTCGTCCTAGCTTAATCTTGCTATATTTTACTTGGTTGGCGGGCTCGAAACAATCGTATGTAATTCGCTTAACGGACATCACCGTATTAATTGCTCTTTCAGGTGTAGTTATAGGAGCGTAAGTTACCAAGGGGAAGTGAATTCTTGGAAAGGGTACTAAATTCGTTTGTAACTCTTCTAAACTGACGTTGACAGATCCTTCGAATCTCATCGACGCTGTCACGCTTGATACTATTTGAGCTTGCAATCGATTGAGATTCGTATAAGTTGGATTCTCCACATTCAAATTCCTACGCATGTAAATGAATAGATATAAGTAAAAGATATTTCATGAATACAAGGAAAAGTATATAGCAATGAATAAAAGAAATTAAAACCTCGCACAAATATCGTATAAAGCTTCATTATCTACAACGAAACAACAATCCTCATGATCTAGGGTCCCATGAGTTGTCAGTACGGAATTATAAGGTTCGACGATTGCCGTGGATATGTTTGGTGCTGGATAAATGGCGAAATCTAATTTCAATTTTTTTCTATAATCTCTGTTGAGATATTCAAGCAATAAAGTAGTTAACCCGCTACCAGTCCCACCACCAAAGGATCTACAAAATAAATAAGACACGTTTCTCACTATTCGTCTTTAATGCTGTTAATGCTTGATATTAAATAAGAGTATTTATACATAGTAAGTTAAATTTAGATTCTACCTGAAAACAATGAAACCGCTTAATCGAGTACAAGCTTCGCAGATGGATTGAATACGATCTAGAACAAGATCGATTATTTCTCTGCCGATCGAATAATATCCTCTTGCAAAATTATTCGCTGCATCTTCCTTCCCAGTTATCAATGATGACGGATCAAAGAGATCTCTATAAACACCCATTCTGATCTCGTCCACCACACTTGGTTCTAAATCCACTATCACAGTACGAGGCGAATACTTTCCTGTCTAAATAATCATATCAATTAATATTACATACATATTAATATTTTGTATATTATAATATTATATGTATTCTTACATCTAATGATATCTCACCTGGGTTGGTCCAAAGAACGTATGATAACATTCGTCGATAGGACTGTATCCCCATTGAAGAAAACCATCAGGTCTCAGACCATGTTCAAGACAAAATAATTCCCAACAAGCATTTGCCACTTGAGTCCCAGCTTGACCAATGAAAATAGTGACCACTTCACCGCTCATGTTCATCTTTTCTATTTATTTTCCATTTCTTTCAACTTCTGAATAGCTTGTACAATAGAATTTTGTAATAATCTTAGTGAGAAAACAATTAATATATGAGAAACATATTTTCAAGAGAATTTAGGAGATTCGCCGAGAAGGTTTTTTTAACGAAACATCATAACTAAATTAGCAATAACGACGGCTATTATACTTTATTTATTTATTAAAGTTACGATCATCATTGTGACACCTGATGAAGATCAGCATTGAAGTGTAACGCTATAGTTCAATAATAGATCGAAGTATAGGTGACTTTTTTACATTAGTCGATTATTTCTAAATCGAAGATAATAAACGATATAAGATGAAACATATGAGATAATATTATGAAGATAAAAGCGATAATACGTCGTTACAATATTCGTTAGCCAATTGTTTTGCAGTACGATTTTTCTTATCGACGATAGACAGATCCGAATGTGGAATCAAAATTTGACAAATGGAGACGCGAGCAGCAATAATAGCTCTATGCAGAGCAGTATATTCATCAGCGTCCTTCAAATTCGCATTAGCACCATACTTTAACAAAATTTCAACGACATGATCGTGTCCTTGAGTAGCTGCTCTATGAAGAGCAGTTGCTTGGCCGCAACGTGTTTTAGCGTTTACGTTAGCTCCATATTTTAACAACATTTCACAAATCTGATAATGTCCATTTCGAGCTGCATAGTGAAGAGCCGTATATCCAGCTGAATCTTCGATATCTACCGAAATTTCTTTTCTTAAAAATCCTTCTACTTTGTCTTTATCATTATATTGAGCTGAAAAAGTAATATTCAATTGAAAGTTTATTTAATAATAAATAAAATTGTAAAGAAATCATTTAACTTACCTGCATACCATATGCCTCGCTCAAATTCAATCTCTGGCAAGGACTGACAAACACCCAAGTTGACGGATAAATCGCAACAGGATTTTACTCCTTTCTCATGCTTACTTTCCTTCGCCATATTTTCTTTAATCTGTAACTTATTATAAGACCTTTAATTGATATGTTTCAATTACGTCGATTTATTTATTATAGTATAATAATAAACTTAAACGTATATGAAAAGAAATAGATTTCTTGAGTTATTGAAAAAATTCAAATACTTTTTTATCTGTATACAAGTACGATTTAATTTCTTCAATAAAGAATAGAATACATGGATTTTAGGAATTATAGAATTCCATAGAATCGAAGGTACATGAACATATATATTTATATATATATCTAATAATACTAATAATAATAATAATAATAATAATAATAATAAGAAGAAGAAGAAGAAAACAAAAACATAAAAAATAAAGTAATTTAAACATAAACCATGTGCTTTGAATAATAATACAATAAATCATTTAATAATTTTAATTTTAATTGGAGCTGCATTTTTTAATAGTCGATAAATGATCGCTTCAAAGGAAAAATCATTATAACAACGATAAAAACTGACGACTCAATGAACGTTATAAATATGAGTTACTTAAAATACTTTCTATTTTTTTTCTATACATTCGTAAAAAATCTATAAATTTGCAAAACTTTAATTCAACATTAACAATAAGAACTTCATTTTTCAAATAATAAAGATATAAAGCAAAGAGAGAAACCATTATTTTTATTTAGTTTCTCAACTATCGAGAATTTATTTTATTTTGATTATTTTGAACGCATGTTTGCCTTTTTTCTTATTAAATCATCATTAGATACGATCTAAAATCTAAGACATACTCGGACACTATTCGTATAGAAAAATTCGCACAGTTACTAGTTAGAATTACTAGGTCCATTGGAAAACGTGTTACATATAAGTACTTGAGTTCACTTTAATGAGTCTAAAAACACTCAGCAACAAAATATTCTTTTTTACGTTATAATATCATACATAGAGGCATCGTTATACAATTGTTTAACAATTCCATTTTCTGTATATTTATCGAATTATGAAAATAGGCTAAACTCTGTAGTTATTTTTTTTTTGTAAGAAAATGTATAAAAAGTATCTATTATTGTATTAATTGAATAAAATAATGACTAAAATAGTTACTAAAAAATAGTTACAAATTGAATGTATTCTTTACAAATAACAATTCGTTATGTTTGGTCCGTCCGCATTTATTATCAAATGCTTATACTGATAAATTGCTAGAGACTAATTATCGGCAGACATAAACAATAAAAAGTGAACGATCATCTATTAAGTCTATAAAATAAAAGATAGATAATTTTTCTCCAATCCTCTTTGATGATTACATTAATATTATATATTGCGCACAAACTACTGGTGTGTATCTTTATATGTGCATATTTTTAACTACAAGCATAATCCTTAAAAATATTTTAAACTTCTCGTTGCAGCGTCCAAAGAATTTCAGCTTCTCCGGTACTACAAATAACTCGATAGCCTAATTCAGCTAGAGCATTAATAACTGAAAAAGGTCGTCCTAAAAAAAAATTGTTAACGATAAGTTACAATGTTTTTTAACTATTAAAAAAAAAACAAAGTAATTGATATATTTGATTTTTGCCGTAAATTTAAAATAAATGTATAAACTCTTGTTCTTTTTGAATGTAGGAAACTTCAGATGAACCTTTGATCAGAGCGCCATTGACCACCGTCGAAGTGGAGATTTGGAAACGTTTGGTAAGTGCCGATAGTTCGTCCGGTGATAATTCAAAAACAGATGATTCGGTTGCATACGGCGATCCTCTCACGCCAACGTAATAATAAGTTTCACTCGTAGCTGCATTAACCCATTTTTCAGGCACTGCACTGATTACCTCCGTCATAGTGTCAATAGAACTTTCATTAGACTTCGCCATCTTTTCCTTCTAGAAAAAAATAATTACAATACGATGAGAAAATAATAAAAGATTTTTCATATTTCTATGTTTTCTCTTCTCTGAATACTTCTCTATGGAGACAATCAAATTATTATATACAGACTCATTTATGCAAGGTACAATGATTTAATGCAATAAACTTGATACGAGTTTGTTTAATTTTAAATAATCTTCATAAATTCAGAAAAATACTTTACAGAAGTAAGAATTATAATGAATCAATATTATATTAATAGCATTCATTTTTATTAGATAAATTATAAATTAATATCCTCAAATTTTGTTTTGCTCGATTATTCTCCTTTCATGTTCCTCTTGTAATTGCATCATTCGCATTTCATAAGCCCAACGTATTTCACTTTGAGTTTTGTCTCTTTCGTATTCCCATTGAAATTTTTCCAATTCCAAAGTTTTACGGCGTAGCTCCAATTCAGCAGATTTCCTTAATGCCTGGCTCTCCAATAATCGTTCTTGATATATTTTACTTTGTATAGATGAATATGTAGTATCACGCATAGACAGAAGTGGCCATCGTGAAATTCTTCTCGATGGTAGGAATTTTTTATGACGAACAGAACTTTTATGTTCTTTGGATTCATCTGTGAAAGCATTTAAAAAAATAAATATTTGTATCTCTAAATCATTTTTTGTATAATATATTATATTTTGAAATTACCAATTTTAGCTATCTTTATATTAGTTTGTGTCATGTCTTTAGCTTTTACAGTTGCATTTGTATCACTTTTGACACTTTGAACATTAGTGTTATGATTCGTGTGTGATTTATCCTTCGATTGTACTATTACTTTTTCGTCGCGCTGAATTGTTTCTGATATTTCATCCATGTAATAGCGATTTTTATAATACCAATCTTTTAGATCTTCCAACTCTATGTCAGTAACACGTTCCATCGAAGATTCTTGCTTTTGTTGTTTTTCATTAATTTTAATGCCAAGAGTATTAGCTTTGTTTTTTTTATCATTTCTTACTTGTATAAATTGTCGTTTAATTGCTTCTGGACACTTTTCACAACGTTCTAAATGTCTTTCCATACGCGCTGCATTTTGTTTATAGGAACGATCACAATATTTACAAAAAGCAATAACTTGAGAACCATCGATTTTTTTGTTATAATAATTCCACACAATATCACATTTTTTCACCATTTTTACTTAATTTAATGTTATTATTAACCATTAACACAGAAACATTTAATTTTTCAATCTAACGAAGCCAACAATAGCTTATTATCCTCAATAATAAAATTTAAATATCATAAGTGATAACCTCAAAACGAGAGATCTATAATCGAAGATATTTCTCGTTATTGAAGTTTGTATTTTCATATGGGAGTCATTGTACTTGTAACGAAAAATAAGACAAATTTATTCTTTGGAAATATAATTTGACATTGCAAATAAATCATGAGCAATACGTAATTATAGAATTAATTGACGTATAACGAAAAAGTCTACGCGCTTGTCTCCCCTATGCATGTAATTAGTTTTATCGATCGTCGAGGTTAATATTTCAAATTTAAATGATGTGAAGAAGATAAAGATGGATGGTATTCATACCTGTTGTTTTTCGTTTCCACTTCTTTCCATTTTCACACTAATCGCACTTCTACTAGTCAATAAATTCATACGATGAATGACGCATTGTAATCGTGAATCAAATTTTGTTCAATACTATACGCGCTACTATACACGTAATACTATTTAAATACGACATTAAGTAGGTTCACAATAACAATGAATGACAAAAATACGGAAATATAAGTAAAAATTTAAAAACAAATCGATAATCTTCGGAAATACGATTGTTCTTTTAATCGAAATCATAAATAAATGAATTATTCTACTTTCGTTTGTATCACGTTGTTGCATGACACGTGATAATTTCTCTTCACTTATAAACCAATGAAATATAGCAGGTATATCATTTTAATATTAAGATTGTATAGAAAAAGAGATTATTTATTTTATTATCATTGGTTCAGATAAGATATGATATACTAAGCAGTTATAATTTCATACAAATGATGTTCTGCCATTACTTGTACTTTTAATGTGCTACTTGAGAAATATACCTTTGCTACACTAACATTGAAAACTTTATTTAAATTTGTAAACATCAGTAGAAAGTGTCACTTAACATTAACATTACTATCAAGAACAATATGCTTGATTCAACATCGTGTTTATTAGATTTTCATTTACCCTACCAGTCAAGACGAATGACAGTGTTAGCTAAACCCTGCATATCAACGATTCTAAATGTATATTATTTTTCTTAGTATAATGAGTAGTTTTTATTATTAATTCTAAACAGTTATCTTAACAGTTACTTAAGGCGATCTAAATATTCGATAACTTATTTTGGAATGTTTATTTGGTTAACGCACATAGACAATAATTTGTTGCTATGTCAGAATATGTTGTATAATTTTTAAATTCGATAAATAAAAGTTTAATAGAAAGAAATCTATTGGTAAAACTTACGTGTTTTTATAACAAGTTCAGGTTCAGGCTCTGAGAAATCTTTTCTCATAGTCCACATATATTCATTGTAGTCTTGTTTGACGCTAGTACTTGAAGATGCCACAACCTTATATCCAAGGACTTCCAGAGCAGTTAATATTATACAAGGGTGTTGTAAGTACACTATCGTAGAATCGTCACAGTATCCTCCAGAAGCAAAGTGAGTAAGTTGTTCTATATCCGATGCTAACAAATAATCTATCATTGTAGTCTCTTCTACTATTGAACAAAAAGATTGCAGAAAGTATTACCTTTGAGTCCTGATACTAGAACTCTCCACGGATATCTATGACTATAAGATGCTAAATTACCACGCACTAAAATGTATGGCATCTGTGATAGTTAAGGCAAATGCTGGAGATACGTTGAACTACTTCTATTCATTAACTTTTCTGTTTAATACTTTAATTAACATTTATAAACTTTAATTCACTGAAACATATATATATATAAAATAGTCAATATTTATAAATCTCGCATATATTGTATAATATTTAATATTTTTCTCATATTAACTTTTAAAATGAAATACTAATTAGCGAATACTATAGAAAAGTAATATTTAAAAAGTAGCGGATGTAATTCACACAAACACATTGAAAGAATCGATATTTATATATATACTTCCGCCTGTTTAAAATCTTGATCGAGTAATTTGCTTACATACGCTATATTTAAAGATGTTTCGTAATGTACAGAGAACATGAAACGTTTCTTGCTTTAAGAAACGAGAAACTTTCACTTTATCAAACGTGTTATATGATAATTTATTGATCAAAATTTTATATTCTTATACGAAATCTTGAATATTTGATATTTCAAATAATTCCATAAGATGCACAATGGTATACACGGAGTCCATATACTTTCCACCGGTACCTTTAATTTTCTCCGATACGTTTATATATGTATAGAAAAAATATTCTCTTCTTATATATATATAGTATACACCCTTGCCAAAGTTATAGACGCGCGTACAAGAGTTACCTTTTAAGAGCGCTAAATTCAAATATAAAAACAATCAACATCTGGACAAGGGAACTTCTGACATATTAAATATTGCAAATCTAAACTTGCTAAAAGAGATTTAAATTATATATGATATAAATAAATATATATTAAATTCGGCAACTCTAATTCGAAATATAATTTGACAGGTTGAAAGGTAAGAAGTCTATTGTTATGGTAGAGGTCTCCACGTGCACCGATATAACGGGATATTTGGATTGGTTAAACGAGAAATAATCGAACCAATGAGAACCAACTACAAAGTTACCATTAAGAAAAAACATTTAAAAATGTGGGACGAGAATAAATAGAAATGAGAACATTCCGTTTGTAAAATAAAATTACTCTAATTATAGTAAAGAATTTAGCTCGATCGAATAGGAATACGTGTATACAAATATATTGGTTTTCTTTTTTTTTTTTTTTAACTTGACTGAAATGTTTTCTCAATGCATAATATTCGTGCACTTGATAATGAACTAAGGAGGAATCGTACGTATTCGTTAAAAATCGTTCGTTTTCGTGGGTCGAATCATATTCGTTGAGGTCGTGTTGAGATAGCAGAGTGTTGCCACCTGGCGGAGTACCTTCTGTACGGGCAAGAGTATAGTGTGTTGCGTGTACTCAGTCGTTTCACAAATACCGCGAGTGGTTTGCATGTTGAGCCCGGCCGCGTTTCTTCGCGAAGGTAATTCGTTTTCTGCGCGTAAAGTAATCATTTTTCTTTGGATAATAGATCGTATTGGATATGCGTGCGAGTGTACGTATCCTATTATTGTAAGTTTGTGCCTCGAAGGAGTATAACGGTTTTGTGGAAGAAAATCTACACTCGTACGACGGTGGTGCCTCTCGGTCGAGTGTGTGTGACAATCGCGAGCAATGTAACCGTTCCGTGACGTCAGACACGGCTAATCAAGTGCACACACGGACACTAGCTTTGCGCACTCGCGCACATCTATACATTGGCGACACGTACTCTCCACGCCGCACCGCACCGCGCCGTGCCGCCGCGCCACGATCGTAGAGAGCGTGTACGGGATCGTGCTGCGCACGGAGATAAAAAGAGAGGGAGGCAAGGAAAATTGTACGGTAGCACACCGACTGATAGAGGAAAGAAAACGAAGGGCGTGGAGGGGAGAGAAGGAATACGAGAACGATAAGAAAGGAGATACGACGAAGGTTGTCGAGGAGAAGAAACACCAAGGAGAAAGACAGAGACGAACGTACGTCTCTCTTTCTCATCCATCGAAAGAGAGACATGGGCGGACTTGAAACGACGAGAGAAAGGCCTTCCTTCTCTACAACTTCTTTTTTTTTCAACGAGGCTGAAAGTTGTGTTGGGCGATGCCTCTCTATGTAGAATACATAGATTTCGAGCTTCTATGACATATAAGAGAGAAGTTTTTTTTTAAAGCTAGAGAGCAGTAGTGCAGGAGTGCGACACACGTGTGTATACGGTGTGTATACGGTGTATGTACGTAGTGCTCGCGTGTGGTGTGCTCGGTAATAGGAATAAGAGAGATAGACTGTGAGGGGAGTGGGAAGGAGGTGGGGGAAAGTCTTTACCGTGCTGCTACTGCTGCTGGTCAGTGGAGGGGAGAGCGCGAAAAGGAGAGCCGCGATCGCGTCTCGTGGCGCCCCGCTGTGCTTTTCTGCAGAAAACTGTTGCAACCTATACGGCTCCGTTCCATCCTTCTTGGCGTTAAAGGTGGACGTAGAGGAGGCTGAGAAGCGAAGAAAGTAATGAGAAACGTATTTAAGAATGTGCTCGAAAGATTGAACGATTGCGGATTTTATAGGAATGCACGTTGTGTTGTGATAAAAAGAAAAAACATCCAAAGGAAGAAGGTCTTTTTCGTGTTAGTTTTCGCGAATTAATTGTCTGAAGTGTGCGTTATTTCGTGTGTGCGAGAATCGAAGAAGAGGAGAGTGTACGACGTTGTCGTCATAGTCGATAGAGGCCGATATTTACGCGTGCGTCCGTTACGATATAACTGGAAAATGGTCTTTCCATCGGATGACGAGTGCTGTCTTTAAATTATAAACGAAAAAGACAAAGAGGAAGGAAGAAAATCTAACATTGTTTCTCTTTCTTTCTTCTTTTTTCTGTGTTGTCGCGCGTGCTTTTATTTTTTTTCTTGGTATAAAATTCGTTCGTGTTGTTACATGTGTATGTGACTAAATGTTTTACGGCGAAGCAGCACAAAGTTAGAGAGAGAGAGAGAGAGAGGGAGAGTTTTTGTGTGTTAGAGAAAAGTCTTGGGGAGGTGCCGTCTTCTTATCCTGACATGGAAGAACGATTCCTGTTCCCGACATCGATGAGCAGCATCTACGTCGGTAAGAAGCTATTTTTTGCGTCGTATTTTGCATTCGATATCATTTTAATGTTATATGCTATTCGGTACTTTGTTAAAAAGTTTCTACACGCGTATTTATCCTTATTCTCTCTATCCTCGTCTATTAGTTTACTTATTTAACGTTATTTTCATTTTTGTCCTTTGTAAAAAAGCGAATTATTGTGCACATAACCTCTCTTTTTCTTTCTACGGGTTGTCAACTCGATGAAGCCTTCTAGCGTGTAGCTATAAAAGTGTCGAACATCGAACGTGTTTGTAGAATAAGCAAAGAGAAAATTAGTTGAACGAGAAGCAAAGGTGAGAATAAACATTAATTTTATGTGCATCTATTCAAAAGGTTAATTTTTTTTTTTTTATCGTACGCATAAAAATAATTTGAAAGAGAAACGAGGTTAGATTAGATTGTCATTGGAAAATCTATGTATCGTAAGAATCGTTCGAATTTGAGGTTATGTGACGTTTAACTCGAAAATCGAATAACATTCGATTTAAATCCCTAACAGATAAAGATAAGAACATTTCAAAGGCGGAACTGTCAAGGTTTTGTTAACGTTGTAATTATTTAAAAAACGAGAAAATATTCAACGTAAAAATGAGAAGAAAGAGATCCAAAATCTCGGGAAAAAAGTATGCGCGCGACGATTCTCACTCTCTCTTTTCTTTCCCCCTCTCTCCCTCTACTGCTGCCCCTGCCCGTTCCCTTCGTGCCCCTTGTCCCTTTGGCGAGACGAAGCTTCGTGGAATCGAAGAACGTAGCCAGCCACCTTCGCACGGCCAAATGCGCATGCCCCGTGCGTTAACGTTACGAGATATAGAAGTTTGCAAACGAAGAGGCGCGTCACGAAACGTTCTTTCGTTCATTCGTTTAATCGTTCACTCGTTCGTTCATTCATTCATTCATTCACTCGTTCATTCGTCCACTCGTTCATTCATTCATTCACTCGTTCACGAGATTTCGAAAAGCGAGTCGAATTCGAAAAATTGCTGTGCGTGCGATTATTACGAAAGAACGTTAACTACATTCATGTCACTCGAGACATTTATTTCCAAGAGATTCTTCTTTATCTCTAGATAACGATTCATCATCGTTACAATTACCCCGTATTCTCTTTGTTGTCAAAGATCTTACATAATTACTTTGCATTGTTTACTCTTTATAACCCATTTTTCTTTTTTTCGCGTTTAAATCAAAATGTACGAAAGTTATGTGAAATTTTCTAATGCCAGAATTGTCTGGATTTTATATATTTAAATAAATAATACAATAGTATATTTGGTGGACTAGCCAATAAGTATATATTGTATAGATTTGTAATATCAAAATATATATTTTAAAAGAGAAATGTATATTTGACTCTTACAGCTTGATATACTTATGCGTGTATGCATAAGTATTAATTTAACGCTAAAAATATTAATCTATTTTTATGAAATTTTAGCCAGTTTAATAGAAAGAAGGAAAGAAACACTATTTGCTTATTATTCTGAATAAATTTGGATTTTGTCGATAATACGCAAAAAAAAAAAAAAAAAAGAAAGAGAATTTTCAGTTAATATTTATCTAATCATCATAATTTTGATAATTGTAAAAGAGAGTAGGGAGTTTATAACGTTTCAAGTTAGACAACGTTACAGAGGGATGTTTCAAATGTGCGAATAAATGATCAAGACGAAAAGTTGCCAGGCTCAGTCTCATGTAAAGATTCAAATTCGGGTCATCGTTGTTGCGATAGAGCAATAAATGGCCCACTTTTCGAAATCCCTCGAGTCGTAATGAGTTCACGACGATAAAGTCTATTTCGTGGATAGGCATCGAGTTATCGTTCTTAAAATATCTAGATTCTATGTTTAAAATGCAATTTTTTGATCATTTTTTATTTTTTTTTGTTAATAGAACACGTCGTGTTACGGTGACTTGTATGTAATTTATGTATACATATCGATTTTAGATGACTCGAGGTCGATAAACGAGGGCATTCGGCTTAACAATACGCTATCTGGCAGATAATAATTTCTTATCGTAGCAATGTTTCGTTGGTAAAGAGATGTTCGTTTCTTTGAGAAATATGTTAATCACGTGGAGACGCGATAGAGTTTTTCAATTCGTACATATAGTCTCTTCGTAATTTTTCGTGTTATAATTTTATTTTATTTTTATTTATAACGTGTTGTAAAATTAGGACACGGTGTCGATCTTTAAATATGAATTAAAGTTTATTTTTCAATATTTTTTTGAATATTTTATTCGATAGAAAATACGTTTAACAAGTTTGAAGTCATAACGAAGCATAATATTTGTATATACACATGTAATAATAGTATTATAAGGCTAGATTATCTATAATTTCTTCATCAAGTAATTAACTAAAATAGAAAACGAGGAAGAAAGATGCTTTATAATCGTTTAGAAGACTACGTCAAAGGATTTTTTTTTTAAGATGTAGTTTTCTAGGAAAGACTTTTTAATATGATGTTTTTTATATTCTGATAGGATTATATAGATATTGAATATCGCTGTTACAAACAATATTTATACGCGAAGACGAGAGCAAATAATATTATTTAAGAAAAAGTAATTTTTAATTTATTGTTTTTTCTTTTTACACGAGAATAGCAATAAAATTATTATTCAATCCTTTTTCGATTATTGAAATAATGTAACAAATACAAAACAGATCTTTCTGCATTGAAAAACATATTTGAATAAGTTTAGAGAAATGGATATTGTAAATTGCTTTTTAAAGAAATAAAATGAAAAATTAGTCATCGTAATGCGAAAAATATTTTCTCATATTCAGCTGATATTTAATTGCATTGTTTGAATTCACAATGTTGATCTGTTGCATTTCACGATCCATTCGTCTTACATCAGTCCTCTTTATAAATTCTTCCTTCTTAATATCTCTTTTTTTTAAAATAAAATAATATTTTCTCTATAAACCAAGAAAAGAATTCCAGAATTCTTCGATGATAACATATTGGCCAACTCAAGACAATAATTCTATTATTGTTTATTTAGATCATACATAATATAGTTGTGATTGTTGCGACAATTTCAATGATTTAAAATTGGAAATAAACATATATGTTTTATTAGACGACAAAGAAAAAAGAAAAAAAATGTACATTAAATTAATTACAATAAGAAGAACATCGACTGACGAATTTGTTCTTTTCTCTTTTAGAATCGATCGACGAATCGTTAAGGTTTCGATCAACAAACAGAAGAGAATTAGAATCCCGTAGAGTATAAGGGAAAAAATTGGAGAAGGTGAAGGGGGAGGAGGGTGGTGGAGAGTCACATTGTCGTCGTCGTCGAGGAGTTCGACGATTGAAAATTATGTTCAAACTGAATGTTACGGGAGTGGCGAAGAAGAAGAAGAGGAATTCGATCGGGCTGTCTTGCTCGTGTAGGGAAAAAGGAATCGAGGAGAAGGAGGAAGACGAGGAGCACATTTCCGGCTCTGTCGTCGTCGTAGAAAACGACAAATTTCACGATTGCCGCGAAACTCGTAGCGGCTGCTGTTACTCTTCTTCTATTATCTTCCTTTCTCATCGAGACCAAGAGGAAAAGATACAGGAGGAGAAGGATACTGGTGGACTTCGATAAACGAGAGGCCAACGAGAAAGCGATAGGCTTTCGCTTTTTTACAACCAATATCGTGAAGAATAGAGTAAAACTCGAAAATTTCGGAAGTGCTTCGAAAGAAAGTAATCATTTTGGTGAAAACTCGTGTTCCCTATTATTTTCTTCAAATATTACTATTATTAATTAATCAGTATCATCTGGTATACTATTATTATCATCGTTATTATTATTAGTCACTATCGTTATTATTATTATTATTACTATTTTACTGCTACGGTTTGTTTTGTTTAATTTTGTAATTTTGTTTGTTTGTTCGTTCGTCGTTCGTATTTCTTCTACGGGTGAATACGTAGAGAAAAATCAACGTTTCATGTGAGTACGGTGAACTCGTGCATCTTTGTTCTTAACGTGACTCGTTTGGCAGAGAGAGAGAGAGAGAGAGAGAGAGAGAGAGATAGAGAGAGAAAGAGAGGAGGGAGGGAGAGGTGTGTTTGGATTTTTAGATATTTTGCACGGATCTTCCCCGGCAATGCGACGCATCGCCTATTCTCCATGAGAGGAGGCACATGTCCATTGCTACGGCTGACAATGCAGGGTAAGTTTTGTAACTTTGTCAATTGTTCTGTATTTTATTAAAAGAAGTCGATCATTCTCTTTCCAAAGAAAAAGAAGAAGAAGAATTAAAATAATAATTGCAATAAGCAACAAATCGAATCGGCCGAAACATCATTTCTTCTTTGGTCTTTATCATTCACGCCGTGTTATATAACGAGTTACGATTCGGATCGCGCGTCGTTGCATCGAATTTGCGTGCGCGAATCAAAACGACTTGTTCCACCCTTCTTCGTTACTTTGTGTTACCATTCCCCCTCGTTTCTCCTCTCTTTCATTAAATGTACAAACGCGAAATTCGCTGATTCGTTGTATCAAAAAGAAAGGCTACGGGCTATGCGAACGTTTCTATCTCACTTTTTCTTCATTTCTTTCTTTCTTTACAAGGAGGAGCGTTATTAACTGAAGAAATTGTATTCGACGATGAGTAAAAGTGTGTTTCTACGGATTGGGGATGGGCGGAGAGAGAAGAGGGAGGAGGTAAAGGAGGAGGAGGAGGAGGAGGAGAGCTACGATATCAACGTCCGTCGTAAATACGTTATTTTTAGTATTCAACGCGCTTAACAACGATTACTATACAGTGTCAAGATATCTTTAATCGTTCTGTGGATGTTTGCTTCGGCGCTGACATTGATTGGCTGACAAGTTGCGTGACCTCCTTGCGTCGTTGATCCTCAAGAAAATTTGAATATTTCTATAGGGAAAATCGTAAGATATATTTTCAATAGAGTTTTTCCTTATACAGAAAGTAATGTACACTCACGTAAATGTACATATATATATTTTGTTGTTTAATTCACTTATATTTCTCAATCAAAACAAAAAAGAAAAACTTATAGTCAGAACAATTCGTCAAGAAGGAGAAAGGATATATTTTACACAAGGTAATTTTTCTTCTATTGCAGGAAGTAGAATATTTCGCATTTTATTAGTTTATTTGTATTGTCGGTCGAAAAAATCGGCCGATTTCTTTGACTCGGGGCAATTTCGCATAATTCCGACGTCCCCGAGGCTTCGTTGATGAAGGGTCTGATTTCAGAGGTAGGCAATCATGGCGAATTATCGGTATATTTTTCGTCATTAGCTTACTTCGGCGATAGTCGAAGAACTAAAGGGAACAAACGACCACCGTTAGATCCTATATCGTGTAGTTCCTTCTTAGAGAGGAATCTTTTCAAGGTCAACAGCAGGCAAGCAGTCAGCAAAGCGGCGGGTGGKGATGGTGGTGGTGGTGGCTATGCTAACTCCAGGCCACGAGGCACACGCGCTTCTTCTTACGTGGCCTTCTCTCTCTCTTTCCCTCTCTCACTGTGAGAGCATTAAGCTCGTATATTCTCCGTTTGTTTCGGCTCAAGCCCTTCCGGTCCCTTCCTAGTTTTTCATTCCCCTCTGTTCAGTTATTTGCATTCGAATTTATCACGTCTTCTCCATTATTTTCTTACCCAAAATTTTCTGCCTTTTTTCGATATAATAATCTATTTTATTATTGATTAAATTTATCTTAAAAATGCTGTGGATTTGGCTATGCCAAATTGAAATTTGAATAATTTTTACTAGAAAATGGTAGATAATCCAAATAGTCAATTGCAAGTTTAAAAACGCAGTATTTATTTAAATGACAACAAAGCTGATTATTAATCAAATGTTTCATGAAGATCTCTATGTTTAAATATTAATAAACTCGTTGACAATTAATCAGTCGTTTAACACAAATTTTCATCTGTCTCTCATCATTGACGAGGTAATTAAATAGAACACGTTGAGAGAAAGAGAACTCAATTAAGCGCGAATGAAATATATATAATATAATAGATAATATAATTTTAATAATGAATAATTATAAATAATATTCGAAGAGAGAGAGGCACATGTGTCGAGTCCGACTTGTTTACAAATATCTCCATGGGGGAAAAAAAGCAAGCATATTTTAGTTAGATCGTTTCAATCGACTTGAAAAGATCGATGATTGTTTCCGAGATGTGTGTGTTTTTTTTTATTCTTCTCAATTTGACGATTCAATTGATCGTTAATTTTTCAAACAAATTTATTTCTCAGCAGGATGAAATTATTTTTTTTTCTTTTGTATATTTCCGTCCAAAAACTTACAATTAATTGCTTTCTCGTTACCCAACCGTAATATCGATCTGTCCCGTATGATAACAGGGTCGTGGACGTTCATAAATTCCGCCTTACTGCCGTCGTTGTTTCTGTTTCAAATATGTTTCAACGTTTCTCAAGAGTATTTCTTTTTTTACAAAAATCGTTCGAGTTCATTATCTTAACGTTAGTTTCTATTAACGTTTATTTTGATAGAATCCTGTCTACCCCCGTTCTCTATTTCTTTTTTTCAAAGGCAAAGGAACTTTGATAAGGAAGCAAAATCTCATAGTAACAATTGTTTTAAAAATATTGATAAAAATTCGCTTACCGAAGTTAATATTTGTACTTTTCGATCATTATGTATTAGCCAATCTTAGTAAGATCGAATAAGAAATAGAGAGAGAGAGAGAGAGAGAGAGAAAGTTATATATATATATAAGCAAGGGCTAGGGAGAACCCTCAGAGAAAAAGAAGTAGAGAGGCCTCGTTTCCTCGGCAATTTAGGCATGCACCCGCTTCTTCTCCTCTCCCACCTAGCAGCAACCTATCTACCTTCCGACCTACCACTCTGTGGGGGCTAAAATTACGTTTTCTCAGTAAAGCAACGCAAGAAGCTAAGCCACCACGGCCGAGCAAAAGGATCAAAATCGTCGGCCGAGTGTGCGCATGTTGCTGCTGCTGCTGCTGCTCTTTGAGAAAGAAAGAAAAAGAGAGAGAGAGAGAGAGTGCGAGCGAGAGAAGGAGTAGGCAGTTTTGTCTAGAAAGTTAGGCGACGTTGAGGGGATGACCATGGAAGCAAACAACGTTATACAAGCTTAATGGCGTGGCGTGCTGCTGTTACAGCACACCGCGTGTTGTCGTTACTTGTTAAAAAGAGAAAGAGAGAGAGAGAACCTCGACATATACACACACACACAGCACGCACAAAGTATATTGTCTTCACTGAAAATTCTGAAGTAGAATTGAGAAGACGTTTGGAAAAGGAGCATTCTTTAGGTTAATGCGAATTTCTCTTGATTCTTCGCGAGTCTTCGTGACGCGAGTATGATATTTTTGTGTGTCTTTCGTGGCACTGGCCCAAAGCAAACACGTGACCCTTTCGTTTCCAGGGAGAGAGAGAAAGAGAGAAAGAAAGAAAGATAAAGAAATGGTTGTTTTACGGTTTACTAAGGTTCAAGATTTAAACAAAACAAATGATATTAATTTCTTGTATAGCGCTGACGTTCGATTTTCATTGGATATATGCGATCCGTTGGGTAGCATTAATGAATAAGCGCGCGGTTTGCGCGTCGTTTTCTCTGCCACTCCTCCTCCGCCTTCTCCTCCTTCTCCTCCACCTCCTCCTCCTCTTTCCTTTTTCTTCAACTAAGAAACATAACGGTCGACGTCTTCGACACTATCGTAGGTATCGTATTCCGGTCACGAGATACCGAGTTGATCGTGTCCGAGTTAGCTGCCTTAACGATAATCCAAGATCTTACCAAGGAAATAATCAAATTTAACTTGCTCTACGATTTTTTTTCAATATATATATATATATGAAAAATATAAAATTATAAATATTATATTATTATAAATATTAAAATTATTATTACATTCTATATTATAAAAGAAGTATAAATGATGAATGAAACAATCTCGCAAAATTTGTCGTTATTCTCATTATTTCATACGATCAAAATATGATGAATATCTACGAAGGATAGGTATCACCTGCCGACAGTTTTCTTCTCTTTTCTTTTTGTTTTTCTTTTCTTTCAATTAAATATCAAATCGGGTAAAATATAGAAAGAATTAGAGTCGTCGTGGTCCGTTAAACGTATAGGAGGTCTCTGCGTCGACTGTGGCGGCATCCGCGAAATCGATACAACGCGTTCACGAATACATTGCACCAAACTACGACTAGAAGGCACGACTACAATAATAAGAAGTAGGAGGAGGAGGATGAGGAAGAGGAGGATGGCAGTAGGGACGCGACGATGGCGTCCGCGTCGGCGTCGACGTCGGCGTCGGCGTCGTTGGCGTCGGCGTCGAGAGAAAACCATCTCTCCCAAAGAGAGAGAGAGAGAGAGAGAGAGAGAGAGGGGATGTTATATCGCGGAGGGATGGAGAGCGGTACATATCGACCGGTCTACGAAGAACGAGCGCCAGTTGAGAACAGGGGTCAAGGTCGTCGAATGTACCACGCCTGCCCTCCCTCCATCACCCAATAACGCAGCCGTCGTAGAGACTAGTCAAGTAGAATACTTCTCTCTCTTATAGACCCACCAACATTTTTCTTTTATTTTTACGTACACTTGGCAAACTTATAAAATTGATAATATCTAGTAATATCTATCTTTTTTTTTCTCTCTCTCTCTTTCTCTTTAAAGTTATTATTAATACAAGTTAAACAAACATCCAAAAGAAGAAGAAGAAGAAGAAGAAGGACTTGCGTTCGTTTATCTTGTTTGTGTAATTATTTAGAGAGTAGAAGTTCTGATGTAAGACGTTAATACCGAGTGAGTGAGTGAGTGAGAAAGAGAGAGAGAGAGATAGATAGACTATACTTGGATTTATGATTAATCTCTTTTATGAAACAATGGCTTGAAAGAAAATTCGCGAAATTGTAAGTTAACATTTTTTTTGGTTTTTTAGAGAATCGAGATAGGGATAAATCTATAGCGATTTAATTTGTTTTAATAAAATTCTTCTTGTTCGTATATGAAAAAAAAATCTCTAACTATCGTATAGAAAATGATTGGATGAAATGCCGGTACGTACGCGCGTACTTATCGACTAGCCGAGGACTCGTTTATTTCCATTATGTTCGCTCGAAGTATTTCATGGTTGTTCCTAACGACATTCACTATACAATTTCACGCTTCGCACGAAGCGATTGCGTCGCCGTGTGGTGTCGAAACGCGGCACGGGAGTCATGTGTGCGGAGGAATTCGAGTATGGCACGCGTTCTTTCCACGACGACGACTACGACGACGTGTCTTGGCCTCGGCGATTCTTACACCGGGAAATCGATAAACTTTTCTTTCATAATAATATACTACACACAGATATGTATATTTACAATTGAGACTTATCCTGCATTCGAAATAAAGAAGACCGAGGGAATTATAAATTGTATAGAAAAAAGATAATTTGTTACAACGAAATATATCGAATAGGAATAAGTTAGCTCTCATATTAAACGAGTTTTTTTTTCAGGCATAGGAAGATATATTCGAAATATTGGTAAACGTGCTTTCGAGACAAGGTCGAAACGTATAAAGTATCCTGTCTCCGTTCGCTCGAAGGGAGCGCGTTCGCATTTCGGCAGAACCGAAGCGTGTGGAATTTCATTTTGCGTCTTGAACGTTCCTCCGCTCCGTTTCTGCTCTTCTCCTTTTCTCTCATCTCTCCTCTCATCTCATCTCTTTCTCTTTCCCTGCTCCTCACCTCTCCTCTCATCTCCTCGCCATTTCTCTCCACTCTTTTGCTTCACGTTCCGCACTGTCCTGCCTTAACCGAGCGGCGCACCGTAAAAAGAATCTAAACGCCCTAGCCGTAGACAGATTCTATAAGGCTCCCTCGAACCCTTTGTTCTCCGAAGGCCACGAATTTTGCCCGTATACGCCTAGTCTCGCCCATTATTATTATTATTATATAACCTAACCGAACGATATATCTAGTTTCGCTTCGAAACCTCGATCCGCGTTGCCTCTTAGAAAACGCAATTCATTTTCGTTCAACATTTCTCTTTTCTTTCTCTCTCTCTCTCTCTCTCTTTCTTTCTGTCTCTGTCTGTCTGTTTCCATCATTTTTATCGTCGATAAAAAAACCATTTTATTTACTTGCTATAAGAGTAGAATATTTGTTTCACCCGCCTCCCCCCTCCTCCACCCACAGAGTAACATGATTAATTTATAAAAAAAATATTCATCATTACGATACACCAGGGTTTATATTTGATTTATATAATAGTACAGGTCTGTAGATTTATCTCTAATCTTTGATCTGTCTTCGGTAACAACAAGTCCATCCGCATCGTCGTTACCTCGTTTTTTTATTCGTGTACATTTCGTATAGAGATGTGTGTTTTAATCTCAGCGATTAAAGATAACAAAATTGAAATTTGTCGCTGATTGTTCGTAATCTGTTAGCACAATACTATTCCTAAGTGCTTACGTTAAATATTTTTCTTTAATCGTAGGAAAAAGAAAAAAAAAAAAAAAGAGAGATTTATATAAAATGTGGAGTAGTTCATGAAAAATAAATCTTAATTTAATTGGTTGAAATTCTCTCGTATTGTTTCACGATATACGAAGAAATATTCGAAACTTTGATTTCGGATCTAAATTTGAATTGTTCCTCCTTTTCTATTTCGTTCGTTGTTGTTGTTGTTGTTGTTGTTCTTCTTCTTCTTCTTCTTCTTTTTTCTTCTTTTTTTTCCCTTCATATTTATCGATGAGTTTCCACTCGATTTGAAAATACCAACCGCGGTTTACATCGATGCCCGTCGATGCTTCTCTTGGGGCAGGTCAGTCCAACTCGCACTGTGTATATGCCTACTTGGCATAACGTGCGCGCGCGCAAGTTATGTTTCTTTCCTTCGGACTTTTTCCCATTGAATCAAAACTCCTCCACCAACTTCTTCTTTTACATATATAGTCTGCCAGTTCTAAGTTCAGAATAAGCTAGTTAATATTTACTATCGATCATAATTATCGTCGATCGAACGTTCAACCGTTTACCTTGTATAAAATTCATATGTTCGTGAAAATAAGTAAATCACGTGGAGGAGGAAGAGGAGGAGGAGGAGATGTCTAAATAAAAATGAATTAAAATTTAGTTTGCTTTTATTTACAATGAAAATAAATTATTTATTAATGAAAAATATAAATGTAGAGTTATTGTTCGAAACTAATATACTGAAGAATGTTTATTAAAAAAAAAAAAAAAAAAAAAAAAAAAAAAAAAAAAAAAAAAAAAAAAAAAAAAAAAAAAAAAGAAAAGCCTTGTGGTACATAATTTAGCCGAGACAAAGAAGTGAATTCTAAAACGTTGAAGTTCTTTCTTAGGGAACTGAAAAGAAGGAATACTTGCTATCGGTAAAAGGGGAGGTACAAGGGTTTGACCTTGGAAGCAGCCGGCCTCCCGGAGAATGGTGGTGGTGTATACGTTATAATCTCTGTCCGGCTTGCTTTTTGGCCGTTCTTTCGCAGGAAATTTTGCTCCCTTTCGATGCAAGACGTTCTCCGACGACCGGATTTTAATTTTAACGTCGTGAAAAAGAGGGAGGGAAAGAGAGCAAGCATCAGCAGTAGCATACGACGACGACGACGTTGTTCTAAGAACTCGCTCTTCTTCCTTCTCCTTTTTCTTCTTCTTCTTCTATTTTTTTGTTGTTCCTTTCGTTTTCAAGGCACACACGAGATCTACGTCGTGCTCCGTAAATCCCCGGATTTTCGGTCAATGTGCGCTCTTTAGAAATAAAATAGAGGAAGCAACCCTTATTTTCTAAATCGTCGAGGAGAGTCCGACGACGACTATCGATCCATGCCAAGCCCTGACCGATGCGTGTAAACGCGTAACCTATGCGCGTGTTCTATTATGCATTATAACCTAACAAGTATATTCCTATACATATATTTTTGTGTCTTACAAATTTTATTAATAACCCTCCTCCCCTTCCCCTCCCCTCTCCCTCGTTATATCTCTCCCGCCCATATCACCAAAATCAATGAATTATATTATTATACGAAAAATTATTGCACATCGGGGGTACATCTTGAAATGCATCTTTTAATAATCTCTTTGGGTACTACTGAACATGCATACTATTTGGCGTGTTTCTTTTATTTTTGTGTTTTACAAATTTTATTAATCCTTCCCCCTCCCTCCCTAACACCCACTCGCCCATATCTCCAAAATCAATGAATTATATTATTATACGAAAAAGGAAGAAGGATTCGCGTCGCATTTATTGCACATCATCGGGGGTGCATCTTGAAATGCGTCTTTTAATAATCTCTTTGGTTACTACTGATACATACATACTACTTGGCGTGTTTCTCAGGTGTCACGCAAAATGCTGACGTCGGTTGGTTGATACCCGCAGCAACGACCGCAGCGGAAATTCGAGCGGCAAAGTTAGTCGCGATCGAGCCGCGTCATCGTACATCCCACCTACACAAATATTGATACTCTCAATGTGTCATTATTTTTTCTTCTTCTCTTTCTTCGAGTTTCCAGCCTTCTTCAGAGTTTTAATAGCTATTTCCCCCCCCCCCCTTTTTCATCATCTTCTTCTTCTTCTTCTTTTACTTTTACTTCTTCTTCTAATATCGTGTTTGAATATATCCTCTTCGTTATGTATTCATTTTCTCTTTCGAGGATTCCTTCCGTGTTAATTTTTTATTCAATTTTTCAAAGATCTCGAAAAATGTGAAATAGATATTTTGCCACAAAATGGAAATAAATAAATAAGAAACTAATAGAACAGAATAGGAGATAATATATATGTAAACTTTTTCGTTAGGCATCGATTTTGATCGAGCGTGTTGTTTCTCTTTTTGGAAGATGACGACGACCGATGATGTTTTTTTTTTTTTTTTAAATCGCGGCATCATTTTTAATGAGTAGGCCATTTTTTTTTTTTTCAACTGCAACCGAGAAGTTTGTTCCCTAAGAAGGAAATTTCGCGAATTTCTATAGGAAAAACGTCGTTTCATTTGTTAAGAATATATTTCGCGAGCGCAACGTCTTACACGCAATCACCCTTGGAATAGTCCCTGGACGAGGGGAAAAAAATTAAAAAAAAAAAGGAAATGATCGATCCGTCGTATTGATCTTTGTTACGTAACATTGTCCTGTCCTAGAAGAGCGGGGGGTTGCCTGGACAAAAGGGGGTAGGAGGAGGAGAAGGAAAAGATAGGGGTGAGGAAGACGCGTCGCGTCTAAACCACTCCCTCTCTCCTCTCTCTCTCTCTCTCTCTTCCTTCTCTTTTCCTCTTTGTCTCTCTCCTTCCTGTGACGTAAAGACGCGAGTTACGTCATCATAGCAACAGCGGGGACATCAAGGCGGCGTCGTCTGTCGACATGGCAACTATTCCTCTCCCTTCCCACGTTACGTCTACATCGTGTTTATCATTAGCATCTCATCTAGCATAGCAGTAGTATACTTCGTATTGTATAGCAATATTCGTACTTATATATATATATCTTCCTTTCTTGCAGCTATTTATTTGCCACACTTGTGAACCGATTAACTCTCGCCATAAACGCTGTAATATAACTTTGATACATTTATATTAGATATATTTCGATGTATATATTATTCGTTGTATTTGTCACGTTCATTTAAGAAAAAGAAAAAAAGAAGAAAAAAACCAATTCATTCGGGATTATCTTGATCGGACGACGTGGAAGGTGGAAAACGAGCTGGGGAATCGATCAAAATGGGACACAGCTAAAAGCAAATTTCAGGTTGCTACGAGAGAGAGATAGAGAGAGAGAGAGAGAAGTGGAGAGCCATTCCGAGTATCCAGCTGGTGCTACAAGTTCAATCTGGCAGCTGTTCGAAAGCACGAACTTGGGAAGAGAGAAAGAGAGAGGGTGGGTGGGAGGAGAAGAAGAAAGAGCGGCCGCTCATCGATTGAAGAGATCGTAAACGTCATCGAGGCGTATATCGGTTTAAAGTTCGATCGAATCCGAACGGTTATGTCGTTGCTGATTAAACGCTATGGTGTTTTATTTAAACTCGCTATAAAACGAGGACGTGCTTGTGTTTTTTGATATTTCGAACAAATAATAACCTTCGAATGCATATATATATATATAATCATTTGTTTTGGATAAAAAAAAAAAAAAAGAAATCGATCCTCGTTGCCGTTTGCATAACAAATTAAAATTCGTAGCTAGTTTCGATATAACGCTATGACAAAGCTAATTCGTGGACGTTCGTAGGAAGTGACCGCACATTTAATTTGGTCGAGGTCTCTCTCTCTCTCTCTCTCTCTCTTTCTCTCGGTTACGCTTTGCTAGTAACACACTTCTCTGCTGGTACAGGCACAAGCTCGTAAACTGTTTGAAAGACGCGAGTACCTCAGCCACGGCCATCGACCAGAGAGTTTCTGCTCTTAACTATCAATGTGTGTATAACTTCTCTCTTTCTCTCTCTATCTCTCTCTTTCTGTTAGTGACCTACGCTTTCGCCGTTCTGATTCTTCTTTACGGAGTTCAGGTTCACTTTCCTTCGTCGTCGCTCGTATGTTTGCCATTCCCCCTTTTTTCTCTCGTTCTCCTTCCTCTCTCTCTCTCTCTCTCTCTCTCTCTCTCTCTCTATCATTATAGTTTTAGTTAAAATTTTCTTTACGAGTAAAGATTCGTTAAAGATGGTCGAGATATACCATGACCCATTAGTAGGGGGATTTATAGTTGAGATTACGAAATTGCCAGGATATATTGTTTAATTTCAACGTTTAAGACTTGAATTCTTCGTATATTGGCGTAATTTTATTCGTCAACTGAAACTTTTTCTTTTTCTTTTTTCTTCTTTCAGAGATGACAATTGATTGAATTAATTAAATTGGCCTCGAATTTTTGTTTGTCAATATATTTGTAGATACATTATTATTGTCAATTAACAAACGTTCGATCCTCGTATCTTTGCGATCATTTTTGTTATTTGGATGTAATATTTGTATTTAGGTTGGTTTTAGAACACGTTTCAAAATGAATTTCTAAAGTTTTCAATCGAGGAACGATGATCATTTTGAAAGTGAATTCGGTAGGTCGGTGAAAGTTGGTTGTTGATGATGTGTCCTGTTAACGAACGCGACGCGGCGGTCATCGAATCGCAAAATCGTTCTCAATCGTTAACGAGTTGTTTTTATTTTTCATTAAATCTCTAGCCTAGTGGTTTTAGGGTTACGAAATATTCTCGTCGTGTTCTTTGCAAAGAAAGATCGTAACGTTTAGTCGATTACCGTAGAAGGCCAGTGCTAAATTCTTACTCTATTTTACAAATTTTATTTCAAATTAAATCGTGCGCACGCGTCCTATATATTTGCGAGATAATTTTTTTTCTTTCACATTTTTCTTTTTACATGAAAAATCGATCAGTTATATATAAATAGAGGTAGTTTATCATGGCTTAGAAAAAAAAAAAGAAAGGAAAATTGTTTGGTAAATATGGAACGAAATATCAAGATCGGTACGATCTTAGAGAGGATCATTAGATGAGAATCTTAACGAATGTAAATAGTTAATAGAACAGGTGTTCGTCCGTGAAAGTGCAAGTTTACCGTGATTGGAAGTGCACTAAAAGCGAACATCACTACGAAGTACGATATATAGATATATTGAATTGGAAGGATGGAGAATGAGTGGTCGTATTGGTATGCAAGAAAGAGAGACGCTCACAACCTTGGAGGGATCATCGGAACTTTAGAAGGCAGGAAGAATGTTGTGTGTGCATATAATAAAAGTCGTATGAAAACTTTTTGACAAACAAAAATCTAACGCTATTGTCTAAAAAAAAAGAAAAGAAAAAAAAACAACGACAAAAATTTGTATTCTATAATACAACGAACCAGTCATACTATTTAACGAATTTTTCGAAAAATAAATAAGTATGCCTCGTTTCGTTATACACACCCCACCCGGTAGAGCAGCTACGATATAATATAATGATTGGTGTTTTAGAAAAATGAAATGAAATAAAATAAAAGGAATAAAAGAGAGATAGAGAGAATGAAAGAAAGAAAGAAAGAAAGAAAGAAAGAGAAATACTCCGAGAGAGTGGATATCTCGGAACGTCTCGCTTGCTCGCGGCTCCGACGCGCATGTCCGCGTTGCCATGATCGCCCTGGCCCACTGACCTATATTACACGCGGGTACAGGTCCCGCATTTACGTGTCGACCCACAACCGATACTCCGAGCGTGGCGTCACAGCCAAGCCACGCTAGTTTGCTCGCTTCGCGTCACCATTTTTCTTCTTTCTCGCACCTTAGCCTTGCTCTTCCTCTCTCTTTCTTACTCAATCACTCTCTCTATATCTCCCTCTGTTTCCCCCTCCTCCTTACCCCTCTCCACCCTCCCCCGCCCCCTCTCTTGATAATAGGAAACGAGTCGATCTATGATCCGAGGACGTTCGTATATACCTAAGACATAGATAGAAAGGAGATACACGAGTGTGCGTGTGTGTACGGTGTGTGTACGGTGTGTGTTGTATGATAAATAGTGTCTCTCTTTCTCTTTCACGCATGCACTAAGAATGTAGTGCTGTCGTCGTCGTTGCGCTTGTTTTATTATTAGTAGTATTTTGGAAAAAGAAAAGAAAAGAAGAAGGATTCTCTTTTATTTCTATCCTTTTCTATCTATCTGTTGGTTGTTAACGTGGCGAAAAGAGAAACCAAAAGAGAGGAGAAAAAAAAAAAGAAAAAAAAAAAAGAGAACTCGTTCTCTTGTCTATCTTTCTTTTCGCATTCGTTTTGCAAAAATTTTCTTTTATCGTTTCTATTATTAACCTACCGAGGAGAGAAAGTAAAAAAGAAACGAATAAAAAGAAAAAGAAGAGGAGGTTCTTCCTGTATTACTCTTTTTTCACTTCTCTGCAAGAATTTAGTGTTATCGTTATTGTCACTAGCCTAGTGAAAAAAGAAACCAAAAAAGGAGGAGCAGGAGGAGGAGGAGGAGTCAGAGGCAAAGTGTAAAAGTGAGAAGGAGTTGTAGCAAGTGTCGAACGGATGACAGCAACGTGGATGCACAACAGCACGATGCAAGGTGCTTTTCTATGTGATAAGTGATGACGTAGGATCTCCGATCGGATTCACTCTCACCTACTTTTCCATCTCTTTTCATCGAATTGGAAGAAAAGAGGAGGGTGCGCGCGTCTTCCCGACGATCGTATACCCCCTTACCGTTCTCTGTTCATTCCGTTCTGTTCCGTTCCGTTTTGTTCCATTAGGTTCCATGGCGCATCGTGTAATAGCAAAAATGAAAAAGTCAGTGGGTGTTGTTTCTTAATCGATGACGACGTTCCTAATACAAGAATTTTCAGTGTATCGACAATAATGGAGTCGAAAGAAGTAACATTCAAGATTATTATTTTAACGAAAGAAAAGGAACTGAATTTATTTATTTTAGGAACGTTTATTGTGTTCTCTTCCGCAAGACGGAAAATTGGAAACCTTCCGATCGCAAGGAAAGATTCCTTGGTGAGAGAGGCTCGTATTCTCGCGCGCAAAAGTTATTGATCAAGGCTCGCTTCGGCGTGGATGCTTGACGTAGATGCAGAGAGAAAGAGGGAGAGAGAGAGTGAGAGAGAGAGAGAAAGAGAGAGAGAGAGAGAGAGAGAGAGAGAGAGGCGGGGATGGCAGGAACTACCGTTTTTCACAGAGAAACTACTACTTATCTGAGATAAGTTGCCCAAGATCTACATACCTACTACTTTGTTAGATACTGTGAAACAATAGAATAGCGTGATTATCGGATTCCATGGATTCACCTTGCTTTCCAGTCTCTTGAACACCATGCGACCGAGTTACGTTCGACCGTAATGTTATTCTCTTTCCTTTTTCCCTTTCGCTGAAATCTCCTTATCTCGAACTCTTTGACGAAAATTCTTCTAACTCTCTCTTTCTTCTTTTACTTGTCTTTTCTTTTTTTTTCTTCTTCTTCTTCTTCTCATTGAGAGAATGTAAACGATGATAAATGACAATTTAGATCAACAACGTTGATTATTCTATCACGCATAACATCCATTATTTTCTCATTACGGATTCTAATCGCATTTCTGTTGTTTACCACTTGCAAAAGTACATTTTTTATTAATGTTGTTTTTCTTTTCTTTGATTTGTAGGCCTAGCCCATGTGAACTGCTGGACCCACTGTGGGCCAAAATGAGCGCAATCACCGGTAGCATCGGTAAGAAAAGGAAGAAATCGGATGCCAAACCGCAATCGCAGATGTAAGTTAATATATACAATGTGTTATTTAAATTTATCCTTATCGTTTTGTAAATCCAATTTAAAGGATTAATTTTTCGTTTAAATAATCATTATACGGATGTAATTGATAGAAACATAACAATACATTCGATATGTCGTATCGGAAGTATTGTAATAATAATGCATTCTCTCTCTCTCTCTCTCTCTCTTTCTCTTTCTTTTTCTGTAAACCAGGTCAGCGTTTTACATTTTTCGACAATGGTCCGATTTTTTTGCGACTGCGTTTATATCCTCTTTTTGTGCCTTATGGGCACAGAATTGAACAGATTTCTGAAAAAAAAGTAAAAAAAAAAAAAAAAAAAAAAAAAACTGGATACGCAATATAGCGTTAAATCGAAAATTATATGCATATAATATATTATAGTGTATAGTGTAGTATATAATGTATGAGATGAATATTTTATAGCTTTTTAATTTATGTTAATGATGAATATGAAATGATATTTATTTTGGAATTGTTTACAGTAACAAGTGCCTTAACGAAAAACGACGACGCAACCAGGAGAACCTGTATTTCGATGAGCTTGCCGAGCTGATTTCCGTCACGGACATGAGCTCTGGCAAGACCGACAAATGTCAGATCCTTCAAAGAACCGTCGATCAAGTAAGTTTTCTCTTATTACATTAGATTTTATTTGTACGTTATATTAATTCGTACAATGTTGTTCGTTAATTAAGAATAGAAAAAAGGAATAGTCAGATAACATACAGATAACACTTGGGAAATTGATCTCGAAATTTGTTTCTGGGTCGACGGGGAACGTGTTTTTAAATCAAATTTATTTTCCTATCGATAACGATTCGCTATCTCGTTCAACAACGACGATATCGATATGCTCGCATTGATATTTCTTTAAATATTCTATTTCGGTAATTGCGATGAGTATGTATACGTACGTGTGTACGCGTTTTGTCTGTGTTAGTCATGATACAAAACGTGGACCGTCAAGTTAAGATTTTCTCGACGATACTTTTTTTTTTTTTTTTAATAAGTACTTAATAAATAGAGATAATACGTAGAAAAGATTTGTCGATGGAAATAAATTTCGTTAGTTGCGATCGTACAAACGTAAAACGTCCTTATCGATAGCATACGTTTTATCAATGTGAAATGTATATCGCATTGCTTTTATCACTAATACCAATTAACAGTCGATACTTTTCGTTTAAAAAAATATCCCGAGATTTTGTTTGGTTTAATCGAGAGTTTTACCGACCCTTTATACAAAACTTTCATTTCATATATATGTACTATAAAAAGCAATTTTCACATTCTATTAGATTGATTTATTAATAAATTTATTTTTCCATCAAATTAAACCGAAACGTTACGAGATTTATTATCCATAATTTAACATGGGAACGAATCAGAAAGTTAAGCATAATCTATGGAACCCACTGAAATCATATTACGTTATTATTTTTATTATTATTATTATTAATATCATTATCCCTACATTGCTTCGTCATTATTATTGAGAAATATATTTAGTTACTTCCAGTTAGAATGGTTGAAAAATTAGAGGTAAACCAAAAATATGTATTGACATTGATAGTTTCATTTGATTAATTGATTTCTTCAAATTTATCAAAGTACTCTTTTTTCGAAAATTCAAAGATCATTAGAGATAGAGGAACGTTGACGTTTTCTAATACATCCACTTGCGTAAATAAATTACTTTAAATAGACTTATCTCTTTAGAGAGTGATTTTTTATTTTTTCGACTTAGAACCTCTTTGATAATACATACAAATAATAAACATTTATATTTGTATAATAACTAATAGTTCGGAGTATCTATTTGATATTAAGTGATTAAATCATATTAGGGGTTGGGAGGGGGGTCTACTAGCGATTAAAAGAAACGTCGTGTAGGCGGGATTACCGAGTTCCTTCCAGGATGTCCGTGGGATATCATGTCGTTGATAGACACACAGTAATATTGTCATTTCAAAATGAATTGTGCGGCGCGTATTCGAAACATTCCTCTTGAAAATATTTATCTTTTTTTCTCTGTTAGAATAGAAATAGTTAAACCGGAATAAAGTTTTGTTAGTCATGTGTCATAGGTAAATATAATTCGAATTTTAATGGTGTTCTTATGAGTGATATAAATAATCGCGTACAAATGCCGGGTCGTTGCTGGATAAAGAAAATCTGTGGAAGAGAGAAAGGGCTTTTGCTTTCTTTGGGAAGAAAAGTAAAGGTATACACGAGACTACTACTTCTAGAGTCGTCGACCGAGCAATATCTCTGAATCTGGGCCAAGCGCGTCTTTTTTTCTTCTCCGCTCGTTAAATCGATCCTGTTCTACGCGTTGCTCCTTCAACAACGAACGTATGCACCTCTTATCCTCCATGCGTACGTATGCAATCTTTATGCATCCGATATATAGTAGAAAGAATAACAAATTATCATAGTTTTCATCGAATTGAAATTCATACGTTATATTATAGTGACAAGTAAGAAACAAAACGACACCAGAGTATTTCCAAATTCGTTGACATTTCTTTTTGTTATATTCAAGGAATAGGATCTTTCAACGGGAAAATATTTTTCTATTTTCATCGATAAAACATTTATTTCTCTCGTTGCTTCAATACATTTTTTCTAAATCACATTTAAATACAAAATTATATATATATGATTTTATTTTTTGCGTTCATTGTTAAACATTTTTAGGAGACGAGGATTATTATACTTGTTGATAAGTGAATATTACGGTTAGAAGAAATATCAAGAATTAATATTATCACATTTATTTACGTTACATAATCGCATTAAACTAGAAAAAACTGAATGTTCGGCATCAGGGCCACAAATGCGATAAGCCGAAAACCTCGATCTCGTTTCTCGAAGAAAGGAGAACAGAGTCAGTCTTCTTGGTGTTGTTTTGTTGGTGCTTGTAAAGTTTCTCAAATCGTAGAAAAGTATCCATACTCTTCGCCCGGCTATCGGTTATGGGACGAATGCGCGCGCGCGCCTGCTTCTATGGTGTATGCGTGCGCTATGCGTGCGCTATGTGCGCGTGCGTGCGTGCGTGCATTCGAAGGAAAGAGAAGGGTTACGACTTCCCGTCTTTCTCTCCCCCACCTACCTTATTTGCCATCTCTCTTTAGCTGATTCGCTTATTCTCTCACTCGAGCACGTTGTGCTGAAATCGTGTGCGCTTCACGGCCGAGCACGTGTCGATTCCGAAGGCGACAACTTCGTGTAACGAAATCAAACGAAACTACATTCGAGTTTGCCTTCTGAAAGAATAGATCTATCATTCTTTCTCTTTCTCTTTTTATTTTTCTATTTCTAATTATTTTTATTATTATTCTTTTTCTTTTCATTTGTTTTTTTTTCTTATTTAACAGCAGGTCTATCGGGAAAATTCTCAAATACATATAAATATATTTTTATCTCATAATTTATTAAAACATTCTCTTTATATTTTATAGGTATACACAATTATTAATTAATGTTAACAACCTTATCTTGTCTCTTTGATAAAGGTTTTATCTATGTATAAATTAAATTGTACTTTGAACGGTCAGAAAACTTTTCGATAGATCTAATCAATCTTCATAGACTCATTCTGTCTATAATAGTCGGCTTTGTTTCATCTCGATTGGTCCACTATTCATTTTTATTATTTTAAATGGAGGGAAGTTGTGATCTTCCTTAGGAAGAAATTATTTTGCAACGTTCATAATGTAACGCAAATCTAAAGAAAGAAAGAAAGAAAGTATGAACGGTAAACACAATAAGGAAAGTTTAAGAAAAATAGGAAAGAGTAAGAAGACAAAAAAAGGAGTCGTCAGTATATCAGTTGATCGGTCAGTCAGTAAGATAGTCAGTCAGTCAGTCAGTCAGTCAGTCAGTCAGTCAGTTAGTTAGAAAGACAGACAGTCAGTCAGTCAGTCAGAATCTCGTGACGCGACCTTGAATGACGTCACTGAGATCAATAGGAAGCATCCTTTTTCGCGGCGTTATAACCCGAGAGAGCTACCTGAGCATGGATCTGCGTGACGTCACGTGCGCAGTAACGCGTTGCGCATGGTCTTTCAACAAGGCACCGACAAGCGGCTTCTAGGGAAGGGGGGGAGGAAAAGGAGGATGAGGAAGATGAGGAGGATGAAGAGAGGAGTAGACTGAAAGAGGTACGGCAGCAGCAGCAGCAACAGCAACAACAATAACAACAGCAGCAGCAGTGATTACGTCTCCCGAGAGAAGAAGCGAATTGAAAGAATTTGCAGCATCGTATTTCGATCCTCTTCTTGATTCTCTAGGTCTAGAGCGGACTTTGACCTCGATAAAAAGAAGATATATACATACGTACCAATAATCGAGGAAGATCTCTTTCTCTCTCTCTCTCTCTCTCTCTTTCTCTTGTATCTATTTTTATCTTTTCTTTTCTCTTGGACTTTGTTTCTTTTCTTCTTCATAAATTATACGTTATAAAGGATTGGTGGGACAAACTGAGTTAAAAATTTATTACGCTAAAATAGAGCTAGAGGTATTGCGATACTCTTACATATGTATGTATATGCACGCGCACGCGCATATGCGTGTGCCATCGTGAAACGACTAGCGGCAACATCGCACACCGTTTGTCGGACTCGGTGGAGTCACCGACTTTTCGAGGCCACCGCCACCACCACCACCACCACTACCACTACCATTACTACTACCACCATCATCATCATCATCATCATCATCATCACCACCACCACCACCACCACCACCACTACTACTACTACACCTACTACTACCAGCATCGTCTTCTTCTTTACTGTCGCCATTTTTACTATCGTCGCCGTCATTGCAATCGTCATCGTTACCGTCATCGTCCCTGTCGTTGACTCTTATTCTTCTCAATTCTTCTCTTCTTATTATTAGTTTTCATAGTCACACAGAGTCATAGTCGTGATCATCATCACAGCCGCATGTCTGTCCGTTTAAATCTATCGAGATTACGAGCGCGATCTATCGGAGCTGCGAAATACGAGCTCAAGGACGCTCAACACTTCTCCTCATTCCTTCTTTGACCATGAATGTTGGTCGGTTTTACAGAGATCTTCTGTCTTACTTTTTTTCTCTTTCTTTTGCGTACGTCAAGGGTGGGCAAGTTCTTCTTCTCTGTCGTCGTCGTGAGCCCGCACGGTCCGTCCGTCCGTCCGTCCGTCCGTCCTCGCCATCAATAAATCCGTTCCCCCACGATTTAAGTTCATTAGGCACCAATCCATGCACCTTTTTGTCAAAAAACAAAAGTTCTGCAGCTGAAGAGACAAGTGAGTTCCCTACTGAAATAGTGGGGGGTCCTCTTCTCTTCTCTTACCTTGCCGGAACAAACAAATAGGAAAAGAGGAGCCATATGCGACTCGCAATCCCTCAGTTATCCCACCCCCACCGTTACCACCTTCTCCAACGGTAAGTTCTCTGACGTATTTACGACGACGTCGAGTTAGTAGCTGTTCCTTTATTTCTCTCCATGGATATCCATGATGAAATCTTTTTATCTTTTACTTTTCTTCCTCGAGATAAGCTCACTTTGAGGTCTTCCAGAGGATTTTCTTACCGGCATGGTGGTGGGTATAGGACGATGCACCGAACGAAAAATGACTCATCTCGAACAGGATTGTGTTGTCTCTTTGCTGCTGCTGCTGCTGCTGCTGCTGCCACTGCCTGTCTCTCTTTCAATCTTCTTCCATATCGTTGGCAATGCTTAACAATAAACTTTAGGGGAACCTTTTACCCATTATTCGAAACAGCTCACATGACATTCATTCGCTATGTTTTAGCTTGACCCTGCCTGACTCGCGCTTTCTGTAAGAAATAATTAAGCGACTATTGCGAATAATATAGTTTCCGTTGTGTGTTAACCCGTTGAAATGTTATTTTACATGGATATAATGATCGTTATTTAATACGTTAAATATGGACATTAATGTATTACAGTGACAACTAAAAACGTAATTCCACAGATCGAATATGTAAATTTGTTAAAGATTAGAATGTAGACGATTCTACGTCTTGCCTTCTTCGGCTATTGCTAATGTAAAATCGTCATTAATTTGTAAACTCGTTTGATAATTCATTCGATTTACCTGTCTGATAGGTTTGAAACTTTTACAAATGCTTAGCGAAAGTGTTAAACGACGAAGCGATATTGTTGCAACCAAGCTGCTCTGCCTCGTGGATGCATCCATTGTATATAGAGTAGTATTCCAGAACACGTGACTATTTTGGTTTTAAAATGGCGGATGGAGGTCACCCAACCTGATTATTTTCTCGTTTGTCCGCCTTGCCTGCCCATTTAGGTACTATCACGATCATCGAATCGAATGAATCGCAAAAACGAACGACTTTTCCATTTTGTATTTTCGTTAAAGCGTCGAATCTTTTTTTCTATATACTTTTTTTTTCCTCTTATTCTTCTTCTTCTTTTTCTCTTTGCATCATTGAAAAATAGTTGCTCTCGACGTCACCATTACGGTTCTAGAATTTTCTAAAAATTTCGTTACTTCGTGTTATTATCTCGTTCCTTTTTTATCGAATCATATTTTGTAAAAGACATAAATGAATTCTCGCTGATAAAATAATCCATTATACGAATGAAACATTCGATTTAAATTCTTCGAACGATTCATGATCGCGGAAAGGAGGAAAAGTCGAATCAGCGTTTCGTATTATCTTTGTGCGTGAAATTGCAATGGCGTGGTAAAAGAAAAACGAATGGCATTATTCGATGAAAGAGAATGCAGAATTCTTTGTACGTCTTTTAAGGTGTTTATTTCTTTTACTCGTTTTTTCTTTTTGGAAATCTCGAATAACCGGTGAAAGCTTTGCTCGTCCGGTGATTTACGTTATAAAAATTTTTAGCATCGTCGGCATCTCGTTCCATTTTTCGACATGGAGAAAAATGAGATTGCATTTGTAAAAGTCGAAGTGTGTTGCATTCGAGGGGTATGCGTCATTCGTATGAAATTTATTCTCATCAATATACGGATCTCGTTGGATACCACTGTGTGTTCTCTTACGCGAAAACTCGTACAATGATCGTTGAGAAAAAAAAAATGTTTAACGAAATTTATGTGTATATTTTTTTTTTACTTGTAATTCCAAAAAAAAAAAGGAAAAAAAAGCATTTCTCCTTTTTTTCTTTTACCGGATATTTCATCTTTCCTGTTTTTTTATTTTTTTTTATTTTTATTTTCCTCGGATAAGATAAAAATGCTTCCTGTAGAAAATAAAATCAGATTTTCAATGGCTGCCAGCCAGTTAGTAGGTCAACTTACTACCACGTGCCGACTATACATTTATGCTTACTAAACTACGTTGACTCGTATTTTCTGACAGCACTGTTTTACCTTACAGATTCGGCACATCAGACAACAAGAGGGCTCGAACAGTCATGCCGTGCAACAAGGGGAAGTATCTTCGTCGAATCCTAACATATTGTCCAACGATCAAGTTGGTCCAATTCTATTGGAGGTAAAAATGAAAATGATCGATTTTTATTTATGTATTACGCTTGACGATTAATTGAACGCAATCTTTCATCGACATCATCATCATTTTCTTCTTCTTCTTCTTCTTCTTCTCGAGAGTAATATTTAAAAGAAGAAGAAGAAGAATAAGAAGAAGACAACAATCACCGCGTGTCGGTTAACAATCCGGAACGCGGCTTAGATCCGATCTCGATCAATTATTTGCAGGAAGTTGTTAAAAGGAGAACAGCTTGGCCACGTAAGGAAATAGTACAGGCCTATACTCGTATATGTTGTACTGATATCAAAAAGAATATTACTTGTAAGACTATTAACAGCTTCCTACGATAGGTACTTGCTTTCCTTTTCGCGGCGACTTTTTTTTTTCTCATCTTTTCAAATTTAATGATGCTCGCTCTCTACTCCCATGTATAACTGTGTGTCTACATTTGTTTCATCGTTTTTTTTCTTTTTATTTTTGCAGGCGTTAGACGGTTTCCTGTTCGTCTTAAATAGCGAGGGACGAGTGGAATACGTAACGGATAACATTATTCAGTATATCAATTATACGAAGGACGATGTATTGGGAAAAGATATATATAATATTATACATCATGGAGACCACAACACCTTCATGCCTACGTTGTTGCCCATGTCATTAGGTAGTTATCTCAACAATGAAACGTGCTAATTTCACTTTTAGTCGGTAATTACATCGTTAGGATTGAATGAATATCGCATTAATTAACTCTATTTGACAATCAAATTAACATTTATTAACTTTTAAGAATTGACTTTATTCTTGTGGTACATTTGTGTAAGATGCGAACCGATGATTAATTTTACATTTTCTTTCAATTCATATATATATATTTTTCGCCTATAGTAATTTCATTGAATGTAGAATAGGGATGGGGAATAAAATGACTTTTGATCTTTTTTTAACTGGTCGTGAGAAAGTTTGTAGACGGGGTTTATTAGGATCTTGAAAAATGTTTAATTTGATTTGTACGATTATTATTAGGCTGGACGAGCGAGCCGCAGCCTCAAACGAGGAGTCGTACTTTCAATTGCCGCTTCCTGGTAAAGCCTCCCGATGACAAAGACGAGACGATGGAGGAGAAGCAACAAAGGGTATCAAAATACGAGTCAATGCAAATCTGTTCGTCTCTTTTGTCAAGTAATACCGAACGACTCGAGAGCGGTGATGTGTCCTCCGAATCCCCAGACGTTGGTGGTCCTTGCGTAATGTGCGTGGCACGTAGAATACCACCAAACGAGAAGCCCATAAATACACCGATCGAACAATTCACTGTTAAATTGGATATTACGGGCAAAATCATCGCGGTTGATCTTAGTTGGTTGTCGGCCACTTATTCCAAGTATCTGAACAAGGTAAGGGTATGTAAGACTTTTCTTTTTTATACTATGCGACTATTGCAATTAACGTTTGTTTCACTCAAATTAGTCCTGATTTTTTAATTTATGCGCTACGTTTACTTATCATAAACGCATCAGAAAAACGAGTATAATCTTTTAGAGTTAACGCATTATTATTCCTCGTACGTATTTCTTACAAAAGGATTTTTCATCATTTTACAGGACATGGTCGGTACGATGATAAAGGATTTGTGCCACCCTCATGATCTCAATAATTTAACTGCACATTTGAACGATACGCTTCAAATCGGAGAGAGTACGAGCGCTGTTTATCGACTGCGCGTTAGCCCTGATAAGTTCCTTAATATACAAACGAAGTCGAAACTTTTCAAAGCGAATGTGATTAACGGCCACGAATCGGATTTCATGATGGCCACCAGTTCCATCATTGGGTAAGTCAATCTTTTTTTTTCTTTTTTTATTTATTTCTTTATTTATTTCTATCGTATTTTATTCTAATCGACACACGACATTCGTGAACACCCGAAATAAACCTCCTCCCCCCCTCTCGTTACTCCGAAATATTTTATTTCGATTTGAAATAACAATGAAACAATGTGCGACGATTCGAATTAAGTGAGAACTTATATACTGGCGCTAGGTGTTTTTTTTCTTTTTCTTTTTTTTTTTATGTGTACACTGGTTACATTTTGTATGTACCACCAGTCTTTCATTTCTCTTACCTTGTTTAATATAACTTATCGTTAGATTTGGGTATTCTGCTAGATCTTTCATTTTACCGTTTCTTATTTTGAGCTCTAATTTATTTTATTCTCATTCGCGCGGAAAAATGATTGCTTATCACACATTTAACTCTTTTACCGTTGATTTTATGCCACGTTATTACGAAAGCTTTAGGAATGCAAAATCTCGTACTCGCATTATGTTATTGTTTCTTATTCGATTAGACGACGGGAATGCATGAGGCGTACTTTGAATTTTTTTCGGTGTTGGAGATCTGGCCACTCTTCAAATTAAAATAACACTATTTCTAATATCACATTGCCTTTTCCTACATCGTACGTAATATTACGTATGTTTCCGCATCAATGGTTAAACTAATTGTAACAAGTATAGCACGATTCAACGCTCGCTTATTCCATTATATATCAATTTCATTTCATAAGATTCATTAGCGTTATAACCTGTTGACCATACAACCTGTCCACAATGATCATTTTGAAAGATTACAAAAGCTGCTATGATATCTGATCGATATGTAACATCTCATTCGTTCAAAAAATATGGTGTGCTGTAACACAAAGATAGACACACACGTGTAAACGCTGCTCTATATTCGTACGCACTTTCACCATGTACATATTACGTTGAACGTTAAGTAATAAATCATTAAAAAAGAAAACAAAAAATTTAATCTAGGTTGAAATTTCGCATCAATGAACAGTGTACAATATATCGGTCAATTTGTTCTCTTTTTTCAATCTGTATTGATTGTTCCAGGAAAGCATAACAGATGGATTAAAATTTGGCTTGTTTAAAATAATGCTTTATTGAAAATTTTTTTTTTTTTTTGTGAAAGAGACTCGATGACTGACACACACTGTTCATTGAGGGACGATAATAAAAATAGTATAACACATATACGCATATATACTCGTATACGCATTCATTGCATATCGTTAAGATCTAGCGTTAAAAATTGTAGCGTTAAAAGATCTAGCGTTAAGAGATCTGGTGCTAACTGGCGATACATGTGTTTTGGTTTTTGTCCATGATAGGGACAATGACTTAACGCCTATCGAGGGTGGTCAGCTTTCCAACAACAAAGTGTGCTCGGGACATTCTAGTAACCGTTGTGCAAATAATAGTAATAATAATAATGGTAACAATAACAATAACGTGGGTGGTCTGTTGATGTCCGTGGCACATCTAAACGGTCAAGTGAGTGGTATCAGTGGTGGTCGTGGATTGACGGGGACGACGCACGTTGCTACGTCGTCGAACTCGATCGCCTTTAGTACCGGCGATTCTTGCAACTCATTAGCCTCGCTAACTACGAGTAATTCGTTCAACCACTTTTCCGGGAGCATGGACTTGGAATTCGAACCGTTCTTCCGCGGCTCGTCATGGGACTTGGACGGTAGCGGTGGTTGGCCGGAAAGGCCCGAGTCGAGAGGAAGCGGGCCAACAGATTCGCGACCACCCTCTCAGCCAGCCCCGACATCGCCGAGTCCCCAGGGAGGAGGAACCTTTTCCTCTAATTCAGCGGTGCCGTCTCACTGTAGTCCCCTACGCGCTTTCAGCCCATCCTCTTCGGTCAACGCGGCGCATACCTTCAGTAATTCCTTCCCGTTCAGTCCACTACAGGAATCGCAGTCATCCTCGACGTTGACTGGTAACAACACTGCTGCAGCTGCGGCTGCCGCTGCCGCTGCGGCCGCGGCTGCTGCCTCGGCTGGCAACAACACCCCCGTCAACAACAACAACGTCAATACCAACGGTGCTACTTCCGTAGCCGTTGCTGCTGCCGCTGGTGCCACGGCACCGGTCATTTTGCCAGCTCTCAATGCTAAGAGGATCGAGGAAGGAAAAAGCGGATGTCCTACCAGCGGTACCATGGACAATGCAACTGCCAGGACGAATGCCTCAACGCCCGCCGAAACTCAAAACAGTGTCGTGTCCACCGAATCCGGTAGACTTAGAAACTTGTTAACGAAAGGTTCCAGTGCTAGTGAGGATAATCAGGACAATACGAATAACGATTCAGATAACCAAAATAAACACAGGATATTGAAAATTTTGTTGAATCAGCAAGACGAAGATGATTATCATTCTGAACATAACAACAAAATGAGAACAAGTCCTAGTAACATGCCAAAATCGAATATGGAGCATTCCAAATCCGCTCTTGGAAATAATATGCTTCTACAGGTGATTTTCTTCATTTCTATCTATTATCCAAACCTTCCAAACAAATCAATTATTTCTTTTATCTCTTTAAGCAAAGTAGATTTTAAGATGCGCGCATTCTTTTTCTTCTTCTTCTTTAGACTAAGTATATTAAAGATATTTATATTTAAAGTTACTAAATGAGACAAATGACGAGGATGAGGAAGCTCGGGCTGGATTGAAAAAGAGAAATGAACTTCTTCAACAATTATTAAAAGATCAAGACGAGGAGAGGAAAATACAAGAGCAACAGGTACACATATATTCTTTCGAAGAATAGAAAAATATAAGAATCGATTTATTATATTGGCTTAACTCTTTTACTAAAGTGTCTTTCTATTCGTTATATTATTAGAACCGGGATGACGATCCTCTATTACGGAGTCTTGGTTTTCGGAATAGCACTCCTTCGCCATCGCAATCGGGAAGTGATCACAGCGGACTCGGTAGTACTTCTCAAGTTGGCCAGAAAAGACCAGGGGACGATGGTGATCTCAATATATCCGTTAAACGACCGATGGATGGCTCGCATCAGGTGTCTTCTACGGGTACTAACGCTTCGACGAATGCGACGAGCAAACTATGGGAGAAAAATAAAATGTTGGCTTCTTTATTGGCAAAACAACCGCCTCAACCAACGACCATACCACCTATTCCTGCATCTGTGATATCGGCAACGCCGCAAGTAAATATCCGAGATATTCTAGTTTCGTACATTATTAGACCGGAAACGGCAACATGAGTATTGTGTACTAACGTAACTGATATATATGTACACTTTACTTTTAGGATAAGCTTCCACGTGGCAGTGCTGGTGGCGATCGCTTAAAGCAACATCAGTCGCAGCAGCAACAACAGCAACAACAACAACAACAGCAACAGCAGCAGCAGCAACAACAACAGCAACAGCAGCAACAACAACAGCAACAGCAGCAGCAGCAACAACAACCGTGGACAGGTGGCCACATACAAACAGTCGGTGGGAACAATACGATCACAACAACGGCTACTTCGGCTCGTACTCCTCTGCAGAACCAATCAAGACAACTACCTCGTCAAGCAACCAACAACTCCTACCTCACTCATATGCTAAGTCAGGTAATTTTCAAAACAATTCATAGATTTTTATCAAAGTGCACTAACGTTCTCATTATTTTAATATTTTCAATAAATAGCAACAAAGGCCGCAATTGGGTCAAGTGGATTCAGAATTTGGAGATAGCGGAGAATATCGTCAAACGTGTACCGACCCAAGTACTTGGGATAATCAATCGTCCGACCCAGATCTCTCTGAGATTTTGGATCAAGTTATTGAATTTGTTCCGGACGAACCTATCTCAGGTAATTATTTTTCACTATACCGGGAGAATTTATTTAGCGCGAAACAAGATTTAAAGATATTCTATCTGTGCATTTTCGTTATTGCGACAATGACATTGAAAACGCATTTTTATATATTATGTTGGGTTCATCAGTATTGCTAATATAGATATTGTAATTTTGATTCAATAGAATCGTCTGCGTTAACAAATCTCCTGGACGTTATTGAGGCACCGCAAAACAATGCTATGAATGAGAAAATGGCAATAAATGCTATTCAGAAGTCGTTGATGTTATGCGAAACTGCCGTAAATCCAACGTCTTCCACCATAACCATACCTGGCACGCCTCCTGCGTATTCGACTGCAGTAAGTTTATATACTCATTTATAATTGTGACTTTTGATATTAATTTTTAGTTGATCTAAACGCGATTAAATTGACAATTCTAGTTGGTAACGACACCCGTGACGACCAGTCACAGTTACCAACCACCTCCAATGTATCAACAACAAGCAAGGATGAGGTTCAATGCTCAATTGGTCGTTAGGCAGTCTACCACGCAGTTTACGCAACAGCACCTGCAATTACAACAGCGTACTAAACTGATACAACAACAGCAACAACAACAACAATTGAAGCAAAGATTACTGCAGCAACAACAGCAGCAACAATTGCTCATTCCATCTAACGCAACGGCGACAGATCAAATTACAACTGGCATACACAATATTGATAATCTATTAAATAATACCGTTGCGCCGAATGTATCTTTACAGGTACCCTTGTAATTTAAATTTTCTTTCGCGATTTAATACAAAATCGAATTTAATGATTAATCGACCATTTGTTTAATTTTTGCAGCGATCGAGCGTCCCTGACTCCCAAGTTTCTCCGAGTTATGGGGGATCCGTCCAAATCAGTTCCGGTCACCGACTCGCTCATTCGTATTCTCACCCATCGACGTTACCACAACAGTGAGTATTTCTTTCTTTTTTTTTAATCTAATCTATATTATTTTGATCTCGATCGGTTATACATGACGAATCTTTCTCTTTATATAGTCCCATTGTGAATAATAATTTTAACAGCGGTCAACAAGTGTCAGCAGCTGCGAGACTTTCGCCGCATTCTCCTGCCAATATATTGTCCTTTTCTCATCCGCAACCATTATCACCTCGAGTAACGCAAGTAAGTTATTTCCTTTTTAGCTTTTTATCGCCTTACCAAGATCGTCTCGATCTATTCTATTGTCATATTTGTGATATAGGGCAATTATGGCACCACTCCGAGGCTATTTAACGTTAACCAGGTGAGATCTCAACAACAACCAACCGCGCAACAACAACTTCAGCAACAGCAGAGGTCGATGCCATCGCCTGGAACGCCAGCCTCTGCAAGGCAATCTCCGTTTCCTGCCGAAACATTTCCCCCACCTACATCTCCTACAGCTAGCCAATTTCCACCTGGTCCAAATCCTGGTGCTCCTAACCCTACTGCTCAGTATCGCTTGCAACGGACTACATCGACGCCTTCTGCCACGACTCAGTTGCCAGGTAAGAAACTATAACCATCTATAACAATCGCGCACTCTTTTTTTTTATTATTATTCATATATATATACATCATACATTTTTTAAACATTGTTCCATTTTTATCCATATCGATACGATTTTCGTTTTCCCTGGGAATACGTCCCAGGGATACGTCTAATGATAAAATGTATGTAGGTTTACGAGTGGGGATGTGCCGCCTTTAAGATGTTTTATTACACGGTATATATTTCATGTTGACGTATTCGTAATAAAGTTATGTGTTATTAGACTACGGGTAACGTGAGTAATCTGGTTCTTTGTACGAAATTCTTTTTTTTTTTTTTTCTCAATTTGTGTATTCTTCTTCTTCATCTTTTTCTTATTCCTTCTATTTTTTTCTTTTTTCCCCCCACCCTTTTTTCCCATTGAATTTCTTCCGTTCCACCTTCTTGGAATTATTTTTACGTTGAGAAAGTGCAACGAGTGCGTTTCTAAGAGTGATGTAATTTTCTTCGTACTAAGACGAAGTGTATCTATGGTCTCAATTTACGAAGATGTGTTCGTGATGAATCAAATGATATGTACTGTGTCAAAACTATCGTCGTTGTAAGAGCTTCGTTGTGAGTAATTGATGCATTCTATATACGCATTTTACATCTTCTTGTTTGGAAATTCATGAAATTTAGATCATAGTTTAAGAGATGTTGCTTTTTTTTACTTTTTTTTTTTTTCCTATCTACTACTCAGTGAATTATACTACATGAAAGATAATAGCACGTCTTGATTGATTCTGTATGATTTTACTATACAGAGATATGCAATTTGTAAAAGTAACGATAATGTAAACGCTATTATATATTCGAAACGAAACATGTGAACGGAGTATTATAGGTCGTTTTCTAAGGGGTAAGTATATCACTCTTCCAAATAAATACTTTTAATAATTTATCAGTTAGCATTGGATTTGATATAGAATCATGAATATATATATATATATATATATATATATTTATTCACACATTTATATATGTGTTCATGATTTCATTAATCATATAAGATTTGAATACAGAAGAAGGTATTTTATATAGTGTAATTTAAAGATTGAAAGTCATTAAAATAAAATAAATGAAACTTTGTGGAAGATTGAAAAGAAAAATAATATGTATACGAAAAGATTGAATAATAATAATAATAATCCATTTCTATATATGCATCCCAATTTAGCGATCGATCAAAGTTACATACTGTTTAAGTTGAAGTTAAATGGCAAGAAGATAGACATAATGAATGTTGCAGGTGGGGTTGGTTCGCCCCGACACTATGGCGGAGTGAATAAGGAACAACCTCTTCTTTCACCTAGTCATCCACATTCGGGTTGCCCTGCAGCACCGAATCATAATCCACACAATACCACCAATACCCAACACTTCTCGAATCAACAACATTCTTCTATGATATACCACACGAGCGCCAACACTATCAACACACCAGATATGCAGAACAATCAGTTCTGTTACGATCGGACGTCCGTACCGCTCTATTCTTCTGGGGATACGCAGGATGTCAGGTCACTGCCTCCCGGTAATCCTGTCAATCACCACATGGGTGGTAAGTCATATGACCTCTTAATGTCATGTGACCATCACTTCGCCATCATTACACTCCTTACTTAAAAATAATGTACCACTGGGAGGTGTACCAGGCATGAGATTGGTACATGGAAGCACATCATTCTTTCACGACACCCATCCAGGCATTCAAATTGTACATATCGCAATCGTTTTTGAGATAATCGCTATAATCACGAGTCAGTCAATGTAATTTTGTCTTAACGCGAATATTCCAGTCTTCTTTCCTATGTCAAGATATTTATTACGGCCGAAAAAGTGTCTTCGTGAACAACTTCATTTATGTTTAACAATGTTTATAAAATCGTGATTGAGAAAGATCGCTTGATGGTTATTATGTCATAGCGTTGTAACGCTATGTTTCGTACATTCGGTTACTTTTTTATTTGAAAAGTATGCTTTTCTAATATCTACACCGTGAATCCTTTTTTCTTCGCGAAAGCGATCCTATATTTTACAATAATCTTACTCGTTTAATATTCAATTAAAATCGAAATGAAGTTTGCTTTGGAATACCGTTTTTATGTACGAAACAAAGCATTATTGGCCGCAAAAAATCGTGTAACAAGATTTGCTTTCGCATCCATACTCGTTTCAAAATTTCTACGCTTATCATTCATTTATTTGGCTATTTCATAAAATACATTATTCTAACTACGTTGTAAATAATATATCATCATTTTCAATAGTAATTTCAACGGATAACGCTCTTGCGAATATGTAATCCCCCCAAAGGCTCTAGGTCATTTGGAATGATAATTAAACGATACTCTCCTATCACTTTGTATTAAGAAGCATACTCTCTCTCTCTCTCTCTTTTTTTCTTTCTATTTCTCTCTCTTTTTCTCCCCCCCCCTCTCTCTCTCTCTCTCTCTCTCTTATAGCGCATGATGCACCGCTATGAAGTTTTTGAACAAACATTTAGTATGTAATCGAACACGTCGACATTCCAAAATAAGATCTTAGTTATTTAGGGATGATTATTGCCTGTACAATGCATTTTTATGTCACGAAATATATATTCTAGGTTTTTTCTCTTATATCCCATTGATAGTAGATACCGTAGTGTAATTACACTGTGCTTTAGTAAATACCTCAGCACGAATTATATCTTCGAAACACCTTCGCATCGTATATTATTCTCTTGCACTATTTTCGAACGTTATAGTTATTATCATTTCAATGAAAGATGCTGAGGTTTCTTATTTAATTAGTAAGTTCTTTAATTGTAGACAAGATAAAGGGTTTATTGCGGAAGCCTTAACGTTTGGTATGCTTCTAATAATATCAAGAAACACTAATAGCGTTTCGTCTCATTAATTTCCATCCTGCATCGTGGATCTATATTCATAACTCCTTCATAAATCATATTCTTCTAATCTCTCCTAGAGAAATAAAAAGAGAGAGAGAGAAAGAGATTAGAGAACTTTTCTATATACATTGTTTTAATGTAATGAGTGAGATATGGATATAGACCATTTACTCTTCGTGTGCTCGTGATTTAACGCATCGTGACGATAGTTGGGCCGATGTACATGTATATTCTCTATACGAATACTATACATATATATATATATACATATTTATTATTATATAATGTGAATAATGATATTAAAAATATATTGTTAGGGAATATAGAATGATATCGGCACGACTCTGTGTATATGAAATCATGTTATTAATGGAAACAACAATGCAAGAGGTTCATCCGAAAGATGTATATCATCTTATATTCATCCTGCCATTATTCTCCTGTGTTCACCTATGTACAGTAACGCTTTGATGTAAACCAGTAATCTTAAGTATCACTTTATAATATAAGCACGGTGGAAAAGATTTACTAACGACGAAGTTTTATCCTTTATTAATTATATGTTAGAGAACATCAAACAATCAATCTTAATAATATTTTTTTTCTATGCTCTAAATATTTTCTCATGTAGTTCGTATTTGATATCAAATCTTATTGATTAAATCTTTCAAATATATATTTTTTTTTCCTCTTTGTTTCTGAATTTAAGAAATTATAGTTGCGAGAGTATATGTCGTCAAGTTGAGACATATGTTCAACGCGTGTTTCAACAAAAATAGAAAATTGAGATTAAACTCTGAAAGTATTTCCGAAATTTTATGGGGGACAAAAAGAAAAAAAGAAAAAAGAAAGAACAAATAGGATCGATGTCATGGATGTTAACAAAATGTAAATATCCCGTTGTGTAATAAAAAAAAAACAATACCCTGTTCCTTGATCGATTTACAGGAAAATGTTAATGCTTTCCACATAGAGGAAATGCATTGTTTTTTAGCCATCTGTAAGACATTCTCTGCACGATCCTTTACATTTCATTTTTGTTATTTTTGAAGAAAGGTGTAAGGGTAATTAAGATACGACCTAATTGACATGCACACAACAATAATATTCTTTCTATTCTATGTTATTTTCTTTCCCATTTAATAGAACCCAATCGTTTTAACGGTAAACCAAACCAAAAAGAGAAAAATGTTTTTATCATTTAATATCGATAATGTCGACGTAAAATTAACGAAATGAATTGATTTTGTCGCAGGTAACACAAGTACAACTGGAAGTATGACATCAGAATTCGTTCGGCAAGAATTAAGGGCTATAGTTGGTGCGAGGACGCAACAACAGCAACAACAAAGGGTACCCAACAATATACCTAACAATCTTTCTGGTCAAGTTTCTCAGGACGATTTGGAAGCACTTGGTTTGACATTTGAAATGTCCACTGCAGGTATGAATGATTAATAAGACTATTTTATTATCTCTCGATCTGGTTTCATTTCATATTCGTAGGATTGTACAATTTAGTAGTAGGTTTGAGATAGATAAACATCCTTCTCGCACTTTCTTACGTTTATTTTCTCGTTAGGAATTTTTCGAATCTTCGATGATACTGCGACAATCTTTTTCTTTCTCCAAATTATGATTGAAGGGTGGAAGCGATTTTGTACGTGTTGCGTATTAGGAATAATAAACAAATAAAATTAATTTTTTTACTTCGTTCTTTTTACACATATATATTCACGATGGTTCGTAAGGAAATTGTGCAACGAATATACACACACTGAGTTTTTTAATTCTAATTTATGCTCATTGTAATTATAACTAATATTTTTTACCTTACGAAATATGTATTATCAATTTGAAATACTGTGAAAAAGTATTACAGGCAGTTGTAATGATTAAATAGATACAACCCAATTTTATGGGGTCAAGGTATACAAAATTCTTTCTGATACGAATTTCAAATGATAGATAATTTATTCTTTTTGTTTTGTCGTTTTTTTTTTACTTTAAATATATATATATATATATACTTACATCCTTTCATGCATGCAAATAGGAGACACACACATAAGAGTTTGATATTATTATTATTATGTATCCTTGTTGAATATTGTATTCATCGAATCAGATTTATATTAACGCGTCATGTAACAATAACAACAACAAAAAAAGAAACTTTTGCAGTATTATTTTTATTAGAAAGGCATATAATATTGAAATTGAAGTAACTTGTGGTAACGCGTGATGTTACAATGTCCCAACTAGGTGAGACTGTGGTTAATGATGGCCCCGGCAAGAGCTGGGTCATTGGGAGTACCGGAAGTGCCCCCTCATCCTCCAGGGTAAGACCCTTCCGACAATTACTCTTACGTACTTTGATTTTTATTTATGCTATGTCTCTACCCTCCTCTTTATGCTTTGCTTCAAGAACTGTATTCGCTGCACGACAAATATATATATATATATTTTTTTTTTTTAAACGATTATTTTCATTTTTCGCACTGATCGTACGTATAGTATACATAAATAGGGAAAAGGTAGATATAAATTATCTTTTTTTAATCTTTCTCTCTTTCTTTCTTTCTTTCTTTCTTTCTCTCTTTCTTTTTTTTTTATTTACTCTCTAAATCTTTTTACATCATTTCGCATGTTATTCTATTATTTAACTTTTAATTTTTATACTACTAGTTTCTTCATATTATTCGTTGTAATTAAAAATTCATTTCAATTTATAACGAAAATCCAAATTTAATATTTAAACAATATAAATATTAATTTTCGAATCAAATTGCGTATGAAAGATTCTTAAATAATGATTTTTTAATTGAAAAAGAGGAGAGAGAGAGAGAGAGATAGAAAGGAAAGAAATGCGAGAAAGAAAAAGAAAATGAGATTAATGGTCAATTGGTATGTTCTCATTTTCTCTCATTTTCTTTCTCGTTTTTTTTTTTTCGTTTTTTTCTTTTTAAAAAGGTCGAACATCTTCTCATATCTTTCGTCGTTTTATGCGAATGTGCTGTGTGTGACCGTTTACACGAGGATCGAATTTATGTTTCGTTCACCACCACCACCAAAGCGATGATTTTGTAAGCTTTATTCGCAATTAGAGTAATAATTACACTGCCGATAATCGTATCCGTAATGCTTTTTCACAGTAAATTTATTTTACAAAAATGATTTTATAATTAAATTCATTGAAATTTGTTTATGGAATAGGTATTTCGTTCTTCTTGCATGATCGACGTGTGTCACACAATAGTTAATAGATTTTGGCATTTGTTTAGCAAAATCAATAAAAAAAAACTTAGAGATTTGAATATCTTTTTCAAATGGGGTTTCCTGTGAATAGGTCGAAATAATGTTTCCTGCTTCGCGTAGTTAAAACAAATTGTTGCTTTTAAAACAAACAAAAAAAAAAAAAAAAAAAAAAAAAAGAAATGCATAGAAAATTCCTCTTGTTAAAAAGATTTATTTATTTTTTTTTTTTTTTCTTCTCCTTTTCCTCGCATTAATTCGTAGAAGCTTATTTATAGGAGAGCTTTAAAATAAATCATCCAATTTATTGGATTATGTAATTTTTGTGTCACATTCCGGTAGTAGCAAAACTTCGTTCGTTGTTTCTTGGCTTTTTTCTCTCTTTCCCTTTATTTTTTTTTTTCTCTGTTGGAATAAATCAACGTAGATGATACAAATAAATAAATGTTCCGTACTTATTAATAATAAATATATAATGTATTTTTTTTTTTTTTTTTTTTAGACTACTATGGAGGAAGCGGTACGAGGTGATCCTAAATCATCGTTGCTACAAAAACTGCTGTCCGAGTGACTGCGGGTTACTACGCTGTTGGACGGTAAAGGATTATGTGTGATATACGTTTGAAGATGCAAGAAAAAAAAACAAAAAAAGAAATTATTAAGGAAACAAAAGAAATAATAATAATAATAATTAGATAAAGCAATGAGAGAGTGGGAAGAAGGGATGGCGGAGGGGGAAGAAGAGAAAGAAAAAGAAAAAGAAGAAGAAGGAGAAGAAAATGGAAGCCTAAAAAGAAAAGGCAATCAAAGATGCATTTTATATGCGTATACGTAATGGGTACTATTGTATTATATATAAACGTTATCATACGAAATCAGTATTCGGATACGTATTACCAAATACAATGCAAAGCTCTATAGTGCGCGGCGCTCTCTAGAACCTTTTCGTTCATCGTGATAATCCGTGGTGAAAAAGGAGCTTTTTTTTTTTCTTGCAAAAAAGAAAACAAAACAAAAAAAATGAAATAAAATAAAATAAAATAAAGTAAAATAAAATAAAAAACAGCATTCTGCCGTTTTTTATCCGAACTCGAAGGACCAAAAGTTTTCATTTCTATGTTTGGCTGTGTCGAGAAGTTTCATTGATATTGGTGTGTGAGTGAATGCGTATGTGTTATTACAAGGCTGTCATTATTGCTTGGATCGTTTATTATTAACAAAGTTCTGTTTAAAAAAGAAAGAAAGAAAGAAAGAAAGAAAGAGGGAGAAAAGCAAAAAAAAAAAAAAAAGAAAAAAGAAATGAAAAGATGACGAGAGGCTGATGTGACATTAATAATAATATAGGGACATGGAAAAAAAATTAACGATGTGCGAGCGTTAATTTAAATAAATAATTTCACCGTATCTGTTGTAAAACGAAAGAAAGGAAAAAAGGGAATTACGATAGAATTGCACGTCGCCATGCTACAATAATAATTCGTAAACACATTGTACACAGAAAAAAAAAAACCCAAAACACTAAACACACACGTTTCACATATAGAAAATCTTTCTCGGAGCATCCCAGCTTTTTCGAGCGATATTAGATGTATAAAAGGAAATATAATATCGGCGATGGAATTCACGTTTTACTCCCCCTCGAATCAATGGCGCGCCACGTGTTGTTCTCTCCGTCGATATTTTGTTTGATATCGCTGAAAGAAAAGAAAACTACGTAGGTACCTCAAAGGTATACTTTACTATACCACTGGCTGTTAAACATAAAACTATTTATAGGTTTAATTATTGTACACAGAAGAATAGAGCACTATCATGTATTCTCTTAATTTAACATCTTCTTGACTATTGCATTATGAATAATATATATTTGTGATTGTAAGAATCTGCAACCAAAATGTGACAAAGAATACTTGTTGTTGTTAATATGATTATAACTATTATTATTATTTTATTTTATTTTATTAATATTATTGACACATACATTATCATTATCACTATTACCAATATTATTGTTGCAATTACTATATTAT